AGTCCAGCCTTGGTGATCGCAGTGAGACACTGAGAGGTTTACGTCAATGGCTCAACGGTCACCCGCTCCACATTACTGGCATGCGAGTTGAAGTGCGAGTTCAGTGCGCCAGGTTGGAATCAGCGGAACAGATGGTTTTGAATCTCCATTTGGACCAGATCGAGACCATTTTCCAGCACATGGGCGCAAACTCCTTGAAGCTTGTGCCGGTGGAAGAGTACTACAGTCTCATCAATGGCATCATGGACGCTGCCACCAGAGTTCTATTCAGAGGAGATCGCAATAGACAGACTACTGTGACAGACTGTCAGCGCTTCCGAGATGTTCTCAACTCTTTTGGTTTCAATCCCGGATGGTTCAAAGGCATTGCACCCGTCATTGATCCTGCTCGTGCTTGGTGGGGTCATGGGGATGGGGAAGTGCCTGATGCTGCTCCCATTGGCAATATCCGTGAACTCTTCCATCAGCATCGTGATCAGCTTCAATGTCCCAACTGTGGAGGCTCAGCTTTTCATAGCATTGGCGGTCAGCATCGTTTCCGTCTCCGCTGCACAGGTACCCTGAGTGCCGTACGACTTTTGGACAGAACCAAGTCCGTGACATGCTTGCGGAAGTCCTTTAGTACTGTTGAATGTCGTTGATAACTTTACACCAAAACCCTTTTCTGAATGTGCGCTTTTCCAATGTACTCTAAATCAATAAATGCAATACTACTTTCCACCATTTTAAATGTTCCATGACAGAGACAGTTTGGCTGAATTTAATAAGTGATCTGGGAAATCTCTAACCCCAACCCTCTCACTCTGCATACCCTGCAAGCAAGCCCAGGTCACGTGCTCTAACCTGCATGGACAAACTGTAGAACACTGCTTTAAACGGAAAATGTTCAACAGTTTTGGTAAATGACATTCCGCAACGGTCCTACAAACAGTCTACGATGCACAGCGGAATCACAAAATGTTTACTGGAGAACACAGCCAAACCCCTTTGCCTGCACATACGTACTCGTGTCTTTTGTTAGGAGGTCTTGGGGGTCACTACTTGAGAATTGAAAAGGGGCCCTGTTCTTCAGCCAAAAGCAAGGTTACACAAGATTTGCTACCACATCAGCTATGCAAACCATAGGCTACAATCAACTTTCATTAAGTGCCCTCCACTGGATAGTCAGCCAGATGTTGAGATATCACCACATTTTCCAACTTTTTACCCCCCGTCGCGTGAAAATTTCGTTTTTCTAAGTTTCTGAAGCCGTTTCCGCACGGATTGCCAATCCGAGAGTACTTCAATTAGAGAATATGATATGGGGCCAACTTTTAATTAGGACGCCAACTCCAGATCGGCACTAAAAAAATCCCAATTTGCACAAGTCCTATAACGTATATATAACATATATTTCCCCTTTATATCAACCCCCCCCCTCCCCTATTGGCACCCCTGCCCCCCCCCGTACCCGCACCACCACCCATATGACCCATCACTTGCCCTTGCACACCTAGTCCCCCCTGACTTGCCTAGGTGCGCAACACCCCCCGCCACCACACCCCTCAGAGTCAAGAATTTGAACTGTAGAACACACCCAAAAGCCAAAAAACCCGAAAATTTCTAAGTCCCTAGGGTTCCAGGCAACCCAAAAATAAAACCCAACCCAGGGGGTCTTGTAACCCTAACCCTAACCCTAACCCTAACCCTAACCCTAACCCAACACAGTCTGTTCATTACTCGTTATTGAGACTCCCGTCGGCCATTGCTATGAGTTCAATCAAACTCACCGCCTACCTGATGGACGCCGTGGCTATGCCTACTACTTTCTCCGTGATTGCCGGAATAACTGAGTCTGCTATGGTTACAATCGCAACGTTTTCGAATATATCTGGTTCAAGTTGGACCACAGATGGGAACACGTTTAATTTCGCCAACACAACTGCCTATACTGTTTGGGGTATCTCATGGGCTTATGCCAATCAAACCACAACCGGAGGCTGTGCAATAAGAGCGATACAGTATAATCAAGCCGTTCCCAAAGCGACCCTTGTTAGCGCTTCTGCAAATTCTCTAGACGTCACGGGTGCGATAAATACGTACACGGTTACGTGCAATACAACTGCATTAGTGAAGAGCGACTTGACATGTAATACGAACGTATATGCTTCACAAATCATTCAATCTGCTGTTTGCATCAAAGACGGTGTTGTAGATGCGTTGTTAACTAACGGGAATGGCTACACAGGGGGTTTCGGACCCATTGGATGGAAAGCGGGGATGTCTGGGGTCGTGGCCCACGCCAGTTTCATAGGGTACATGAATTCGAACAACAGTCGAGTCACGATAACTGTTCAGATATTGGATCAATCCTCTACCGTTGTCGCCACTAGAGGAGTGTCATACTACTGTGATATCAATACGTATAATACTAGGTATCCGTTCAGTTTCCAAGTGCCGTTGCTGTTCTCTTCGACGAATACTCAATTGAGCGCACGAATTGTCATACCAACATCTATAACGTTGTCTAATTCATACCTCAACTTTTGGACCCAGTGTTATTAGATCTAAATCTCAATATCGAGAACATTCACTCGTTCATTTTTGTCATTTCCGCATATCATTCGCAACCCTTTCTCAGCGAAAACGATTCCAATGTATCCGGACTTATACACGAACTCCAGTTTTTCATTGAAATTACGCCGAGTCGCGATTGAATAGATCTGTTTGAAAATATATCGGTTCTGTTTGTTAATCTTGACGTACGCCATATAACCAGGTTTGTTGCGCATAGATAAGCAGATCCTTTCGAGGCTTTCTAGATCATTTATGGTGAATCGCATAACAAGTGTGTCGTCAATCAACTTGATGTTATCGTTAAGAGCAAAAACGGATGTTGGCATTGGGTTGTTTAGTATTTAAAAGCTTATATATGTTGATAACTGAAACGCTTTACCAGGCGCGCGAGGCGATGATGACCTGCTAAGGTGAACACATGGATGGAGGATTTTGGAAGTGAGCAGGAAGTGTACCACAGGATCGGGGGTGGATCGGGGGGATGGGAAAGCTAATGGGGAGGATAATGGAGAGAATGTGTAGTACAGTATAATATATTTGTTTAGATAATATAAAACGCACACATGCACACTTAGCACACATGGTTTGAAGTTGTATGGATGGGAAAAAGAGGAGGAGGTCATAGGTGACAGCGACGACATCACCACCTATACCCAATAATCAGCAAAGGCGAATAAACGGACCCCCCCTAGGTGTGCATGTGTTCCTATGAGGTCGCTGAGTATGGCGAGCGTTTAGGAAAGAAGTGAGCCGCCTATGCGGCGTCTCAGCGGGCCCGATATGGACAAGTCCTATCAATAGGAGACGTGCTGTAATAGTTCCTCATATGCGATTCGGCCTTGTGGCGATAAGTTTCGGACTTGTACAAATTCGATACTTCAAAGTGTCCGAGTTTATAAAGACTTGGATTTAAAGGGCGTCGGATTTTAGTAGGGAAAACGCTGGATATTTACTGTGTATATGTAGGATAGCTATGGAGGCGAGAAGTTGGAAAGTTAGGGGATTAGAGAATAGACCTGCTTGACGATTAATACAGAAAGAAGAGGATATCCAATTATGACGATTAATACAGAAAGGATATCCTAATACACCGATTAATACACAAAAGCATATGTTTTCTAACGATTAATATACAGTGAGATTAACAGTGGTTCAGTGCATGTGTATTAATCTGAGATTAATACACATGCACTGAACCACTGACATTGACATTGACATTGGCGTTTGACATTTGGCGGTTGACATTGGCGGCTGTCAGTAGGTAAGCTTATGGTATGGGCGCGTTGTCCATAACACTAGGGTTCCTGTAGTTCATTTCCTCACGTGGCTCCCCTCCCGCTTACGCCACGCTTCCGCGTGCGGGACTTCACTCTTTTCTTCCCCTTCGGACCTCGTGTCCTCTTTACACTTGAAACTTTTCTACACAAGACAATACATACTTCACAGTACAGCATTGCACACTACATAGAGTTTGCTCAGTCATCTGCTTCCTCTGCTGACTACTGCTAAGTTTCGCAGCGGCCGCTCAACTGACAGCTTTATCTATGGGCTGCCAGTGGGGCTTGCGTGGCTTCAGTGAGGCTTGGCGCCTTATGTAATGTATCACCGAGAGCTCGAGTGGCCAGCCCGGGTCTCGGATCAAGTAGAAGTAAAGAGATGTAATATGAAATACAAGTGAATATGAGATATCCCCGACAGCTCTTCTCGTACATCAATTTCACATTTTCAAGGACAGCCAAGGAGTCCAGCTCCATCAAGGGTAGAGGGTGAAGAGGAAGTCAGCATAAAACCACTGGTGAGGTTGAAAGTCCAATGTTCGACGTGTACCTGGCAGCCAAAAGTCCGCGTGCAGTTGGGCGAAATGTACAAGGTATTTGGGCATGACGACCGTGGATAGGGCTGGAAGGTTTGCTGAGCCCTGGTGAGTTGACCTTACAGACGTCCTGACGGTTTGCTATGTTCCAGATATAGACCTTGTAGAAGCAACTGTGAGGAGCGGAATCCAAAACTCCTCAACGCGCAACAACACCGCTGAGTAAGCAAGGGGCAAGTTAAATTGCACTGTCACGTGGACTCTCGCCGGTTGAATTGGCTGCATTTTTTCTTCGTTGCCATCCCTCCCTCCGTCGCTCGCGACAAATCCGGAATTGCCGATATCCAGCGGAATTGCGGGAGTTGACCCACTGCACATGGCAAGTGTTCTTTTATGGCCTTACTGTATCTGGCCGTTTTTCGCCTTGCTCTGCGCCTTGCTTGTTGCACAACTTGTGCACGTCCGTGCCTCGCCCTCCGCCCTTAGCCGGGAGAGCGACCGCGATCTGGATGTTGCTTGTGCTGACACTCGCTCTCGCTGTGCTGCTCTGTGCAGTAGCTCTGTCGCTCGCTGCCTCATTGCGCGTCATCAATTTAAACCCGCGCCATTGCCGCCGCTCAGTTGCGGCATCATGTCGGCAGCCCCACTCTCACCAGCGGTGACGCACTCGCCTCACCTCACGAGAATGGCGGCGCCGGCCCCGGCGCCCCCTCAGTACGTCGTGCGCGAGTCTCTTAAGGGAGCGCTGCGCGGACCGCACTATCAAGTTCTACTCGCGCAGCACTACATGCTCGCACGACTCGAGCAGCTGATGACCCCTCGGTTCGGTGTTCGGCTGGAGGTGAACCTCGCCGGCGCGTGGGATGATGTCGTGTTCGATTTCATCGATGCAGCAGGCGCCATCACCGAGAGGCACTTCATACAGCAGAAGCACCATAATGTCACCGGCAGCATGGATTGGGCGTTCGTCAAGAACAAGACGGGCATGGAACTGTACAAATACTTCGATGACTGGTTCCTCCTGCTCTCGCCCTACTCTCCAGCCACGGTGAAGAAAGCTGCGTTGCCATCTGTACAACCGGGTGGACGCTCACTCTGCGTGTTCTGCACGAATGATGTCGCCGGTGCCGATCTGCAGGCAGTCTTTGAACCGGTCTCCACCGCGCACAGTTTCGAACCCATTCCGCTGCTGAATGGTGAGACACTCTCGCCAGTATATCATCGGCTCAATCTAGAATTTCGATTCCCCGGCAGGACGCGACTATCGCCGCTCGAAGTGCTACGGACGAACATCAAGAAGCACTCCCTCTTGATGGATCGCAACAGCGCCATAAACGCCGGCGCGCAAGCACGCCAGAATCCCACCGTGCAAGCGGCGTATGAATATTTCAACGGAGGCGGGATTGCGCTGACGGATGTCCAGATGAACGGTTACATCGAGGAGTTTCTTCGCGATCATCTCCTCGTCGCGACGAATCAGCCACACGTCGACACGTTCGATGCCGTGCTCTAGGTGCAGCTTCCTCGTGTCTTCCCTTCCGCTGCGCACACTACGTCGCATATGAATCTGTTGCTATCAGAAACATGGGCATGGTTTCGGCAGCTGCAGAATGCGAACGTTTGGACGGAAGTCATTCTGCGCCAGTACGTCTCCTCTATCGCGCAGCAAATCACGACGATGCCACAGGAAATCGGCGTCACTCGTGCGCGACTCAACCAAGTCATGACTGAGATGGAAGCACACGTCCGTATCGATCGACCAGGGATTCTGCAATCGTTACGGCAACATCACACGCAAGCTGCGCCAGGGCTGAAATCCAACTGGTATGGCGCATCAGGAGTCGGCAAGTCCTCCCTTGCTGCGGTCCTACTCAGCGAGCTTGTGACGGCAGGCAAATCGCTCTTCTTCGACACACCGCAGACCTTTTGCGCAGCGACGGGCGTTTTCGGTTCGACGACTCTCATCTGCGTCGACCAAGTCGACACAGCCACACAGGCTGATGTAACTCGACATTGGACCAACAATGCTGTCGGAGCGCATCTGCTGTGCATCTCGGTCGAGGAGCTCTGGCCTGCCGAGCCGAAGCTGCTGATCCCACCACTGACGACGGCTGAGGTGGACCAGTACTTGCAGTCCCGCCGGTTGTCGGATCACATGCTGATCTTGTCGAAGATCAGCTTCATGTTGCTTCAGTCCGGCTTGCCACCTCCGCCAGGCACGCCCGATGCTTCCATCACTGGCCTGCAGCAGCTGATGCGCCTCCCGCGTACGCTGTTGAAGGTGTGCGCCCATGCGGTGCCATTCGCGCCGCAGCCCGCCGTCACCGCTGCTGGTGCGTATGCTGCAGCGAAGTCCGCTTCGCGCGTAAGAATCATTCCGCTTCGCGTGAAGCGGCAAGTGCCGACTTACTCATTCGAAAGTCTTTCGACTCATTCCCGATTCATCGGTGCGAAGATCATTTCGACGACGCAGATTGATGCAGCCCTGCTCCACGCTCAGCTCCACGCTCGCAGCCAATATGAACGTCAGATCAGCTCACGTAAGCAGCGAGGGGACGAGTCGTCTCCTCTCGGGCATCTCACGTTCGACGTCGAACAGCTCGGCTTGGACGTTCCGATCGATACCGCTGTGGACCTACGAACGCTGCTGCAACAAAAATTATCCGAAGCCGATTACGAACGCTTGATGGGGAAATCTCTTTGGATCATTCTCCTCGACCGCAATGGTATCGCAGCTCACTGGTCTGCTGCTAGGATGCTGCAGTTCTCGCAGTTCAACATGCTGACGCTGATCACCACAGCAGAAACGACGTCTCCTGTTGACGGTTGTTGCCACTTCCGGGCAAGTAACGGGGTGTCTGCGCCTGGTGACCGCGTGCTGTTCTATCTGGTCTCCTCCATGGATCGTTTCGAACGCCTGCCGCTCGGTGACTCGTACTGCGTGCCGAAAGCTGATCAAGTGTGGATCGACGTCGCCTTGCCGGTACTGGCGACCGCTGGTGTGACACTGCTGACAGCCGAGGCCGGATCTGGCAAGAGCGTCTCGATGAAGATGATTCACTGGGAGTTCCACCAGAATATCGCACAGCAGACAGCGTATACCATCTGCATACTCGTTTCCTTTCGTGAGCTGGCTGCAATCATCTCGCGCTCCGCAACAGGATGTTCTTCTCTCGAGCAGCTGGCATTTCTGCTGCTACAACTGCCACCCGAACTAAAATGCATGGTGAAGGAAGATCTCGCAAAAGGACGAGTACTCTTCCTGTTGGACGCATGGGACGAGGTTCAGTCGTCGAGCGAGCGGCAGGCGCTGCAGGAGGTGATGCGACTGCTCCGTGCATACGCACATGTGATGTACTCGTCCCGTCCGATGGCAACGCAACCAATGCAGCCGAGTGTGACATTCGAGCTGCAGCGATTTTCGGATCCAGACACCGAGGAGTTCATCAAGTCATACTTTAGGTCGGTCGAGGATGTTTCCGACTGGAGCGAGGGCTGCATTGGTGCCCTTCGCGCTCACCGCAGCAGTCTGCACGAGATCGGTCTGCCGTTGCAGTGCTTCCTCGTATGCGAGGCATGGCAGCCTGCATTCGAAGACTGGTGTCAGGACCGTACCTGCACGAAGCCGTGGGATGGTGGTGTCAACCTGGATCGATTATACTTATTCCGCATGTTCATCACCGCTCGGTTCTAACAGATGCTGTCACTCAGTATCCAGGCCACGGCGTTGACGGACGAGTCGGTTGCCATCTACTCGCGACCGTTCCTTGAGCGCCTGCAGGAAGTCGCAGCGGGGGTGTTACTCAAATCGCACCTGGCTGCGATCGACCACTCTTCCATCATCGGCTCCAGTATCGCACGGTTGAATGTGCTCCAAGACAGTGGTGAGTTCATGCACCAGACGTACGCTGAGTATCTTACGGCGCAGTTCCTGGTCCGCACTCTCCTCATTCGGCCGAGCGACGGGTCTCGTTTAGTGAAAAAACATCGCTTCCACTCCAGCCTGGCTCTCGTCTTCGAGTTTCTAGCCGCGATGCTGAGCACACAGGAGGGCGACCTCTTCGTACCGGCATCGGCGGATGCTCGCATCAGCGCGATGCGATCCTTCTGGGAGGCGTTGCTGAGTGAACCGCAGAACTCCGCAGGGAGCGCACGAGAAGTCATGCTGCGGCGATGCTTACTTCGTACTCACTTGAACGACGCCTCTGCGATATTTGATGATTCGGCCGTTGCGGTGATGAGGTCGCTGCACGATTCCGTTGCGCCAGTTTCCAGCCACGTGTCAAACGAGGAGAGCAAGGATGAGGATGAGATGGTTGATGTAGCTGCGGCTGCGGTACCGGCCGGCGCTGCTGCTCAAGTCGACTTTCAGGCGCCGAAGCTGCCCCATCCATACGCAGTAATATGGCGCTGCAATATCATCGATTCCGTTGATCTCCGTGTGCTCTCGGCTGCCGGCAAAGTCAAAGCGATGGCATGGCTGGTCAACCTCTTCGAGCATCATTGTGGATCTTACCGCGTCGCTGAAGCCGTGGCAGACAAGCTGGGTAATCTGGGCATGGCAAGCCCGGCGGTTCTCAAACCATTGGTGAGTGCAATGGTGCGCGAAGGCTATGGCCACAAGGAGTCCTTTTCAGCACTGGTTGGAATGGGCGTGTCGCTCGAGAAGATACAACAACTCGCTGAGGCTCACAATTTCCCGTGGAAGAAGCCACCGGTCGAAACGGTGCTCGCTCAAATCTCTCGAGCAAAGTGGCCCATCTCTATGGTTAAGTGGTTCGCGAGACAATCAGACAGTGTGCGCCAGCCAGATGCTCTGCTGGGAGCTTTGTTTCGAGGCGCGGAGTTTCCAGTTCAGCCGGACGTGGTGCTCTGCGCGATGCAGTTGCACTCTCCAGACGACAGCTTCGACCGAAAGTTGCTCGATTGTGCTTCTGATGGCACCACTCCGGTTTCCAGCCGCCTGCTCATCTGGCTGCATCTCCCTCAACACGGTCGGCAATCAGATGTGCGACTCACGGCGAGTACTAACGCCTCTGGCATCATCACATCCGATTCTCAGACGGTGCTTTCTGAGCTTCTCTCACGATGTTGCAATGCGGAGGAGGCAGGCAGAGCCTGCTGTGCTCAAATCGAGTCGTTCTTGTCGATGGTTGAGAACGATGGTGCCCGAACAGCGTGGCTTCCAACGCTGTTACACATGATCGAAGTCGCGATCAAGGAGCGCTCGTGCAAGGCCCTCATCCCCGTGTTGGTGGAGCACGCAGTCCATCTGCATCCGCCGTTCAGCGACACGCGTTCGCTCTGGATGACTGTCTTCAGCCACGAGACCAACTCCCGTGGATCGTTTTGGGACTGCAAAGCCGTTGTGCCAAGCTTTGGTTTCTCCTTTCCGTACTGGAGTGAGGTCTCCGCAGTCTTCATGGTGTACAAGCTCACCGGCACTTTCTGTGATGATCTTTCTCTCGGCTCCTCGTTCGAGGCTTTCGCTACCGCTGCTGAGAGCTTCTCCGAGGATCAGCAGCGATGGGCGATCTGGGCGTGTGCACACGTCATTGAGCATCGGATCAAGAACGGTGATGACGAGCATCGGGTCCTGCCAGCGTTTCGGCAGTTCGGTTTCAGTCCATTCTCCCCGGCGGTGGTGTGCGAGCAGCTGCTCTCCGATAACCTACCTCGATTCATCTTTCCACCTGATGGCGCGCTTGACACCTCCAAGCTCGATACGTGGGCCGAGTTCGCATCGCATCCAGTAGCGTCACCTGAGACCCGAGCGAGGGTGCTGCAGATGTATCTCGAGCAGTCGTCACGCGTGTTGTCCTTTCCACCGGACGAGGAAGGCACGTTGATCGTACATCTCGATACTCGAGATATGCCCCTGCAAACGACGCCAGATATGCGAACCATCGTCCGCGCTGCAACGTCCGGCCCGGCGCCGCTGACTCAGCTGCAGTTTCGGAATTCCTCCGCAGTCGGATCATCCAGGCCACCAGCCATCAGTGTCGCGGATGTCTACACTCCGGCTCTGTAAGTACCGGCTTTGCATCCATCATTGTCACGGACAAGCTTCAGACTGCAAGCTATACTTCTGAGTTGAGGAACGGCAAGATGTATTTCGAAGAGGGTAGACAGATTAGGCTACGATGATCAAGAATGGCGTTGACCAGGGACCTGCTAGCGAGCAAGTCGGAAACACAAGCATGGCTAGCTACATAGGTTGTGTGGAGCGCGTAACAATAGAACACGCTAATAGGACTTGGCAATTCGACGATTCTGCTCTGGCCGTGACAATACGGGACCAATCGCGTGCGAGTATGGCCAAAACAATCGCTTTAGGACCAACAGTTCCGACGAATACAGTGAACGCCTTTGGACTCGATTGGCATATGCATTTTTCCTAGAGCGATACTCCTTAGTTTCATTGTACATGGCAGAGCGCTCTGGGCGTGCCTGCACCTCCGTCGCTTTCTGAAGGACAACTGCGCTCCCGAAATCTATGTATCTAACGCTCCATGGTCTTGTACGTCACAATAGGTCTTAATCTCGCTACCACGTCTACATACGGGCGCAAGTCCTCAATGACGGCGTCGATGTCTTTGTAACACTCTGGCGCTTCCTCCAACAGAAGCGTTTTGTCCATGCAGATGACGGTGCTGCCAAGTTTCGTGGTGGTGAGGTCGGATTTCGGGTTGATTTTGTGGTGTGATTGAGTGCGCGCGACGGCTCGGCCGGCTCCATGGGCGAGCGAAAAGCCTGTATATGAAGGAAGTGAGTTATATCTGGCAGCAATCAAGCAGGTGAGGATTCTTGGCAATCTGGGTTGCGACGTACCGTTTGGAGTATGGTCGAGATCTTTCGGCATGACCACATAACTGTACGCGCCTCGACTGCCTGGTATCACCACCGGCTGACCTGGGACCGCAGGAGCTGCACCCTTCCGATGCACCCACCCCCTCTCTGCCGCCATCTCCGCGCTCGTAACCGAGTTATGAAAAATATCCACCAGCTTTTCGACCGTATCGGCAAGACCTAACGGGTCCAACAGTCGCGTTGCAATGAGCTCCCGATTCCGCTGGGCCCATGTACAAGCTTGATCGTGTTGGCGAATATACTCGTTGAACTGTTGCGGATCGGTGGCGGAATTCAGGACGGGAGGCGCGGCTTCTAGAATAGCTTTCCCGTAGCTTCGCGATCCGGAGTGGATTAGGAGGTAGGCTACCGATGAGGATATCTGCATTCGAGTGGCGTGATCGGTGTCAAGGATCTCGTCCACGACGAGAAACTCTGCGAAGTGGTTGCCTTTGCCAATCGTCCCAAGTGTCTGTGAATGCGCGGCAGAGTCTTCGAACAGATTTGGTGGGTTCTCCATCGGCCCGTCGATGTTGATGAGTTGTTTTGCGAGTAAGCTGGGCGTTTCTATACGTTTTGAGGTCGATAAGAGAGATGGAAGTTTAAAGAGGCTCATTCCGCAGCCGATGTCAGAGCCGATCAATTTGGGGTAGATCGCTTCGGTAGATGTGATGAAGACGCAGCCGACGGGGGAACTGTTGCCTAGATGGAGGTCTGGCATGCCCTAGAATTGAAAGCAAACGACATGCCAAAGATTAGCTCGTTGACCCATGCATGTCAGCGAGCAATCGGCCACACGTACCACAGCCATGTTGATATAAGGACATCGTTCCACCGTCAGGTACAGCTGCTTGATGGCATCATTCTCCACCGCAGAGTGTTCCGCAATAACGCTCACGTTCGGTCTAGTCCTCTCATCCGTCTCCCCGGCCGTACTCGTCTGCCCAACAAACTGCTGCCCTTTCCCGCACACAACAATCTCCTTTTCACGCTTATTGTCCGTCCGGAGGTATCCGGCGATTCCGTCCTCGTCAGTCAGTTCCGCGCCGGTGTGCAGGACAATCAGCCGGTCAGGGTTTTTTATACGCAACTTTGTTTTTGCGCCATGATGGAGCTGTGTTGCCAGCGCCGTGCTACTTCCGCTAGACTGAAGCAAGAGCACCGTGCGTTTGCGACGGTCAGTGTTGTCGATAATGGTGACTCGAATGGAAGGCATAGTGGTGAATTTCTGCGACGTTTTCCGGACTGGACGACGAGTACCTTATATATGCATAAACTTCTCGGCAATAAACTCTCGGTGGCGGTCGGTTTGCTTACAGGTAACAGGCTATGTTCTTGGTGATTGCCGGTGGGCAAGCTGCTTATCCACCACTGGGATATTCGCTCTCGCAGCTTTTACCCCTGCACATCCCCCTACAGTATGCCTTACATATTTCACCTTCGTCGGCGGCGGACGAGACGTTCGTGCACCGTCGCGTGTGACCGCTTGTCCTGAACATCAATCTCCTTTAGTGGAGTACGTAGCTTCAGTTTTTCCATGATACTGTACAGTATGTTCGCCGAAAAAAGGAGGTCCGCGTGAACCCCGATCTGCGTATGCCGACACTGGCTATATATATCTACATAGAGTGACGCTAAGCAGCGACCCTTACAAGTACTTCTCAGAAGGCCGGTACATAGACAGTTGTCACATGTCACGGTTGCCGCTTTCCCAACGCTTCTCACGATGCTCTCGGAGTTCGGGGACTGTCACGCCCAATTCTCAGACAGGACGGCTGATCGCGACCCTATCTGCGCAAATCGAGGAAGAGCGCTCGGGAAGAAACAAGACTCATGAGGAAGCATCATCGAGGGAGCAAGAAGCGTACGTTCGCTGGGACCGACAGGCTCTGTTGCTCTAGACAACGATTGAAGTGCTATTATGTAGCTATGTACAGTACATAATCCGGATCCACAACGTTTCCGGACGTCACCCTTCCTGATTCAATCCCCATATATAAAAGCACATGACAGGGAGTGGGGGGAGCCACGTGACTCATCTTACAGTGCTTGCCTACGTGGCAAAGCATTGGGACATAGGCGTGGCAGTTTCTCTGCGACATCATTGCCGCCAATGAACGTATGCCATCCCATACCCATACCCATACCCGTACCATGCGGAAGTGCCCTCGCTCTGATCCCAAAATGTACCGACCATCATCCTGCATAAATACAAAGGGGCAAAGCGTCTGCCTCCCACCCCATCATCACCAACACCCAAAAACAAGGAGAGCTAAACAACACTAACAATAACTCGCCATGAGTCAGCGGCGCTCACTGTTTACATCTCCATTGCGTTCGGTAGCTCTACTAGCCTTCGCAGTAGCGATCACTTTCCTCCTCGCAGGGGCCAGAGCAACCAAGACAGAGAACCCGGGCAGTAACAAATTAGGGCCTATCATCGGTATTGACTTGGGGACGACATATAGGTAGGGTTCACTTTTTCTGTGTTCTATTTTGACACACAGGCTAACTGCGCTATGCCCCCAGTTGTGTCGGTGTCCACAAAAATGGACGGGTTGAAATCATTGCCAACGAACAGGGCAATCGCATAACCCCATCCTACGTCGCATTCACCGATACTGAGCGACTCGTCGGAGATGCTGCAAAGAACCAAGCGCCAGCCAATCCTTTCAATACAATTTTCGATGCGAAGCGTCTGATCGGTCGCCACTTCAATGACAAGGAGGTCGAGGAGGATGCAAAACATTGGCCCTTCAAGCTCGTCAACAAAGACCAACGGCCCCGTGTTCAAGTCGAGGTCAAGGGCGAAAAGAAGGTCTTCAGCGCAGAGGAGGTGTCTGCCATGCTCCTGACCAAGATGAAGACCATAGCGGAAGAGTATCTCGGCCGCAACGTTACACGCGCAGTCGTCACGGTCCCTGCGTACTTCAACGATGCGCAGCGTCAAGCCACTCAAGATGCGGGTGTCATAGCTGGCCTCGACATCGTCCGGATTGTGAACGAACCGACAGCCGCCGCTCTAGCATACGGGTTGAACAGAAAGGGTGGCGAACAACATGTCTTAGTTTACGATCTGGGTGGCGGGACCTTTGATGTGTCCTTGTTGGCCATCGACGACGGGATCTTCGAAGTCTTGGCCACCAGCGGTGACACGCACTTGGGCGGTGAAGATTTTGACAATCGCCTCATCCGCCACTTCTCGTCCTTATGGAAAGAAAAGACTGGTAAAGACTGCAACAAAGACGCGAAGGCCATGGGCAAACTGAAGCGCGAGGTGGAGAAAGCTAAGCGTACGTTGTCCACCGCAATGTCCGCCCGTGTCGAAATTGAATCGTTTCAAGACGGCCGTGACCTTTCGGAGACGCTGACCCGCGCCAAGTTCGAAGAGTTGAATCTGGATCTTTTCAAGAAGACCATGAAGCCCCTCAAGAAGGTTCTCAAAGATGCTGCGATATCGAAAGCCAAAGTGGACGAGATTGTGCTTGTCGGAGGGTCTACTCGTATCCCCAAGATTCGAGAGCTACTCGAAGATTTTTTTGGCGGAAAGAAAGCAAGCCAGGGGATCAATCCCGATGAAGCGGTCGCGTACGGAGCCGCCATCCAAGCTGCCATTCTTGATGAACGAGTCGACGATTACGACTCGATACTTCTCGTCGATGTCGTACCTCTGAGCTTTGGTATCGAGACCTCTGGCGGAGTCATGACCAAGCTGATTCCTCGTAACACCCCGATTCCTACCACGAGGTCTCAAACCTTTTCTACCACCGCTGACAATCAACAATCTGTTCTCATTCAAGTCTACGAGGGGGAGCGTCTGATGACGAAGGATAACAACGTTCTCGGCAAATTTGATCTTACCGGTATCCCAGGAGCCCCACGCGGTGTCCCCCAGATCGAAGTATCTTTCACAGTGGACGCCAATGGTATCTTGGAGGTCTCAGCGGTCGAAAAAGGAAGCGGAAAGATGGAGTCAATCACCATCAAGAACGAGCAAGGTCGTCTTTCCGAGGCAGACATTGAACGTATGATTCTGGACGCAGAGAGATTGGCGGAGGAAGATGCCACGCTGAAGAAACAGATTGAGGCCCGCAACAGGTTCGATTCGTACCTTTACTCAGTGAAGGACCGGGTCAACAAGGAATCGGAACTCGACGATGTGGACAAGCAAAAAGTTGTCGTTGCGGTCAGGGAAGCACAAGACTGGTTGGAATCTGAAGGCTCAAACGCAGTCGAGGAGGATATACAGGAACGCGAATCAGAACTCGAAGCAGTGGTTGCCTCTATCATGGCAAGACTTAACACTAGCACCACCTCTAGCGGTCGTGAGCAGTCTTCTTATCACGATGAGTTGTAACAAGAATAGATAGGGTTAGGGTTAGAGATGGGTTGCTTGTCCGGGGACGGCCAATCTTTACCTGAATATAGATGAAGTAGTCAAAATCACAATACTCCTCATGGTACCCTCCGATGTAGAGCTCTGTGCCTTGAGGCAAGGTGCCGATGCAGGAAGTCTCCACGTCCTGCTCCAGGACGGTCCTACTCCTGCCATATCGATGGAAGCTCCACACCGGATGCCGCCAAGTATCCTCGTAGTGTCCGCCTACATGATGTTTTTGCGCATGGTAGCTCTTCCAGCCGTTCTTGATCACCTCGATATGAAACGGGGTGGTAATATTTTCAGGGCTTTCTTTGATCGCGTTGTGCTTTGCGTAAGCTGTTCGATAGGAGTTCAACAAATTGATTATTCTCCAACAACTCTTGAATTCCACGCGCCCGGCGGAGAGCGAGCCTGGCGCGTTCACAATTTCCTCGGTCCTCCAAACTATGACGATATTCCCAACCGGCTGACAACTTGAGATCCGCCAGCCGGTTGGGAATATCGTCAGAGACCGAGAGACCGTACTCCATACGGCCCTGCTCGTCTACCGCACGAAGGGCCGCAATCCATTGATGAAACGTTAGACCGAATACACGCTCAGCAATCTCTCTTATGCGCTCCTTCACGTTAGTGGAGTCCAAATGGAACTGCAATGAGAAGTCGTCGCTTTGGGCGAATTGAGGCGATTCGTCAGGAGTGTGGAGAACAAATGCCCAGGTAGCCGCATTGGACACTATTCCGACGACAGAAGGGATATTGCGGTTGTCCACGCGATTCATCATGACAGCGGCTGTAGTGGAGCACAACTTCAATCAGATATACCTTTCCAAATGACGCCGCCGAGGACGAACACTCACCAGAACAAGCTGCGCTAAACCCTTCTCGTAATTATCCTGCTTACATTCCACGATTTTCAGCACGATTTCGTCCATGAACTTTACGACAAACTCGACCCGACCTCCTGAGAGGGTGCCTTCGACTTTGATTTCGACGCTGAAACCAAGGAGACCCAAAAATTCTTTCAATAGCTGTAACACCGGATGAGCGTCCAGTATGGAGAAAGTATTGCGACAGTAGATGCATTACCTCGAACTCGAAAAATTCCGCTTCGCTTGCTTGCCTTGCCGCATGTCTCCCAACACGAGAAGGGCGGTTTGTAGGTTATATTCAATGCGGGCAATGACCACGTCGGGGAGTGGCAGTCGTTCGGGACCATAGTGCGGTAACGTCTTTGGCAAGCTAAACGCCTTGCGTACTGTCAGCCAATTCCAGTCCGAAAAAGACTTGCCCACTTTATCTGGTAGTCGGGTCAAGTCAGTATATACGTCGGAAAGTTTCTGACACGGCTACCGAAAGGTTACCTTTGAGAGCGTCCGATAGACCGTGGTGGACTTTCGTATACCTTAACACTTCCGCAAAATGGGTCGCCTTTCCCGTCAAAGTCCCTCACGACCTTCACTAACGCCTCTTCCTCTTGCGTCAACAGAAGCCGTTTACGCTTCATACCACCTTGTGTACTAACCCGTACGGTTGGGGTAGCAGCGGGACGGGGAATGTTTGAGGGACGACCAGAGGCGGTGGAGCGAGCCGGGGGAGAGCTGCCTGATGGAGGAGGAATGCTTCCTTCTGGGGGGGAGAGGTCTTGTTTGTCCTCTGAAGTTTGGCGCAGGATGCAAGTGGAAAAGGATATCACTTTGCAAAACGGGAACGTGACTCGGGAACTTCGGTTGTGGGCCCCTGCATGTGCACCTGCATGCACCCACCGCTTCCTCCGCTTCTCGCGCATTAACAGGTTTGGGCCGCTGCGGGTGTCACTTGCCGCTTTCTGTATATGTAGAGTCTCTACGGAGAGGGCGACGAACGATTCGAGCAAGGCAACGTTTGAGGAATGGGCATCGACGCAGTGGACGACGCCTTCCTCCTGGACGTCTTGGAAGCATACTCGACCGCCGCTTACGAAAACGAACTGCGGCTTGGGAACCTTAGGCTGGTATCTCGCCGCTGGAACGGGCTCGTCCAATGGCTGCAACGTAGCTTCGAGAAACGGTCTCTTGCTGTCGGCATTTGCGAAGCCGTGGACTTGGCTGCTATCGCGCAGAAGCAAGGCCGTGTTCCCCCCAACGTTCTTCGAAAGCTCACCATCAACCGCGATTGCGAACACGAAAAAGGAACATGTTCCGCTTCCGAGCCTGACGTTTACGATAGGGTTCTGCGGCAGGTTCCTAAACTCATCCCGAAGCAATTGCAGACATGGTTAGCGAGAGCTCCGGCGATGAAGACGGGCGGCACCAGCAGCGAGGGCTTTCACCCGTGGACAGGGGTCTGCAGCGCCCACTGAACCTCCCCGCGCCCATCCCTTTCCGTTTTCCCAGCACACCGGGTGGATCCCTGGTGTATGAGCCCCCGCCACCACCACCAGTTCAACGACCCCGCCCGCAGACGCATGCCAGCACGAAGGTTTCCCTTCACCGAATCGATAATCACAATCAAGTTCAAAGGGAGCGCCTGACAACGTTCATCGGCAATGTTCACGTCCTTGCGCGCCACACCACCTTCTTTCTCAAGTACTACCTTGGTGAGTTTTTGAGGTACACTGTATATTTCCCATAATATTTCCCATAACAATGTCCTGACTACCACGTCTGCCCACCACAGCTGATCATCCTCTACACGGTTTCCCGGACATCACCGACAAGCACATCAGTGTGATATTCTGCAATGTCACGGATTCGCCCCCATACGCATGCGATATTGCCAACAGACCGCAGCGTACACAGCTCAGAGCATCTTCACCAACCTCAAAGTTAACGTACAAGAGCATTTTATGCAAATGTTTCTGGGCTACGTTAACGAAAGGATTGGTTTGAAGCGAGTCGTACTGCATCTCCATAGAGCCAGAGCCAACCGAGCGCAGCGGAGACAGTATTATCAGCGGGTCCATCAATTTACAAAATTTGCGACGTTTGAAGAGTTTCCAACCGAAGAAGAGTTTGCGCGCCTCACACGACTTGAGCGGACTGTCCTCGACGAGCTATGGGCTCTGTTTCCTCCCCAGGATGAGCCGCTTGCGTACAGCCTTGCGGTGGACGCAATGCCATATTTAGGTGAGTTAGTATATTTCCAGCAACCCCTGCTTCCTCTTTTGTCTAATCATGGTCCGCACCTGCCTCGCTTCATCACAGGTGCCTATTGTGAGCTCTCACGCCTCTATGAGCGCCGTGGAATGTGGCTGTTTTCCGCTATCCCGCTGCGCAAATCTCGTATCCAGTCATCTGTTCGGATCGACACGCTGATCCTAGCCATTCATATCCTGGGTTTGAGCCAACGTCGCATGGGGAAATTCACCGATGAACGCAAGCGGGAGCTGTGGGGGCAGTTTCTCAATGTGAATGTAACTTAAGTCTGTATCCTTTTGCGCCTATTTCAATCACCTCGCTGAATGACGGATTGCAGGACAAAGTCTTCAAGCATCGAAAGAAGCTTGGTCTTAAATTTAATGGATCAATCAGCACAAACGGGTATTCCGCTACCATCCACTTCAAGAAGCCAGGGCTCAAGTATAGGCATCGGGCCCGGAAGCGCAGAAAGGCCCAAATGCGGGAAGAAGTCAAGCAGCTGTATTTTGAGCATCACATCGCCGAACTACGGGAGGATCCAAACATCGTCAGGATTGATCCGGGCAAGAGTGACCTCTTGTTCTGTCGAGACATCAAGAAGGAGCGGCCATTTCGGTACGTTTCAGTTGATTACTACTGCCCCGCTGTTGCCGCTATCCCCGCTGTCGCCGCTATCCCCGCTATCCCCGCTATCCCCGCTATCCCCGCTATCCCGGCTGTCCCCGCTGTCGCCGCTGTCCCCGCTGTCCCCGCTGTCGCCGCTGTCCCCGCCCCCGCCATCCCAATCGGCGCCCTCCTCAACCCTGTCCTTGTCCCACCATCCCCCCCCTCCCCGTCCCCACCATCTGTTGCTGCGTTCTCACAATGCACCACCCCATACCAGATACACATCCAATCAACGGGCGGTCGAGACAAAGTCTCGGTACTTTCAAAGAGACATGACAGAGCAAAAGATCAATGCCGGCATCGCTGAGATGGAATCGCGTATTCCGTCGTACAAGAGCATGAACATCGAGGAGTTCTCAGCGTTCATTGTGGATTACGAACATGCGGGTATGATGTATCATGCATCGTCTTCAAATTTGGTAATACATGGGCTGACATCCATCCATATCCCAGATCCCGCCCTGGACGAGTTTTACCAGGATGAGATTCACGTGGCTCGCAGATTCAAGGCGTTCTCACTGCGGCAAAAGTCTGAGAGCAAGCTCATCAAGAACATGCGACGCCTGTATGGAAAGCATTTTTCGGTCATTTTGGGTGATTGGAGCGACGCTGGAAAAACCATGCGCTTTCAGGAGTCATCAAAGACCAAAGGGTGAGTGACCATCATTGTTTTTTATGTATTTTGATATGCTAACTCATCATCATGGAAATCAGATTCCGCACACTCTTTGCAAGAAACAGCATTCCATGCTACTTGCTAGATGAGTATCGAACGTCTTCCGTGTGCCCAGACTGCCACGGGCGTGTGAAGAAAAACATCCGACGCCGGCTGTCGTCTCGGCTGTGGCAAGCTAGAAAGGGAAGAATGGAATTCGTCCATGGATTGGTGGGTTGCCCCAACCCCGAATGTATCAACCAAGACTGGACGCCATTTGAGATTCCTGGGAGACAACCACTACGGATGAAAGTGCACAATCGGGACGTCCTAAGCACCAAGACTTTCCTCTCGATTGTGCGCTCGGTGGTGTTTGGCAATGGCCGCCGACCAGACGCATTCTCCCGTAACCGGTAGTCTAGATTTCACCCCATCCCATTTTCCATGGTGGTTATCTGCCATCCACATCATTGTACCTCTGCCTGAGGCGTCGCCGATGATGGGAACTTGTAAATGGGAAGCTTGGATCTCAGCACAACTTCCAACACTAACTACATTTGTCCATTGATACAGCAGACACATATGCTGTCCGATCTCATCACTCCATGTTGTCCGGTACGCCTATTGAACATTCACATGCGGTGACTGATTTCGTCGCAGTGCGCCAGCTTTTAGCGGGGGGCTGCATGTTATGTATTACTGTGGAAATGGAACGACAAGAGCGCCTCGAATCAGCAGCTGAACACGCTTTTACCAGTAAGGCTGAATTGCTCTCATATGGGAGCGATACTTACGATCCTCCAAACATGGGGTTGCGCTTGCAAGTTGACCAGGGGGTAAACTCTGTCCTCTTTCTCATCCCGCTGTTCCTGCTTTTTTCCCTCACTTTCGTCTTCCTCTTCCGCCAAAAGCGATACATACGATCCCGACCTGATATGCTGAATTTTCCATCCTTTGGTCTTTCCGTGATGTTGGCCGACATGAATGAATCGAAAGGCAATGTCGTCCGGGAAGTAAGCCGCGGCGTCTAAGCAGTTATCTGTGCATGGTGTTTGTTCGTCGGTTTCCAGTGGGTCTTTTGATCCATCGAAAGCGCGGCGGGGAAGACAGGAATGAACTTTTTTACATACATTGAAGGAGAGGAGCTCCTACTGCGCTTCCGTTGTTGTTGTTCAGGTCCGGGGCAATGCATTCACCTGCCATTGGGGGTCACAACGTCAAAGCCTACAACAGCTTCTGAGCGGCAATCCCCGCTCCACCTCATCTGATTTTGCCCAGATCACCCGGTGATGACTTACAAAGACGTTCGTTGCCCTGCGGACACTGGGTGTTTCGAATGTGCCAAACACCATCTTTTATGGCTTTGAAGGCCCAACGGTTTCGTTTGTTGCCGCTGCAAGGCGCAAGGACGACCCGCGTGACATTGCCATTGGGAGTTTCGTAGTCGGGTTGCGGTGTGAGACAGATCTTTTCGTGGTTGCAACCGGCGTCTGGGCAAAACAGATTAGACTTTCAGTTGGAGAACCCCTCAGAACAAACCAAGATGATCGTGTCAATGCTGTATGCAGTTTGTCCTCTACAGCTTGCTCCAGAAGAGAAGAAGCCATACCCTCACCTCTCTGCCAGATACGTCCGTTGCGCGGAACGAGCCTCTTCCCACCGCCGGCCGCGGCGACTGAGACGAGGATGCTGCTAATCAAGACCACCAGGAGAAGCGCAGGCGCTCCATTGCTTATGCCCTTGTAAATCCCACGTTGCATTGCCAGCGTTGACGGCATTTCTTTTAGGCTGGAGGAGAACTGGCACATGGAATGTTGTAGGAAGATCGGGATTTCTCTTTCGCGACGGGTCCGTTTGTGGGACCTCGCTCTATATAAGTCATCAACATTCTGTGACACTCAGCCTCTTTTGCCTCTCGTATCCTTCCTTCATTGCTTCTAGCAAAGTCAGGCGGCGACCACCTTCTTTTCTCCTTTTGTGGTGAGAGGAAAGGAAGGTGGGAAACGCGTCTGCGAGTGTTCTGAACTTCCATAGATCTAGTCCCAGATGCGCGGACGGACCAGACCAGGGACCAGACAGACAGACGGCCTCGGCAGATGTCGCCTCCGTCATCTCCAGATCCAGATCCCTCTTAACCCCACAAAACACTCCCCTTCAGAGTCATACTGTCACTCCTACTCCCCACTATGACCCTCACAACGGACCCCCTCGACTCGCTCACTACTGCCTTTTCGCGCTCGCTCTCTCTCATCGCCCCAGACGCCACAAAAGACCTCTCCTTGCCGCTGGTCGGCTGCGATGCTCCGGCCACCGACTTTGGTAAACGCTCACCGATGAGGCTCTCGCTCTTTTCCCTACGACAGACCGACCTTTCGCCTCGCTTGCCAATTAGCTAACGCTTCTGCATCCAGCTCGACAGACCATTATGGCGGCACCTTTTCGAAACATTGTATTGGCAGATTTCGAAGATATTCTTGGAATATATTGGAATCTACTCACAAACGTCCAGAACATGGTGCACAAGCACCAGCTGAAGGTGAAGGGGAAACTTCCCGCAGCTCGCGGACCATTACAGTGGTTCACCCTTTAATGACGCCGCTCTATCCACATGCTGTATATCGTTCAAAGATTGTCATCTTCTCGGGCTACGTCCTAGATGCCCTCAATCCCATCGCCGCGTTCCTCACCACCGCGAAAGTCCCGTGTGCATATATATAGGGGTCTCCTGCCTGCACACCTGTAGAAGTACGCACATTGACAGCACCTGGTCATTGACTTTTGGGTTGCACACGGAGGCTGCAACACCAACGCGTTACGTCATAACATGCCTATTGCCACGAGCGCAACCCTGCCCGCACCCTTGAGCTGCACCGCCACCATTCGTTGTCCCTTCCTGCAGCTACGTACGTATATAAGAGCCGTCGCCGGTTCCCCCCTCACCACACCCGCAAACCGCAAAAACACAACCAACACATCTCTTCCAACGTCCTACCCATACACCAAACCTCCAAAACCTTCCTACACGCAATCGCAAACATGACATCGAAGCAAAGCGCCATCGAGATCGCCGAAGCCACCACCACCAAACCCGGCGGCAAGCACCCCTCTGCGTCTGCGTCCAAGTCCACCTCCCGACCGCACAACAAGAGCCTCGATGAGTACCCCGCCAACTCCCACAACCTGCACGCCGGCACTGGGAAGAGCAACACGAGCAAGCCCAACACCTCTGGACGGGGTTAGATTAAGAGTGGGAAAGAACATATCGAGCGGATCGGCTCCCTGAACTGTATGGTGCAGTCGTCGGGTCTTCTCCCCGGTTGACCGGGGGCGTACTGCCTCCGATTCCATACTCTGAATTGTACCTTTGTCATATAAATACATTTTTGGCTTCCATGTCTGTATGAAATATACTCAAATGCCCTCGAACGTGAAATGAATCTCTGAAATATACTCAAATACCCTCGAACGTGAATTGAATTTCTGCGCTGTGTTCGTCCCTTTCTGGCAGCGTTCGCTCCAACGTTGACTGCCAAAGGATATTGGTGGACATCCAGCCGAAATACGAGCAAAACTAGATTCGTGAATGGTCGTGACAGGATTGACATCAGGATCTTCTGTTCGCAGGGTGTCCAGTGCGTTGGTCTTCGGAGCTGCTTCAAGTTGGGCGGTGGGAAAGTGATGCCGATTTCTGGGGAGAATTGCAAGTCAGTGCCCTGTGGTGACAGTGAAGCTCAAGCTCATCTTCAGCGTCAGTGCCTTGCTCGTCAGCACCCTCAATGTGCTCATCCGAGCCATACAAGGGGCGCTTGCCCGTTTCCTTGCTCTCCGCGCAAAAGCGGTGTCAAGTCGGACGGCGATTAGGAGTACAAGACAATATCCGAACGCTTGCGGGGACCGTGGGTATTGGCGAACCCGTCGTATCTACCCGGACTTTTGGCCACCTACTGTCGACACCATGGGCGCCGCCGAGGCTCTGCACGCGGGCCCTCCGGCTTTCCGAAGTCCTCTGGGCGCCCAGCAACTGCACATTCGCGACCTGTCGAGAGTCAAGAAGATATCCAGGGAGGCGGTCCACCCCGTTTACGGTCAAGTTGAGCGGACCATCTTGGCTCTCTATGGCATCATACGCAACAAGTCAGCTGGCATAAGAAGGTCACCGACCCGGCCATTGTTGCGAGGTGGAAGGCCGAGCTACGTACGAGCTGCTCTCGGCCCTCGCCAGAACACGGAGGAAGAGGACGCACCGCTTGATGTAACGCTGTGGGAAGGCCGCTTGGCGGAACTTGCCGCAACCGTTAAGGACGAACCCTCTGTCCGCGATGACAGTCCGACTTCTACCGTTCAAGAGCTTCGAAGATATTTCATCAAGGCCACGCTACGCGAGCAGAGATGAGGGAGCAGGAGCGGAAAGCAGGGCGGAAATTGATCTTACTCACATGTTCCTCCTCTGGCTTCTCCAACAGACATTTGGAGGAACAGTACGCCATCAGGCTCTCTCCCGCGGCACGAACCCGGTTGGAAAGGCTGCTTATCGCCTTTCGCCGTTAGAAGTCCCGAACCCCGGGCAACCGAGAACACACTTACGCGCTACCCGCCTGCGTTTGGCAGCGACCGACAACGACTTGTTTCCTGTTCACTCCTGCAACTGCTGAAAAAAATTTCTCTGAAAGGCTTTTCAATTACGTTGTCGAAGAATCTAAAGCTGTGGCGGAATACTTCGGACTGGGGGACATCGTCCCCGCGGCAGTGCAAGGCGTCTACTAAGCCGACAAATGCGGTCATGACGAGTACATGCATCATCAAAAACAGGCGCTGGAATTTGCGGCCGATTTCGAGAACGTTGGCGACGCGGACAAGGATTGGCATCCCGAAACGAACGAACAAGTTTTGGATCTCGTTCATCCGTCCCTCTACTGCTTGGAAGATGGGAAAAGCAAAGCCTTGCGCGCCGAGACGATTCAATCTTTTGCCGATTCTCTACGTTTCATCAATACAGGAGACGTGCTGCCAGTAAAACTTTCGACAATCGAGGCCTGTCCGCTGGATGCGAAAATTGGAAGATGATTTTCAATGGCTGCCGACCGATGTCAACATCACCTACAATGCCGACGCCGCAGGTAACCGCGTGCAGTGCAAGTTCCAATCCTACATCAACAACATCCACCCGGCTCGAACAGCCGCGTACGATGCTCCACATGTTATTTACCTTGGCACCAAGTGGCAAGTCATCGTCAAAATGGCTAACATCGAGCTCACGCCCGAGAAACCGGGCTATCCCGGGGGATCATTGCATCTCGAAGGCACGGCACGCGAAGACATCGTTGCAACCGGGATCTACTACTACTCCATCGACAACATCACCACCTCGCGCCTGTCCTTCCAATCTGCATTTGACTCCGAAGAGGGGGTCAATTGGGACTATGAACAAGACGACCACGTGGAGATCAACGAGATCCTTGGAGTCCTCAACCACTAACCAGCGGTGCAATTGATGGGCTCCGTTGAAGCCATCGAAGGCCGCTGTATTGTGTTTCCGAACACCTACCAGCACAAGGTGGAGTCTTTCTCCCTTGCTGATCCTACTAAACCGGGGCACCGCAAGATCGTGTGCTTTTTCCTGGTCAATCCACAAAACCCCGACGTCCTGTCCACCTCAACGGTACCTCCGTAACAGAGCAGCTGGTTTTGGGAGGAGGTATGCGCAATCGTTCCCGCGTTGCGAACCCTTCCTCCGGAGATCCTGGCAAGTATCGCCAAGTACGTCGATTCGCCACTCAGACTAGACCAGGCGGCTGCGATTCATGCAGGCGCGGAAGGCGAAGGAAGGGGTCGTGGATGCACACTTCTATGAAGAGGTTCGCTGTATGGGCATTAGATAGCTGTGTAGGACGGGACATGAGTTGTCCTTTTCCATGAACTGGATTTCCGCCGCGTATCCACCGTCATCTTATACTGGGGGAATAGAAATTCCCCGTCCAAGGCCGCATATGTGACGCCGTGACACCATGTGCTTCAACTCCTCAAGACACGCTCCGGCGACCTAACGGCGACGTTCGGGCTCGACAATACGGTCGGGACCGGCAGTGCAAATCCTGAACACCAAGTGCATTGCTTTTGATGTACCACTGTGGATGGTCCCGACGTCGCTCTCGTCACTTCCGTGGTTCTCCGTCCTAGAAGAAAGAGCATGCGCTGTCGAATTCGATGGATAGTATTGGAGTCTACGGGTGTGTATCGCCACGGACACCTCCCGCTTGATCAGAGCGGAGTTTGGTGGTCGCTTACGTAACCCGCAACACTGTCAATCGTCTTTCCATATCTAGCGGTGAACATGATCCGGTCGTTTGTGCGTCAATACTGTACATGGACATTGTTTCTTGCATCAACATGGGCACTCCGCATGCATGCTTCCATGTGGATATCAGTATTGTATGGCGTTGCTTCAATGTCCTCCACCTTGCTTGCGGCGGTGGGCATGAGGCTCCTTGAGGCTTCGGACGGAGGCTCTCAGCGACGCAACGACGCCCAGACACGCAGAGCATCAAGATGGCCTTCCGCCCGGATGCCGATGAAGACCCATCCCGCTTGAAATATAAGCGCAGACACAGACACCCCCTAGCACTCACTATGTCGACTAGTACTGTTCCTCAGGCCATCGAAGGCGACAAGCATCAGCCAAAATGTCTACCCCGAACCCACCCCCCCCCTACTCGCCCCGCCACATGCCCTCCACCCACTCCAAGCGGCAAAGGTTTCCGCCTGCTATGGAACTACGACTTGCCAGTCAACCCGACGGATACTTCACGGCCGGTGCTCGTTGGTACCGAAGTGACCGTTGCAAGTCCTTGTGCTTGGTAAATTCAGCTTGTGCTGGTTGTAAGTCTCTATGTGTCTCACACTTACAATGACTCTTCCCCTGAACAGCGCTAACTCATGTTCGAGTAAACCACGTTGTGATTATTGGAGCTGGGATGGGCCCACGCAGACTTGCCAGTTGCGCGGGTTAGCTAATGCGGTATGTTTGGACACGAGGATATTGACGGAATTGGACCATAGCATCTTAGGAAACGTGCTTATACATCAGGCTCTTATCATTCTGTTTTTTTTTTCTCGCAGATGCCAGAGAAACAGTACCATACTATCTTCAAAATGGTGCCCAGCAATATTCTCGCCGGCGGTCTTCCGCCATTGCACGCAGACCAAGACATTTGGCATCAGTTCGGCACACCCTGGACATCCGACGCATGCATCTCCCTCTGCATGGGCAACTCTACATGCCAGTACGTCGCATGGGCTCCGACAGAGTGCTGGCTGAAGTCGGGCGTCTATGTTGCGACGGATTTTGCTGTGGGATTGCCCGACCCTGCTGTTGCTTATTCATCGATTGATCCGCCGGTACAGTCCTCATCCGCGCCAACTTCGGGTCCGACTAATGCTCCTAGCGCCGGAGCGAGCGCTGGAGACAGTAAAAGCAATGTATTGCCTGCGGCCGTAGGTGGTGCGGCAGGAGCAGCCGTCATCGCGATTATAGGCGCGTTGTTACTTCTGCATCGGCATCGGAAACGAAACGCCATGCGAACTGCTGATAAGACGACCGGGTATCTACCGGCTTCCGCCCATCCGCCAGCGGCCGCGACGGCTGATGCATTTGTCCCGCTTGCGTCAGGAGGGACGCCGGCGCGGACGGAAACTATGGCATCCGGCCCCATTCCTAGTATAGTCAATCCTCCTTTCCAATCCGCACCACAAGGTTCCCACCATATCGTGAACATGGCCGATACTCAAGCATCGGCGTCCCTTCCACTGAGCAGCGATATGGCGGCTGCAACGGCAACGGCAACCCCGCCATCCTACGCAGAATCTGAACGCCAAATTTTCGGCCCGAACATTCCCGTCGCGGGCACTGCCACCGGCAAAAACAGATTCATCCATCCCTACGTACCCCACCACACTGCCGATCACGCCTCCCCAAGCGCCGGGACGCCATCCTCCTCGCCTGGCGAATACCTAGCAATCCAAGGCCACACCCCGGCAAACCCAGAGGAGATGTTGGTGCACAAAGGCGATTGTGTGTTGGTGCAGAGTATCAGGACGGCTCGCGAGGGTGAAGATGCGGGATCTGAGTGGGCGGTTGATGCGGTGAATATTACGAGGGGCGGGAAAGGGGATGTGCCGATGGGGTGTTTGAGGAAGGAGGGGTGAGGCGGGAAGGCGGCGGGACCACGAAGTTGTTCCATCCCTCGGTTTCACGGCGTATTTATTAGCGGGGACCCTCTAGAGTGTCTTCTTGAATACAGACGACAGCCTTTTTCTGTTCTGCGGACTTGGCGTATGTTTGATTCTTCCCACATGTTGCATTCCCCCCCTACTCGCCACTATTTGAAGGGATTGTTAGTCTGTACATCTTTTTGTTCGTTCAGATTCATTATATTGAAAACACTCGGCTGCGAGTGTCTTCGCTACCTCTCAACATAATTCCGATTGTATCAGCTCATCAAGTCTGCACCCGAAAAGTTTCAAAGAATGGGAAGAAGTGGCTGGGTTATCGTCAAGATTGCATACATATGTATGTAAATACAAGCGTGTATAGAAGAAAATGGGGGAAGAGATATCTACAGGGGAATACTATGTATGTACTACGCCACGGACCTGCTCACATTCGACATCTCAGTGGGACTTGGGCGCCGCCTGCACCCACTCCATAACCGCCTTCCAGGTGTCCATCTCCGTGGACCTCTTGAACCAAGCGGCGACATTTGGCCTGGTCTTGATCAAATCCGGCTGCGTGCGATTGATCACATTGAAGTAGGGCAGATGCGCGACATCCGCCAACGAAAACTCGTCATTCGCAAAAAAGGTGCGGGTCGCAAAATGGCGCTCGTAGATGTCCAGCGTGGGTTCGAGCAGTGCGCGCGACGCCGCGAGTTTGGCCTCGTCGGTGGGCAGCTTTGCGACGGGTTTGATGGCCGTTTCGACGATCACGCCTTGGATGTGCGGGTAGAAGTTGAACGAGGATTGGTACGTCCATTGGTCCACCACCGCGGCTTTCTTGGGGTCGGTGGGCACGAGCTTGGTCCCGATGGTGGGGTACTCCGCATCGAGGTATCGGACGATCGCAAGGGATTCAAAGATCATGAACCCAGTCTCGTCTTCGAGGACAGGGATCTTGCCGAAAGGGTGGCGGGCGATATGTTCGGGGAGTTTTTGCTCCCGCTTCAGGACGTTGATGTTGATGAACTCAAAGTTGAGGTTCTTTGCTTTGAGCGCAAAGACGACTTTTTGGGTGCAGGTTGAGACGGACATGCCGTAGAGCTTGTATTGGTGGGCGACCATGATTGCGAAGCGAGGTGGTGGGCTGAAGGTTGGATGTGGGGTTGCGAGGACGCGTTGTGGGGTAGGCGATGTGAGTGGGGTAGATTCACCGGAGTCGGAGGAAGGCCTCCCACTTTATAGAATCTCAACGGTGAGAACGACGCATACTGTACTGCGACAAAGCCCTTCTGGCAAGGGTCGGTATACAAAGAAAGAAAGGAAATCGTGGACAAGCCTCCGAAAGCATTTGAAATACTGTCGGGGAAAGGAAATGAATAGTACCCGTCGGCGGTCGTGGAACAAAGATCTGGGGTTCGGAGGAAGCGGAAGCGGTGAGTGATTCGGAATCTCAGCCAGCTTCGCTGCTCACGGTTACGAAACACGGTTGTGTGAACTGCTGACGAACGGCGAGTGTGGACGGTGGACGTCGATGAACTGTCATTGCTTTGTGGCCATGAAACTGCAAAGTACTGTATGCGGCGTTCGCTCCAACCGTTATTCCTTTCCAGCCTCAGATCCCGATTCCCGCTGCACACATGCAGTCCTATAATAATATCCCACCTCTTCTTTTCTCACCTCCAAGCGCCACCTCGGGGTGTTCTGTCTGTTGGTGGACAAGCATCTCAGCCCAGCCGGCGCAAAGTGCAATGGGCGCGACGCGTCTCCGATGGCAACAGTTCCCCTTCCCTTTTTCCTTGGCTTTTTCCTTGCGCCCCGTCTGCCGTTCAAGTACAATACTGGGATATGGAGGTGGGACCAGTAATGGATCGGGTGCAATGCTGTCTCGCAAACAACTATCGCAACACCGTCGAGATCTCTCTGTTTTGACGGTCGCGTACAGTATGTCGCTCACACTGCATTCGCTCGAACGATCCCAGTATTGTACAGCGCTTCTGTATCTTCCGGCACTTTCACATGAAACGCTTGATATCGCATCTGTGTACAGTAGATTTCGAAGCTGCTATCACTGATCCCAGGGACTCCAAAACGAATGAACCTGCACTGCCAGTGTGCCGGAAGGGATCGAAAGCATACTATCTATGTACATATGTACATATGTATGCAGGAAAGCAAAGGCCGAAACGTGGTCCAGGTCTGATGCACATTGCACGCTGCATTCCATTCCCGCCCCCAGCACATAGCCCACTCTGTCAATTCTCAGGTCACTTACAGCACATCTTAGTCCCGAGTCCGACTTCCACGGGTCACCAGGCTTACCTCCTTCCCGCCAAAAGCGCCACGTTGTGTTCACTTGCCATGTGCAGTGACCCCCACAAGGAACCGTCACGATGATGTCGGGATGAGACAAGGCTGGCTTGATGGCTGCCTGTCTGTCCGGAGGCTTCATCTATACTATTACTGTACCAAGCAGTAGAGAGCACCCACGATCGTATGCGATCGTATGATATCCGCGAGCCGTAAGCCAGAACGACTGCTATGCTTTCGCGGCGGGAAGAGACTGATCCATCCCAAGCTCAGGGCCCGACTTGAGCGGGAAGCCGATTGTTGGCAGGTCGTCAGGGTCGTCGTTTCGGAAAGTGGCTTTCCACGACACAACGACGTTGTACGGCGACAGCATGCAGGCATCGAGTTGTGAACCATTGGATGCATCAGTGTGATGAGCCGCCACGCCACGTCTCTGAAAGCCCAACTGCAGGATGGCTTGGGGTCCTGGAGTTTTCGGGCATTAGGGAGGGAAAACCGAAAACATAGGCTGCGTTCCGTGACTCCCTATCTGGCGGGACGACAGACAACCCGAAGGCGGGCCTTTCCGATGTCCTGCATGCGATGTGCTCGCCCAAGATGCAGCTGGCCCGCTCAAAACGTCAACATCCATACACACATTCAACACACTCCCGTACGCTTGCTCGGGTCTCCACGCCTCTTGTCCGTTGCCGCCCTTTTCCAAAACGCACCCGCCCTCTGTTTTGTGCTCGTGCCAGCCCATCCCGATGCAAACGTGCATGCTGAAGGGCACCCTGCTGCCGGGGATGATTAGATGAGATCGGGTGAGCACCACCGAGCCTGCCGCCTCGCATCGCCCTGGTCCGTTTTCCGTCCGAGGTCAGGGATGGGTATAAAAAGGCAGGGGGGCTGCCTCGAGCCCCTCGGCTCCCGTATAAGCAGGACGTTTGGTCGTCATCAAGAATCTTTTTCAAACGCTCGTCGTTGATACCCGACCTTGACACCAAAGCAAGACGTTCATCCATTCTCACATTCCGTTCGCACTACAAACATATCAAGAAATCTGGCATCACATCGCATACTGAGAACAAACATTACAAGAAATCCATTACACATAACCAAGCATCAAACATGGACAACAGTAAGAAGATCGCCGTTGTAGGCATGAGTTGGTTAGTACATGAATGTGTCAGATGTCTAAGCGTTGGCCAACTGATCTCTCGCTCTCGGCTTTCTGCGCTTCTTCCCTTCATAGCCGCTTCGCAGGAGTTGAAGGCGTCGATGAGTTCTGGGAGGCTATCTCCCAAGGCATGGATATGATCACCGAGGTGAGCTCATCGTGCCAACCTCGATCCGCCACGCCATCGTCGCTTGTTGACCATTTGCCTAACCATCCCACATCCCCAGATTCCTGCCTCCCGCTTCGACTACACCCACCACTTCTCCGCCACCCGCACCGACCCCAACACCTTGAGTACTTCCGTTGGCGGTTTCCTCAAGCATGGCGAAGATTTCGACCCCCGTTTCTTCAAAATGAGCCCTCGCGAGGCCGCCGAGACCGACCCGCAGCAGCGCGTCGTGCTCGAGGTTGCGTATGAGGCTTTGGACAGTGCGGGATATGTGGCGGACAAGACGCCGGCGATGATGAGGAAGAGTTTTGGGGCTTATGTTGGTGTTACCAATTGTGATTATGCGGCGGTGAGTTCGGTTTCGTCCTCGGATGTGCAGGTCGTTGCAAGGCAACGATAATCCAAGTCGTCGCTAATACTTCTTCCACCGCAGAACTCCCACAGCGGCATCGGCCCTTACTACACGACGGGAACCGGCAAATCCTTCGTGAGCACCCGCATCAGCCACGCATTCGGTTGGTCCGGTCCGAGCATCACTGTTGACACCGCAGGCTCGTCGGGCCTCGTCGCCATCCATCAAGCTTGTCAAGCCATCATTCATGGGGATTGCAAGGCCGCTGTTGCGGGAGGGGTGAACATGATCACGAGCCCGCACATGTACGTGGGTCTTTCCCGCGCCTCGATGCTCTCCGCGACTGGAGGGTCCAAGCCGTTTGATGCAGCTGCCGACGGGTACTGTCGCGGCGAGGGATGTGGGATTGTTGTACTTAAACGATTGAGTGATGCCATCGCCGACCGTGACAATGTAAGTTTCGATGATAGTATGCACCACGAGTGCAACCAACATCACTATTGTGGACCTGCTTACTCATACATCATCGCTCCATACCCGACAGATCATCGGCGTCCTCACCGGTAGCGCCGTCAATCAAAGCGGTCCGGCGAGCTCGATCACGTCCCCGCACGCCGAGACGCAAAAAGATCTTCTCGACACCGTGATGGCCAAAGCGGGCGTGCGCACACAACACGTTACGTACGTTGAGGCTCATGGTGGCGCAACCCAAACCGGCGATGCAGCCGAGATGGCTGCGCTCCAGCAGGTGTTCGGTGTGAACCGAATGCATGACAATCCGCTCTATGTGGCGTCGGTTAAGCCGAACGTTGGACATGCGGAGTCGGTAAGTGGATTCCTTTACGCCAAGTGCGTAAGCGCCGGGTTCATGGTTTCTGATATCTCTCATCCGCACATTAGGCCTCGGGACCCGCCTCCTTCATCAAAGTACTGCTCATGATGCAGCACCGTGCCATTCCTCCGCATATCCATCTACACAACTTGAATCCCGAGATCGACCACTTGAAGACATTCAACATGGTTATCCCGAAAAAGCTGACTCCGTGGGTTTCTTCCACATCCCGAACTGCCGTCGTCAACAACTACGGTGTTGGCGGATCGAACTGCAGCGTGGTTATCGAGTCTTTCGACAACACGCAGCAGCGTCAGCAGGACTCTTGTGGGCCGGCCGTCCACGTCCTCACGTTGTCTGCAAAGAGTACAACGTCGCTGCAGAACCTGCGCAGCCGATACTGCAAGTTCCTGAAGAGCGCTAGGCAGGACATCAGCGATATTGCATACACGGCCTCAGCGAGGAGGAACCACTACGGATATCGCCTGGCGGTGACGGGCTCGAGCCCTGATGCGCTTCTGGCGGCGTTGGAAGCTCCTAATTGTGACACTGCGGCCTTTAGGAACCAGGTTCGTGCTTCACGTTTTGTTTGCATCGCTCTGTTCTCGAAACTGATCCTTAGTGCCCCAACCCTCTCATATTCAGCCGCGTAAGATCGTATTCGTCTTCCCTGACCAGGAATGCTTCTATCTCAACATGTGCAAGGAGCTGTACACAACTTTTTCGACGTTTCGCAACGCGTTCAATGAATGTGACGCCTTGATTCAAAAGGAACAGGGATGCTCGATCCACGATGTTGTCTTTGCATGCCACTCTCCGTCGCTTAGCCTGCAGGACACCCAGCTGGCTGTCTTCGCGGTGCAGTATGGTCTCGCTAAGATGTGGTCGAGCATGGGCGTCCGTCCTGAGGTAAGTTGGAGTGCTGGTATCTGTAATTGGAAAGCGCCGCACCTCCTAAAACTTGGATTCTAGTTTGTACTCGGGCACGGCCTCGGTGAATATGTCGCAGCTGTCGTAGCGGGCTGTATCACCGTCAAGAGTGCCGTCCATCTTATTATCGCTCGCTGTAGCCTTTTGGAGCGGATGCACTACCACAAGCACATGTTGACCATCAGTGATTCAGCTTCGCACGTCAAGACGCTGATCCACTCGGCGTTTCCAAACATCTGTTCCTCCACTGTTCCTGAGATCGCATGCCAAAACTCGCCCGAAGATGTCGTCGTCGCGGGCGAAACGGCCCATCTCCGCGTGCTGGAAGAGAAGTGCAAGACAAGGGGCATTGCCACCAAATGGTCAGATGTCGCCTTTCCGTTCAACTCGCGCTTCGTTGAGCCTATGCTGGATGAGTTCCGATGTGTAGCGGCAAAGATCGAATATCGCGCGCCTACCATTGCATTCATGTCGAACGTGACCGGCGGAAGAGTGGCAACCTTGGACGCCGACTACTTCTGCGACCAGATGCGCAAGGTCGTTCGTTTTGAGCAAGCTGTGGATTCCATCCTGGATGCTAATGCCGAGCAACCCCCTGTCTTTATTGAGATGGGTCCGTCTGGTTTCCTTCCAATGATCAAGAAGATTGCCGCGGCTCGCGGTTCGCCCTTCACCGAGCAGCAGGCTCTTGCCACCGTACGCCGCCAAGGTAGCGATTGGGCCCACTTCACTGGCGCCCTCAAGCATTTATACCTGCAGGGCGTCGACCTCGACTGGGACGCGCTGTACGTCGACCGAGTCCAGCGGAAGGTCGTGAACCTGCCCTCCTATGCGTTCGACCGTGTGAGGTGCTGGATCGATTTCAAGGACGTGCCGTTCCAGCATTCGGCGTGCCTGCTTTTCGAAAAGGCACAAGCCGGGAAGTTGGCTGCCGAACACGCAAGCATCCAGCTTACAAGAACCACTATCCAGCATTTGCCCGATTTATTTGATCTGCTTCATCGTGTGGTCCAAATGCCCGCCCATGCCAATGGTCATGTAGCGATCTTTGACCTCCCGACACTCGCCATTGCCAAGTACATCGATGGACACCGACTCGAAGATTTCGCAGTGTGCCCGGCCTCAGTGTACTGCGAGCTTGCCATGGCGAGCGCTTGTGCTATCGACAAAGCAAACTTCGATACCGCGTTTGCCGTCCGAGACCTGGAGCTGATTCATCCCCTCGTCCGACACAAATACAGTGCGATCACCATTAGGATCGAAATGGAGCAAAGAAATGCGGCGTACGCTTTCTGCGTCACATCCTATTCGGATGCCAACCCTTCAGTGTTCGTCAAGCATGCGGAAGGCGTAGTTGAGCTCCAAGCCGTGGGCATTGTGCGGAAGCAAATCGAGCGAGACGTCAAGGAAAATGATATCCGCGGCCAACTCAATCGCATGCAGATATCGGCGGATGCGGACATCATACGCCGCTCGGAGATCTATCGCGTGTTCGATCGCGTTCTCGCCTATACCCCGATGTATCAAGGACTGAAGCGCGTCGAATTGTCCGCGAGCGGGCAGAAAGGTTCTGCGCGCATTTCGGTGGATTTGCCGCTCTCGGCTGGCAGCGAAAAGTACGTCGTGCACCCGGTTTTGCAGGACACCTTCCTGCAGGGTGCGATCTTCCTCGCCAATGGACATTCCTCGTGCCCCAAAACCGAGGTGCGCTTCCTGAATGGGATCAAGGAAGTCATGTTCCTGCAAGGCGGCATGGACCCGACCGCGGAGTACTACGCCTTCTTCATGCTCGAGGATAAATCAGCAAGAGAGAAGGTAGCCAAGATTTACATCTTCGACTTGAACGAAAATCTCGTCGCGGTCATGTCTGGCATCTCGTTCAGGTGCTTGCAACGGAGTGTCCTTACAACACTCCTGAGCTCATCCCTCGCAATGCACACGTCAGCAGTGAAGGAGATGCCCAAAGAAATTCCGAGATCCGTCATGGACAGTCTCCGTTTTCCGTCCCCGCCCGCGACGCCTCAGCTCTCGCCTTCTCCCCTACGCAGCCGCACGGTCTCGATCGCGAATGACTCCCGGTCTTGGTCGGCTACACAGTCTGCTATGGCTTCTGTTAGTGTAACACCAACTAAAGGACAGTCTCCTGTCAGTAGCCGTCAGAGCGTTAGTTCGTCGGGCATCAGTCAGCGCTCGACCGTCACCATCTCTCTTCTCAAGACGATTATCGCCGAATCACTTGGAGTTGATTCGACGGAGTTGAAAGACGACGATAACCTGGTAGACTGGGGACTGGATCCGTTGATGACAATCGAAATTCAGAGTAAGCTGCGGAAATTGGTCTCCTGCGAACTCGGCACCTCCGCCTTCACCGACTATCCCACCATCAGCGGCCTCTTGGCACATCTGAATGGTCATGCGAAGACCACCGTGTCGTCTGCGACGGCAAGCACCAGAAGCGTCAAAACCGCCGCCCCTATGGCATGTCGGACTTCTTATAGCTCCACCGCGCCCACAGTCAAAAGCATCGTGGCCGACGCGTTGGGAATGAGCGTAGCCCACCTTCTCCAGCAAGACTGCGCCCTAGCCGAACTCGGCATGGACGCCGTCATGCTGATCGAGATCCGCGAAGCCATCTTGAAACGCTTACATGTAGATATCGGCCTCTCATTCTTCGTCGACAATCCTACCCTGCACGCGCTTTGCAGACACGTAGACGAGCGCCTGGGCTTTTGCGAGGTGGCAGTCGAAGCCACGCGGAACGTTTTTCAGACGCATGACCGAAACCACGTCCATCGTATTCCGGCCGCGCGCAAACCAAGGATCAATGCGGCCCCGCACCACCACATCACATCGACCATGGTGTCTCGCTACATCCCCGACATTCACCACGCGATGGACAAAGTCTCGGCCAAGTTCTCGAAGTTCGCTGAAGAGACTGGATTTGCCGGGTACTGTGACACTGTCGAAGTCCTGCAGGACCAGCTCTTCATCCGCTACGTTACGGACGCGTTCGCCAAGCTCGGGTGCGACCTCCCGCACATGCGACATGGAGCAAGCGTGGGCCACCTGCACAATGTCCTTCCGGAGCATTCGCGTTTGATGGGTCGGCTTTGGTGGGCTCTTGCGGAGGTTGGTGTTGTCAAGTTCGATGAGGATCGCAACGAGTACGTTCGCAGTCATTTGGACTTGTCCGGCATCCCGCAATCGGACGAGCTGCTTGACACATTGTTGGACCGCTATCCGGAGTATTCGCAAGACACGAGATTGATGGCCAAGACCGGCAGCGTTTTTGCAGACTGTCTGACGGGCAAGGTCAACTCACGCGAGATTTTCTTCGATGACTTCGAGACATCGCACCTGATGCACTCGCTTTACACCGGGTCTCCGATGTTTGCTACCACCATGAAGCAGCTCAACGACCTGCTGCCGGCGCTATTCCGTGTGTTTGACACGGAAGCGGCGCGTCGACCGGTGCGTATCCTGGAAGTCGGCGGCGGAGTTGGCGGAGCTGCTCAAATGATGATTCCCACTCTGGCGAAACTTGGACGAAAGGTCGAGTATACGTTCACCGACGTTTCGCGGTCGTGGTTTGCGAAGGCGCAGAAGACGTTGGACATGTATGATTTCGTTGATTGCAAGGTGTTTGACTGTGATCAAGATCCAGAGGAACAGGGCATTGCGATCGAAAGCTTCGACATCGTCATCGCGGTGAACGGCGTCCACGCCGCTCAAAACCTCAACAGAGCAGTAGGGAACATCTCCAAACTCCTCACCTGCAACGGGGTTCTCATCCTCTCGGAACTCATCCAAGCGCCGTTCTGGCTGGACCTCGTGTTCGGTTTACAGCGAAAGTGGTGGAACTTTGACACCGATGAGCGCAACTACCCCCTGATCTCGACAGACGCATGGCGCGGCGTTTTTGCTTCGTCTGGATTGACCCAGTTTGCGTACACCCGTGGCGTTTCGGCGGAAAGCAATATTCAGAAATTGCTCTGCGGTCGCAAGACTGCTATTCCTGGGAAAGTGCACACCATCATACACTCCATTGACCCGACCATCAAGGACGTGATTGACACCTCCGACGAAGAACTGATGCACGTTCTGCGCCGCGAGATCTCCCTCGTCTTTGGTAGCCTGAGCCTACCGCTCAGTGGTAAACACACGATCGCGGAGTTTAGCAGTATCATCGAACAGCACCTTCTCGACGAGGCCGCTCTGGTCCGAAGCGACCATTTCATCACCACCCATCACTGGCATCCCGCAACTGACCGCTCTCACGACGTTCCCGCCCGCACCGCTCGCTTTCCACTCCTCAACCTCTGCCAGACATATCTTGACGGCATCCACCTCCCCAAAGGGGCGATTCGATCCCACACGTACCACGAGAAAATGATCCCGCACCACATCGACGTTTCCAAACTAGAGGACGCCATGAACGCACTGATCGAGCGACACCCGATGCTCAAGGCCAAGATTTCCGCGGACGGGCAGTACTTTGTTGACCAGTCTGCCGGACCGTATCGCATTCGGAAGCAACATATGCATGGGAAATCGGAATTTGAGGTTAAGAGGGTGTTGGAGGAGATCCGGGAGGACCGGAAGAGTGCTGGGGGTGGAGAGGATGGGTGGTTGTTCTTCTTGGCTGTGGTTGAGGTGGCGCATAACGAGACTATTCTGGTCTTTGATGCTGGTAAATGAGATTTCCAGCACATTGTCATGCTTCGAAAGGACGCTGACAGCTAATATCGTCGCCCATTTTCCTTGTAGACTCACTATTGATGGATTCACAATCCATGCTCCTACTCTCGCGTCAGCTCGCCATCGGCTACTACGAAGGCCCGTACGCCATCCCTAGCGGACCAGACTTCTCCTACGCCGAGTACACCCGCATCATCGCAGCCCGACAGGCAGACTCGGACATCGCCCGAAAGGAAAGAGCATACTGGTTCTCGCGACTCGACACGCTTCCCGGCCCCTTGAGACTTCCTCACAAGAACGGTGCGACCATGACTGTCCAACATCCCGGATTCCGCAACCAACTCCACCGGATCGACAGCGCTCGATGGGCAGCAGTTCGCCACCAGATCACCTCACGGGGTCTAGAGCCGTCAACCGTGCTCATGGTGGTATTCGCCGAGATGTTGAGCATGCAGTCCGGCCAAAACCATTTCTGCTTCAATGTGAAATTTCAGGACCGCGTTCGTGGCATTCACGATGAGGTTGATGATATCGTTGGCAATTTCGACGCTGCGATGCTTGCGGAGATGGACTTTAGGGATGGTGGGGAGATGTTGGTGCAGAGGGCTAGGAGGGTTCAGAAGATGGTGTTGGAGGATCTTGCGCATTCGAGCCTCGTCACTGCGACACAGGGTAGGTGGATGATTCTCGACCGTCGCTGCTGCAAAACTCTAGCTGATCTCAATCGACTTTCCAACACTTCAGTTACGGCCGAACTGAACAAACGACGTGATACCCCCCACAAGACTTACTCTCCCGTGACATTCGAGAGCAAGTTCCCCTTGGTGCGCAAGCTGAAGAAAATGGACTCTCAAGACCGCATGTTCCTGTTTGAGCCTCTCGTCGAGGAGAACGTTACATACCACAATCACGCTACCGCCGGCATGGAGCTGGACCATCAGGTAAGGACGCCCGTCATAATACCAGGCATATGCCGCGATTGTCACTGACTCGTAGTCTACTTTTACGCCACCAGGTTGCAGAAGACGACGCCGGCAGGCTCGTAATGAACTTTGACTTCATCCGGAACGTCTTCCCGCAGGATTCCATCACGGACATGACGGCTTGGTACATCGAAACGATTCGCAGTCTCGGCGACAGCGAGGCCTGGAGCAAGCCTTCGATGGCGCGGATGAAGTCTAACGTGCCAGCATCGATGTCATGCGAGACGCAAGGGAGAACGACATGCTCGACACGGGCTGGATGCTGGTGCCAAAAGCAATGAAGCGACAAAACGTTTAGCTGCAGGTGCATTGGCGTAAAAGATTGGCATCTTCAGCGGTTACACCTCAAGGACTTTTGCATAGAGTCCTACGATATGCGCGGCGTACTTGTAGACTTCTCCATTCATGTATTTTCTTACAAACACACATTTGAAGGTTAGGCGTCATTATGCAACGATCTCTCATTACATGGGCCTCTTTCGCCGACGGCGGAGATGGATCTTAACCAAAACGGAAAGGCCACCTCCATCACTGGCGAGTATGTTCACATTCGCGCTTTTCGATGATATCTTTGCCCATAGCAATGCAGAGGGTGCAAAGCAGGTTCAACGGCGCCTCACGGGAATTTTCCCAAGAGTCTCCGGTTCCTCAAAGAACCGCCCTGGTATTCGTATAGAGCCGATCTTCCGTCTCGTAAGTGGTCACGCCACGCCATACTCGCCGTGGTACTGTAGTAGACCTCAAACACGATAAATGGCCCTACATGTACATATACATATACAGTGGTGGTGGCCGCGGCGTTGTCTCCTCCGTCTCTGTGCTTGGCGTTGTTGCGGTGGTGGTATGACGATACTCTGAGGAGGTGGAAAAGTTCAACGAACAAAAAACGGAGAGACAAAACAGGAGCTCCCCCACCGGGAGTCGAACCCGGGCCACGTCGGTGAAAGCGACGGATCCTAGCCGTTGGACCATGGAGGACTTGATGAATTGCCTCTAAAATGCGCGTGTCTGAATGCGACAGTGCTGTGCGGAGAAACCGCGCGGAGAGTTCGAGGGATCTCCACACTTCTGGAAAGGAGAAACCAGGGAGAACATCCCCAGGCACGATAAGTAGAACATGTACCCGCCCCTGACCCGCCCCCGCGAGTCGATTTGAACTACCACCGAGTGAGGCAACGGCTGAGCGATATCTGCCATCCCCCCGGCCCCAACGCCCCGCGCACCACACGCCAGGAGAGGCTGGCGGAGCTGGCAGAGGAAGATTTCTACTGGCAAGATCCGCGCCTTCATTAGCTACAAAAACACGTTCGACGAAACCGGTCTCGAGCAGGTTAAAGGATGGCTCGTTGTCGAGGCGCACATGGCTCGGCTGGGAGAAGCGAGGGAGGAGGACGCAGACGACGACGACTTTAGAGACGACGACGACGCGCAGAACGTTAAACGCCTGAAGTCCTATGATGTGCGTAAAGTGGTCAATATCGAGAGAGCAGTTGAAAACGGTTAGTGACCCCTTTCATAGTGGTCGTCGGACGAAGGACCTTGGACGACATACTGGGAAACGTTGATGATTAACGAACGCAGGGTGAGCCCAAAGGATCGCCGAAGGTTATTTTCGTCCATATTGCACCAAACACTTCCCTGACGGTTAGAACAGCCGAAACTTCGAGAGTGCAGACCTGCACCAAAATCGGCGTGCCGAAATGCTGCGACGTCCCCGCCCAGAAAGTGGAGTTTCCAAACGCTGTCCGCGAATTGGAGGCAAACAAAGTGCAAGGCCGCCTCTGAATCATCACCCGGAGCAATATCACCGAGGGCCTTAAGTCTGTTATGGACGACAAGCCTCGTGATTGGCTGAACTGGGTCGAGCGCTCCATCGTCGACAGTTACGAGCTTACAGTAGAGGAGTTGGACGTCGGGGAGCACACGTCGGCGTTGAGTGCGTTTGTGGAGAAGATCAAGTTGAGGACAGAGAAGCGTCGTTCAGCGCTCGAGAAAACGACCCTGCTCATCGAGCTCCAGAACGCTAAATTACCCGACCTCCACTGAGAACATATCTGGCGGCAGAGCGAAGACCTCGCCAAGACCTCGCCAACTCCTCGCACCTACGGTGACACTAGCCGACGTCTCGCTGGCTGCATGAGCATGACCGACTGCCTGAATCAGTGTTGAAGCTGGAAAACCTTCTCTTCCTCGACGACGACACGTCGCAGATACCATCTCCTTCGGTCAAGGCCTCAATGTGACCCCTCTGACCTTAAAAACTGTGCTAAAACAAAGGATGAGGATCCTGCCGCGTCTCAAACCCACACCCACACCCACACCCACACCCACACCCGAAGAACCTGCTCATGACCAGCGTGATCAAGACGTATGTTGAAGCCGGGCGTTCTCATGGAGAGAAGAGTGAATGTGCTTGCTAATCATATCGCCGGTGAAAAAAAGGCTCACAACATCGAATACTCGAACACACAGTACGGTGCACTGAGGACATACGAGCAAACCTGGTTCCTGTACGGGGATTCTGAAGACTCTTGGACGCTGCCCATCTTATCAACAATCGAGGCCGGAACCATGGGCGCAAATGCATGGGCTTCCATTCGGAAGGAAGCTGCATTTGTCTCATGGTTCTGTCCTCGATTGTAACGCCGCTAGCGCCGTTCCTATCCCAGAAGATCACCAGACGATGACTGTGACATCGGAATATACAAGAATGGTGTAACCCTCCGACGCCGCTTCCGCCGTGGCGTTTGGCAAGGGTTACTTTCTCAGCTACATTAAGTCTGTCAAGCCCACACTCTCTGACGTCATTGTCGCTCGCATCGCAACTCTTCGTTTCTTCGCTGCGCGTGAAGGCTTGGTCAGTCGCTTATTCAGTCAAATACAAGGAAGCCCGCAGGTTGCCTGAAAATTCCAACATCGATCTTGCCTGCCCATTTTCGCCAAAACGACTACACCACGCTTCAGAAAGAGTTCACCAACATCGCAGGGGCAGTGGCCTATATGTTCAGAGTTCGCGGGCACCATTGGTTGGAGGATATGCAGGCTCGGTATGAGAATGTCTGGAAGAAATGTTTGAAAGATACTGTCGACCCCGGCATCCCTCGGAGATACGTTGCTCATGAAGCCTTGCATGCCATTTACCCAATGGTTCTTGATGACTTTTGGAAGCAAGCTTGCGAGAATGGGAATATTGCCGGAGCCTTGTCCAAGCGTTGGAATAGTGCCCCTGCCGGAGTCGCGGCGTTCAAGGCAGTCTACCAGGGGGCAACAGACCTCGCAATGGCTATTCCCAACATCAAGATTCCCTTCAATGGCCATTACGAAGAGCTTGAGAAGATCATCACTCATCTCCGGGACAATCGTTGGGATGGTTCCATTAACGCCCGATACTACAAGGCCGGGAAAATTCCCTATGACGAGGGCAAGTTTGGGGTTCTTGCAGCTGCTACACTCGCTGCTCTTCAAGCATTCGCTCCTGCTAGCCCTTTGGCTCAAAGCCCCGCTTTAAAGCGTGTTGCTGATAATGCGCCCATCGCCGGTGGTGTTCTTGCTCGTGCGATCTCGACTGTAGCTACTTCTGAGGCTTGGAGAAGAAGGGTATGAGAGGGTAGTAGCAATGGTCGTGCGACCGTCAGCGAACTCAATGCGACGCCCTTACTGATGATGGAGATGTACGTCTTTGATGGAGTGATGCAACGCCTGGAGGATCATATTCGCGACCATATTCGCGACACGAGAGAGGCGGACGCCCTGGCTTCGCTCAAGAAGGAAGGGTTAGGGGGAAGGGGGGGGAAGGGGGGAAGGGGGTGGTTGTTCTGACCCTGGCAGCTCGTCGCGCTGGTGCTCCGTTGCTTCGCGAGATAATGGAGCAGTGTAATCGGTTGGAGCAGACAATCATTGTGTTCGAAGGCTGAATCGGCATGGCTGGAGTGGTGATGGGTTGGCGGCGGCTCGGTAAGCTATCATGTATTGCGCTATTGCGAGGTCGCGTAGGGATGTAAACGGTTTTGGACCAATGGCCTTTTGCTAATCTTTCTTTCCGCTATACCTCTCCTCCCAGGGCTTCGCTGGTCAGAGACAACCGTTGGGCAAGGAAGAACTGTCGTGCTTTTCGTTTGAGGTCTTTTGAGACGGGTGAGCGTCGCCCTATAATGTATACGCCATCATTCTGAGACCTTTGTGGTTGGGGTCTTGGATGAAAATGGTCACTCGCTAGACGTGCTGCGACTGAGGGCGCACACAACCTGTCTCAACCTATCTCAACCTATGCTTTCGTGTTTGGTTTCTTGTTCACTTTCCACGGGCTCACTGCGTTCTTCCTTTCTTCCTACTCACACAGGGAATGAGAAGAAGGAAAAGAAAGAGAAGAAAGAGAAGAAGGAGAAGAAGGAGAAGAAGGTGAAGAAGGTGAAGACGGAGGAGGAGGAGGTGATCTCGGTGCATTCGCACTCGGTACGCATCATCGTTGGCACCTTTGCGCAAGTACCAGACCCTGACTATCATACCTCACCCTTAGTCAAAGGAGGAAGAAGAGGAAGAAGACGACGAACCCGCCGACGACACCGCTCACTCCCCCTCGCCATCCTCCTCGCCCGGCCCGTCCCCCCCCCCCCCCCCCCCCCCCCCCACCCCAGGCAGCCGCCACCGCCACCAGCACTGTGTAGAGACCCATTGGTAGGGTGCCTCTTTTGAGGAATTTTGTGGGTTCAAACCCCACCGCACATGCACAGGTTGCGTGTCCCCCGCCCCCCCACGCCCCCCTCCTTACGTAAGACGGCCCCATACCTCACCCTTAGGAGAAGGAGGAAGAAGAGGACGAAGCCCTCGCCTTCCTCCTCAAACTCCTCCTCTTCGCCGCCCAAGACATCCCCCACCACCACCAACGCTGCGTGAGTCCCGCTGGTTGGGAGACCTCTTCGGAGGAATATTGTGGGATGGAACCCCACCACGCAGTCAAGACGCGGCGCATCTCAAGAACAAGCAAGTCATATCAAAAAAAAAAACCTGAAAGCAGTGCGAGTCCCGATGGTTGAGAGACCGCTGGTTGGGAGATCAACACCCACCACACAGATGGTCATGGTCCTCTGCAACAACAACATTGTCGTCTGAGACGACGGCGACGAAAGCACCAACTCTGAATGGGTCCCTTCCGCCTCCGACGGACCTCCCCACCACTCACCACCCCAAGAAGGCGCTGCCTGCGCCGGTCCCTGTGTGAGAGTGAACGGTTCAGTGCCCCCTACCGGACTCTTGTACCGGCCACTATCTCCTTCCTCGCTTCCCCCAAAGCCGATCAGAGAGAGCTGCTCTTCTTGATGGATATTGTCAACGAAAATATCGCCGTCAGTGACGCCGATTGGTCTCGGCTCTGAACTTCAGGGAATGCACAGAGGAGCACCTTCCCCCCCGACGACGACGGTAAAGACGACGCTATCGAACAGTCCTACATCCGAAGTTGGCCGGTTCCTAGAGGATCTCTGGAAAATCCTTTCCGAACGGAGCGCAGAACACTGCGAGCCTCCTCACGCCTGGACATGGTTAGATCTGCTCCTTATGGCGCCGGCGCCCGCAACTGGGATGGAGCCAGTTCGAGTGCGTCTGCTTCTGCTTCTGCTCCTGCTCCTGCTCTGGCTCTGGCCCTGGCCTGCAAGTCTTGAAGGACGAATACCAGCGGGACCTGGCGTGCGTGAAACACCGCGACGAATCCATCAGCAGTAGCTTCGGACGCCGTGGCTTCACCTTTCCCTTTCCCTTCGGCGGCGTTGGGGGTTACGGTGGTCGCGAATGAATCGGAGGCAAATCGTGGCCAATCCTGCCCTGGATTTGACTGTTTTGGATGACCCACGGGATGGAAGTAACCTATTGTGCACGTCTGATCCCTCTAGTCCAAAATAGCATTCTTCATCGTCGTAGTCGTCTTCCATTGCACCACGCCAGGCAAAACGTGGATTAATTGGCGGACAACGAGCTGAGGAGCGCTAAACACCTCAACCCCAGGGCTGACCGGGCCCCCGCTGGTGTGGCGCTCAGGAGGCGAGAAGAGGGTGGTGGCTATGGCGGTGGTCGGGGCGCCGGCAACTAAGTCTACGTCACAAGGATTTGCAAGTGGTGGTGCTCTGATAGTTAAGCTCAGATCTTCAGTCTTTTTAGTGGGGGCGTTTGCGGCGACAAGACGGCTGCGATGCTTTTGAGGAGGCGGCAGTGCCAACAACGACAACGGATGCCACAATAAAGACGGCAACGGAGGCGAAGGCGACGGTGGGGACTACGGAGGCTACCAGGACGATGGAGGCTACCAGGACTATCCGACCCACCTGAAGGGATTTTTCTTGAAACCTGTCACCTGGAAGGCCGTCCTCACTTCCTACCCCCTACACACCCCGAAAAGTTCTGGGCTGATCCCCATACCATCCTGCGGCGGCGATGGAGCTGTTGAACTGGGCCGGCCAGAACACTTGAATGAAGTGCAAGACACGAGGAAACCAACACTGAGAGAACAATGAGTGCCTTCCATGTTGCCACAGTCGTGGCCGTTTCTGCCCCGCCCACCATCATGTCAACGAGAACAAGACGAAGCGACCCCGCAGATAACATTCCACACCATCCCCGGTTGGGACGCGCTCTTGAACCAATCAAAGCCCAGAGATGCCTATGGCGGTCTGGGGATGGTCTGGGCCCGACAGAGACGATGCAAGCGTCCTTCCAAGGTATGATGCGAACATCAAACTGGCTGACAACTGATACTGATAAATTACATGAACTGTTCAGGTTATGGACACTCGTTATCGAGATGCGGGAGGTCCCAGGACCCAGGGCAAGCGGAACAGAGGGGAACGTCCAGGAGCCGATCGACCGGCCCAAGAGGACTTGCATCCTCCTCCAGGATGGCCGGCGCGGGCCATATGAACAGTTTATAAGCGTCACCACAGAAACTCATTAACGCCTCGCCCAAATGACCCAGCGTATTGCGAGGGTAACCGTTCTGCGGGACATCTAAGGCTCGGAATTCGGTTAGCCTGCTTCGATTGTCCCTCCTTCCCCTTCCCCACCTGTCGCTCTCCCGTCGAGCAGCAACCCCATGGCACGTACGACGTTCCGAGTGCGTACAGACGGCAAACCATTCAAGTCGGTTGACGCCAGGCTCTTGGCTGCGCACGGCCTCTCCGTCGAAATGGAAACGGTGGCCGAATACACCATAGTAAAGGTCGAAGGCCCAACAAGCGATGTAAGAAGCGCTGTCGAAGAACTTCGCAGGTAGGTTTTCGCAACAGCTGCAGCTGTAATCAAAGCGATGAGCTAGCATACAATGGTAAAGCGTTCTCGTTATAGCTCCTTTTCCGATCTCCATTTCACCTTTGGGGTGATCGAGGAAGCTGCCGGCGACGAGACCATGTTCCGGGCGGCGGTCATAAAGAAGACCGCCAAGCACGGAAGCATCATCCGGCGCGGATCAAGCGGTAAGCTATTCCCTGAAGCAAATTGTGCAGTAACCCGTAGAACTCACACGGTGTGGCCTTTCTGTAATAGGTGACATGGACAAAGCATATCTGGTGCAGCCTCCGCCGTCCTATGCGGCATCTGTCGGTCTCCTAGAGCGGATGGCGTCCTGGCCCAGCCACATCAGGAAGAGTGTGCCGGGCGGCCCACAGCGACGGGATCGCAAACTGAAGGAAACCCTCGAGCCGTGACCCATTACCACTCATGAGTGCCCGAGGAAAAGGTCCTCACGAAGGCTGTGGTAAGATGTTCACATTAGTAGGCAACCATAAATGTCACCTCGAGTCGGCACATGAGGGCGTGAGATATCCATGCACCCAAAAAGGCTGCGGTAAATCGCTCTCACAAAACGGCAGCCTCCGAACGCACATCAAGTCGGCACATGATGGCGTGAGATATCCATGGACCTGGGAGGGTTGTGCGAAAAGTTTCGCCCGAGCGGACAATTAGATTCGGAACTGAATGCTGTAGAGACTGCGCCACGATCTGATGAGGAAGAGAAGGCGGTGTGATCCCTACATCCCTAACAGCGGTGAGGGATCTCACCAATTCCATGCAAACGGGATATATAGCGGCCGATATCCCCGCGGCACGGGAGTGATCGCGATCCGTTGTGGCAAGGAGTATCCGACCACCGACAACAAATTTCGGAAATCGCTTCTGGACTCCTTCAAAGCAAGCAAGCGGCAAATTCCTGCCGACGGCATCAAGACTCAGGCGACAGCGAGCTTGTGGGGCCGACATTTCCATGCAGCTGGGAGGGTCGGGAGAACACGTATGCACAACTCAGCGCTCTCCGAGTGCAGGTCGGCACATTATAGCGTAGGATTTTCATGCACCCGAGAGGATTGTGAGGAACTGTTGGCCCGAGCGGATTACATCGAATTGCGCATCAAGGCGGTGCATCTGGGCAGAGGCTTCCATGCACCTGGGAAACTCCACGCAGAGAACTCTCTCGCGAAACATACTCTCGCGACTGTCGCATCGAAGTATGCACGACGTCCAACGCTGATGCGCGTACTCAGCGTATGAGGCATTATTTTTTGATTTTCAGTCTGGTTTTTGGTTTACGACGTCGTGGTGTACTCGAGGGCTCAATGAATAAAAGACAAGCAAGCGGCGACGAGGTGAAGAGAGAGGGGATGAAGAGCTTAATTGGAAAGACCATAAGCCAGGCTCTGATCGTCTTCTCCACCGACCGCTGGGCCATTCAGTCCGGAGGCGCTAGGCGGAGCGTCGCGTAAGATCAAGAGAGACTAGGCCTTCTTACCACCACAAATCATGCCCCGCGCCGCGCCCGTGTGAGACTGAACGTTCAGTGCCTCTGCGGAGGAGAATAGTGAGTTCAACTCCCATTTTGCGAGCATTTGGTATCCTTGGACCTCGAGACGGCGGACGTCCCGCTGTGGTCCGCCGTCCCGCTGTGGCAGGCTGGATGAGCTCACGGAGGAGGTGGCGGACCCCATCTCAGGCTGCTTCGTAAGTATGCTCTATGCACGAATCATGGAGTCCTGATATTGACTGTTTTCTGGTTTCATGCATCGTCTAGGGCTCGATGCAGGAGGAGAACGGGCGTTTGAGGCGGGAGCAGATGGTGAGGGAGGCGAGTGACCGGGCGGAGAGGGAGTTGAGGAGGGTGGAGGGCGAGTTGAGGAGGGTGGAGAGGGAGTTGGAGAGGGAGAATGAGTTGAGGCGGGGTTTTGAGGAGGAGAGGAGGAGGGAGAGGAGGGCGGGTCGTGAGGACACCCGTCGCCGTGGCGATTGAACTTAGGGGGTGAGTTCCAAATTTCCTCGCAAGTGCAAGCCTCGTAACAATGTGCTAATTACTGGATCATTAGGGGGGGTATTTGGGGGAAAGGTGGGGGGGGATTTTTTTTTTTCAATACCAAAAACGGTGGGGCATTGCCACCATGAAATCCAAACCTTCGGCAGATTGCGGGTTGAGGAGGGTGTCGAGCAGGAACGAATACTTCAAGGGTAGAGCTAGGGACATCCGTTGCGCTGATGCTACCCTGCGGACCCTACCGTGCTTCCCAGCCATGTCCTCTCTATCGGCGGACTCTGAAGCTGCCGATTCTGACGCAGGACGCTCCCGCCGATGCGGAAGAAATGCTCCCTACCGGCCACAGGGGGATTCTGCTGCGTCGGACGCCCAATGTATGGGCTCGCTATGTTTGCGCCCTAGTCCGTTCGGCATTAGATCCATGACAGCAGGGCTGTGAACCCAGGCGAGCATACGGGACGTAAGCGGACAGCTGTGCACAGATTTCGTGAACTGAGCGGGGTAGAATGGGTTGGACCATCAACTCGGCGCGCCGTGTCACCCATCCCATTCCCAGTACACCATGTGGCTGAAGAGGGCTCGGCTCGCCGAGGGGGCTTGCGCTGAAAACACGCGACTCGTTGAGAAAGCGAGACTCGGTCAGGAGGAAAACCGATACTCACTGAGGAGGGAAAACGAGGAGGACGATGGGGACGAGGACTACGAGCCTGGCGATGGGGAAGGCTTCGAAGACGACGTCTCCCAAGCTGGTGACAAACGGACCCCGGCGGGCGCAAACAAGCATCCTCCAACAGACGATCCAAGCGGGTCAACCGACCCCAGACAAGCTATCAACAATGATGAGTATCCGCTCGAAATCCCCGCCAGTACAGCTTCAGTATTCGTTTGAAATCTCGCACACGGATCCGGATTACCTCACGGAAGGGCCCAGCCCCCTCTTTCTCCATCTTTCCGCTGTCCTTATATTCTACTGAACTGGGTCGAACAGGATCTTAACATGCTAGCGGCATAGGCGATGATGGCAGCGGCGCTAATGGAGTCAGATGGGAGCTATGTTATATCTGGCACACAAAAAAATCACTATCCGCCGTTGGTGCCAGGCATTTGACCTCCGTCCACAATGTTACTGCCACCATCAACATTATGGCGGCGACCCGTAAACAACATCCTGGCGAGGAGGTGTTAGCCCTCATCTTGACGCTCGCCGCCACTTAGTGGAAGATCTCGATCACTATGTCTCGGACCCTTTTTCGTGCCGGACTGACTTCAATGGGTGTCCCGACGCCGCAAGGGCTCGCGCGCTGTGGCCGCTCGGTGTTCATTTTGCTTGTTTCGATGAGGGCCAGTCTGCAAGGACTCGATTGATGCGTCATCCGAATACAGACCGGCTTCAGTTACACATCCGTGTCGCATCGCCTTCGCGCTGCGCAAAGACCGGCTCCATCGACAACAGCCAGCGTGCCCGGAAGTCGCATTGACGCCGGCGGACTTGACACACCACCGAATCCGCTTAGCGGGAAAGTCAAACGGGTTCCTGTCCTCGGCACCCTATGACGGTTAGTGTGCAATGGCATTTGCCGTACTTGCACATTCCGACGGCTGTGGAGACCAGAATACAGCTTGGCAAATGCTGCAGCGGAAGATATTGGCATAGACCCTCACGCTTCCGTTAGCGTGGGAATTGGTTCCACGCCGACGGATCTCCGGTCTTGAGAAGACCACATCAGCACGAAGACGGTGTTCAGCGTGAAGATCGGTTGTGGCATATTGAGCAAGAAGCTATTAAGGATGTAAATGCATGCATCTGCGAGGATGCATTTACTGTGGGTGGCCAAAAGAGCAGTTATGCGCGGGGGTAGCTGGTTATGTGGCACCATGAAAGTCACTGAACTTCTCCCCGGCAACTACCACCAGACTACTGACAAGATGAGAAGGAGGGGGCCGACGAGCCTCAGCTCTGAATGAGCTGTTCTTGGGCGCGCGTAACTGCTCTTTTGGCCACCCACTGTACATCTGCAAGGCGCTTACGGCTCGCAGCATCCCGTCCTGTCGCTCGAAACTCAAATGGGCGGATCACCATCACGCATTCACGGTATGACGGTTTATCAACGATGTCGCAGCTCTCTGATGCGGGATTTCAAACGCACAGCGGTCGTCGTCTGTCCTCTAAACTACGTAGAATAGCCGTGCGTGCGTTGGCGGGGGTTGGATGGGCATGAAACCTTGGATGTGCTGTCAAAAGAACGCGTTTCACCATTGGCAGAGTGGCGGCCGGTGACTACTGTCACTTGCGCATGATCGGAGTATGGGGGGTCATTAGAAGTGAACGACTCCCCCCCCCCCCCCTTTGACCGGGCATTGAACAGCATCCCCCATTGGAATGTCCTTTCATAGTATGAATTCCGAGAAGGGATACGAGACGGAGGGCACAGGAAGGAGGCCATAGGACGGGGCACACGGGCACAGATGGGATGGGGAATAAGGCGGTCAGAGGGACCCCCTCGCTGATGAGTCTGGAGAGCGGTGAGTGTGACTCGAGGGTACAGTAAATACAGTAGAGGGTCTGACAGTATGTCTGTCTGTGCTGTGCAAGAGAGTGCAAATTTGCGGCCAAAAAACCCTCTCGAGAGTCAAAGGGGGTGGACCAACGAGATCGGAGAAAGCGAAGGACTCCACCCTTGATCTATTTGATCTGCGAAGGAAGGACCCTCTGTAAAGACACATGGACTACTAATAACTACAGCGATTCTCTGCGTGGCTCGTTCTTGCCACTTGGGCTGCGTGCAAACTTTGCAAACTTTCTCCATGCTCCTGCCCCCCACGGGATCCCCTCGTTCATGTTCAGTGCGTTGGGCCGTCGTTGGAATGTGATAAGAAGATGATGGATGCTATGAAGGAGGAGTGTTGTTCTCCGCAGCAGCAGCTTCCGAGAGTCCCTCCGACGCACCTCGCCGCAGAAAACGGCCGCAACTTGCACCGTCCTGCAGTACTGGAACCTTTTCCCACACTAATTATACCCCTCCGCCGCAAGCCTCACTTCGCAGCCCATCCCATTGCTGCAGCACTGCTAGTATCTATCACTCGCCACCGACGAAGGGTCACTCACTCATACTCTACACACAACAACCCCGCCTTCTCGATCCCGCTGGTGGCGTAATTTCCAGAAGCACATTGACCAGTCGAATACCTGTTCCCCGACGAACTCAGAGCACCGCTCCCGAGAGATATCCATGTCGGCAGCAACGCACGACTTCCAAGACTCAATGATAGCCCCCTCCTCCTCCCCACCCCTCGATCCCGCCCCCTACCCGGACTCCATCGTCGTGCCCCCGAAAACAACGCCCCCAACCCCGCCGGCCTCCCTCCACAACCTCCCCACCACCGCCGACCCATCATCACAAACCCCCTCCCCTACAACCTCTACAACAACAACAACATCGGGACTGCCGACTTCTTATTATGAGCGGTATACGCGAAACTACAACCTGGGTGAACGGCAACGGACACTTAGAGAGGCAGAACAGAGGGCTCTGCAGCAGAGACTTGTGAACGCTTCAAAGGGACGGAGTAGCAGAGGGAGGAGAGGGAGTGATCCCGGTGGTGGGACTGGGAACGGGAAGCAGGCGTATTATGGAGGCGAGAATCCGAGTACGGAGAGTTTGGCTAGTAGTGACCACTTGGAGTCGGCTGTGGAGAATTTATACAAAATGGTGAGTTGCCGCGCCAATGCAGTACTTTGCGAGCATCGGCGAGCGTCAGATCTCCCTCCAAAGACGCAAAAACTCCCTCCATCCGCGTTCTTCTGCTGCACGAAAGCGTTCAAGGCGTTCAACCAGCCATCCACCATCCGCTTTCACATGTGCTCTGACTTTCTGCTAACCTCCATCGTTCCCGAATTCCCAAGGTCGAACGAAAAGTGGCTCCAACACTCCCACCCTCCCCCCGCCGGCCTACAGTCGACCCCTCCCAGTACCCGGTCCCCCGCAACCCCACCGGCCGGCGGAGGGCCGACTCCTGGACATCGACCGCCATCCATTCGGAAGTTTCCAAACTTTACCACATGGGCGCCGCAACCGCCGGCAGCGGACCGCGGCAGACGCTGATTACGGGACCCAATAATGCGAGTGAGAGAGACCTTGCGGGTGCGACGAGGACGGGGTTGGACTTGGAAAGTGGGAAGAGGGGGGGTGGGGAGGCGAGTGAGGTTTCGTTGGATTTGCTCTTGCTTATTTATGGTGCGTTTTCGTCATATCCTCTCAGTATTCAGCAGTCGAGTGATCAATGGAAACGATGGCTGACCCTACCTCTTTCTCATCCCCATAGGCTTCCTCTTCCCACCCCTCTGGTGGTACGGCGCCTTCCGAGCCCACGAACCGCCCTCCCGCTACCGCAAATACAACCGCATCCTCTCCGTCGTGGGGACCATCCTCTACCTCGGCGTGGCCGCGTTCTTGGTGTGGTTTTTCCTGTTTCGGTGATGTGCCAGAGGTGATGTGCCAGAGTCGAAGATCTTCCGACATACCCTGGACAGTTCGCCTAGGTGGGGGGAATACTCGCATCCCATCCGCACCGCCAACCCAAATCTCGCGGTAATACCACACGACACAATACGCAGGCGTATGAACACAACGCACACACACACACATGCGCGCCCTAATCATCCAACACACCGCTGCATCATCTTCACCCCACCCTCGCGGCGTACCTCCCCAAGCCCATGTAGTTCTCACTACATGCACTCCCCTCCTGCTTCTTTCCCTCTTTCGTATCACCCACCCGGCGTATTTTATCATCCACTCCCCTCCCCAACCCGGACCTATTTCCCGTATTCCCCCGCTCCGTGGACTGGTATTTGGATTCTCCCCCCCGAAAACGGTTTGGACTCTGTAGCAGTATAGTTTTTGTTAACCCCCCGCCGTGTTGTTTTTTTTTGTTGTATTCCCGTTTGTGTGCTTTGTCCTTTTTTGTGCTTTATAGACTTAAATATTTAACAAGAAAAAAGCTTTCTGCAAACAACGAAAAAACCTGAGGGAAATGGGACGCGCGGTCGTGGAGGGGAAGGTCCCCAGGGGGCCTTGTTTCTCGTGGCCTGCGGAAATTCGTAGTTCGGCTTGAGTGGGGTCGCCTTGAGTGGGTCTTCCGAGATGACCGGTCCGAGGATGTATGGGGGGGTTTGAAAGGATAGCCCCTTCTGCGGGCATCTCCCGGTGTGTGTGTGCAGGACGGCGCGGCCCTTCCAAACGTGGTCAGCAAGTCGAAAGGCACGCTTGAGAACCCAGTCGGTCAATGCCATGATGTAACGCGAAGGCAAAAGTATGTGCAATATTATGAAGCCCACAGTTGGGTGGGTTCTACGCACTCATCATGCTGTACAGACTCCTCCTGTCTAAATCCGTCTACGGCTAACACTCATGTACCGTCTAGAGTCTAGTCTAGACATACACAACAAAAAAAACGGGTTTCAAAATGTTTCTGCCGACAAATTTTAGATCAACGCCGCGATGGCAGCAAGCAGACCCGCGAAGGGGAGGGCGCGGAGGGTGGATGCGCTGCTGTCGATCGGGCCGTCGGTGGGGACCGGCGGGGGGACGGGGACGTCGGTGGGGTCCGAGGTCGGGACGGGGACGTCGGTGGGGTCCGCGGTGGGTTCCGCGGTGGGGACGTCGGTGGGTTCGGCGGTGGGCTCGACGGTGGGCTCGACGGTGGGCTCGACGGTGGGCTCGACGGTGGGCTCGACGGTGGGCTCGACAGTAGGCTCGGAGGTGGGCTCCTCGGTGCAGTCCTCGTCGGTGGTGGTGTTTGTGGGCTCCGCGGTAGGCTCGACGGTAGGCTCGACAGTGGGCTCGGAGGTGGGCTCCTCGGTGCAGTCGTCATCGTCGTCGGTAGTGGTGGGCTCAGCGGTAGAGGTAGTGACATCAGCGGCGGAGGTGGAGGTGGAGATGTCGATGGAAGTGGAGGTCTCGACAGCGGACGTAGTCGCCGTGGTGGTGCCGTTGCTGGCCGGCTGTCCCGCAAGGATGGTGTCCAGGTACTTTGCCAAACGGTATCCACCCTTCGCGATCTGCTTCCTGACAATCATGTACGTCTTCTGGTAGTACTCGCCAGAGAGGTCGTTGGCGGTCCTGGTGCCGGTGCCGGCAAGGAGGTCCTTGTCCCAGACAATGCCGCAGTTGGCGTCGTTGCCGTCGTTGGCCCACTTGAGGGGGCAGGCGTCGGGGCGGCCGTCGTTGTTGGAGTCACCGGCGACGTCGCAGGTTGCCCATGAGGGGGCTTCGGCGGCCCAGGAGCCGTTTTGGATCTCGTTGATGATCCAGCCGCGGTAAGCGTCGATGTCGCCTCCGAAGTTGTCTGTTTTGCAGTAAAGAGGAGGAAAAAACTGATCAGCCAAAATCTTCCCGGTCGTTTGTGATGTGGTATGATTCTTTACTCACCGGTGATGTCCTTGACGGGGATGAAGCTGTCCCAGATAATGTGCAGCTGGACGGGACGGGAGGTACCCATGTAGACATACGTTGTGGAGTTGGCCCAGGTGGCGAAGAACCCGTTTCCACCAGCGAGCTTTCCGCAGTTGTGGAGGGGCTGGGTGATATCACCCAAAAAGTGGGACAGGAACTTCAACGCCTCGGACCGGGCATCCCAGCTGTACTTAGTGGCGTCCTTGACCTGCAAGGTGTAGTTTCCGATCGCATCGACGATGTTGATGCCGCCGGCGCCGTCACGGGCCAGGTCGACCTCGCAGTGCACCTTCTCGGGGGAGTCGACGTCCAGAGGGGTCTCGTCCTCGGCGTCGATGAAGTGGAGGTTGCCGGCCCAGGCGTAGGGGCGGCCGGGGAGGGACTTGATGTCGTCGGCCCAGGTGGAAGAGAGGGTGAAGTTCCAGCCGGTGGGGAGGAGGTAATCACGCACGGCAGCTGTCTCGGGCTTCAGGAGCTTGTCGGCGATGTATCCGATAGAGGAGTGACCTATAAGAGAAGGAAAAATACGGTCAGCTTAAGGAAAGAAAAAAGGGGAACACTGGGGCAAGCACACCCCCTCAGTCATCGCAAATAGCCATTCCGCCGCAATCACGATTCCGACAACCAGTCCAGCACCACCATGTCCGTCCAAGCGACCAAGCCTTCCTCCCTGTCCTTTCCACTAGCCAATGTCCATCCACGACCAGTGCGTCGTCCCCACCCCCCTGAAGTGAGAAATCGCGTTCCATCCCCATTGCCAACCTACCTTCATTGGTCCAAGCATGCGCGGAACCCGCCAACGCAAGCAGCGCAACAGTAGACACAACAGCGTACATATCTGCCTTTCTATCTATTTCTAATGTCCGGGGGTATGAGGAGGATGCGATGCTGCGTTCTGATCAACAGAATGAAGCGACGTTCGGAGTTGGGGTAGGGGTGGAGAGGACGTGGGTGCTGCGTCGACCGCTTTTTGTATCCTCTCTCTACAGTACGTAGTAGATATCGTTGGTAGCGGCGCACACCCTATCACTAAGAAATTTCCTTTTTTCCATCTGATTGACCTTGTGCTAATCAAATTACCAAATGCTACCGCCAACTTCATGATCGTTGAGGGGATCACAGACAGACCATTGAGGTTCATGGGCAATGCCTTCATAAGTCCAAAGTTCATGTTGCGCAGACCGGGATATGAGGGCCAAATTACATTGTGGATGGGCGGTGTTTTCCGGTTGGGATCCTCGGTGCAGGTCGTCTGGTCGCCGGAAGTCGATCAGTGCAGTCGGGATATCAATCCCAGCATCCGAGGGGGTCTCAAGAGCTCCAACGGGATGGGTATCGACCGACAATTATCGATAGAAGCCGGCGGGCCGGCAGCGCTCTCGGGAATCGGGATAGCGACGGTAGGAGGCATCATATCACTTTGAGGTCCTACACGCTACATCTACCACCCCTCCGGCGACAACAGCCGTGGTACGATCTATTACTCCCACCGAATCCCAGCTCCGCCCATGCCAACTTGCAATCATCCACCGCGGCCGGGGGTGCACGTTTCGCCCGTCCGTCCGTCCATCCGGATGGATTTTGAAAAGGAAAGCGCCAAAATTCGATGCGCGCACGAAGGGTGGCTTTATGGATCCTCCCGCCGGGTCGCCCATTTTTTGCGTGTTCCTTTTGTGCAAAAATGGCTGACGGACCAGGTGAGCACGCCTGAGGCACACCCACGTTTTTGGTGCCAGAGGTCGCTGGCAAACCAACCTCGTCAGCAAAGACGGCGGAAAACTCCGCCCTTGGGTTCGCCCGCCGTGGTCGTTCCGTGCAAGCGGGAAAGAAGGGGATGCGACTATCTCACAAGAGTCACAACAAGCGAGAGCGGACGGACGGATGTTTAGGGACCTTTCCTGCTCGGTCCCAACTATCTCACTGTTTAACACTATTCGCATCACATGCTTTCCCTCCATTCCGTCCGAGGGAAGGAACCAGGGCACATCACATTACAATCACATTCACAGCACATCCAGGGAGAAATAAGGGCCCCAGCGCTGCTGTGCGTTACGGTGAAGGACGTACAAGCCGGCACTTCAAGTCGGTCCGGTGCATGTGCACGATGCGGGATCGCTTTGATGGGTGCGAACCGTTTAGGTGAGGATGTGCGAGTTCATCGCGAGGAAAGGCGCCAGCGGCGGATGGCTTCAAAATGGTAGGGGAGCAATCCGACTGATAATGGATTGAAAGAATTCTGCTTGAGGTTGGCCTATCGCGAGAGGTCCCATTTGCTTCATCGCACTCTTCTCATTGCTGTTTTCCACTCTTCTTCCTTACATTAGCCGTAACATGATATTGACAACTCGTTTTCAAATGTACAAACTACATAACATGACAACGCAACAGACTAACACTACACAGAATCGAAGGCAAAGTGTCCCAAAACCCCTACACGGGGGATTAGGCGCTAGCCCAACGCTTGAGATCCGGCCATTCTTCACATAGACGCTCTTGTTTATGCCTCATTCCTTGACGCATCCACCTCACGCGCCCTCTTCAATCGCCTGGTATCCCGACGCATGGCGACCAAAGAAGCTGTTCCCAAACAAAACAAAATCATACGAAGCCGTCCGTAAATGCAGGTTCGAAGAGAAGCAAACGAGAACAGTCTTACAAGTAAATAACGAGTCCCAAAACAGGGAACAAGAAGATGAGCAAGGTCCAGCCGAGTTTTGCGCCGATGCCGCGGGAGGAGTTCACGACTTCGACTGTATGAAAATAAATGGATGAGATCATTAACCCATCAACCCATCAACAACCATCAACCATCAACCAGCCATCAGCATACACGCGCAATGTGGTGCTCGCTTCGCTCGCGAAAGATCTGACGCTCGCTGAGGCTCGCTAAGACCTGCGATGAGGAGAGTTTTGCGCCTTTGGTGCTCGCTCCGCTCCCGCTTCGCTATCGCTCGGGCACCCATCGCAAACCAGACGGCGTTCGCTCTGATCCACCTATCGGTCTCCAGACACACCCCGCTTCGCTCGTTGCAGACAACCAACCACCATCGCTCACGCGATTTCACACCTCGCGCAGGATCTCACACCTCCCCATTTCTCACACCTCTCACTTCGAATTCAACATACAAACAGCAACGAGGTCGAGTCCCAGTACAATAAATCCGAGGATCCCGCCCGAGATATGGAGTCCTAGGGGCCTTGCATCAGCTCCGGTTGGAAGAAGAGTGACGAGGGTAGCGAGAGTGAGGAGGATAGTTTGGATGGGAGTGAAGGTGAAGGGGCGGGTTGTTGTTGTGGCGGACATGTTGGTCGGTTGTTGGTGGGTGAGTGAGGAACGGTTAAGATGAGCTGGGAGTGGAGCAGCTGTTTGGTGGTGGGTTCTGCGTTGTTGTCTGAGGGGCTTGATGAGTGATTGAGCAAGAAAAGGCCTTGGCGAAGGAGTCCTCAGTCAGAAGGGGGGGATGACCTCATAACTCTCTCTCTAATCTCATAACAGGGGCGCGTTAGGGTTCGCGTCGATTGAGGAGGGTAACTAGGGTTAGCCTGCCGCGCAAGTCGGAGTTCCTCTCTTCGCAAATGAAAGCCACGTTTGCACAAGCAAGGGAGCCCCATATCATTGTGATCTCTCGATGTGATAAAATGGCGCTCCATGGCGAGAGTAGATGTACATAGCAGGGCTGCATATTCTACACGCAACATCCCAAGATTCCTCCGTTGACAGCCACCCTCACAGTAGGTAGCCACGGTCTCGTGGAGCGCTACCTTCCAGGTGTGCTCCACCAGTTCTCTGAACGGGTCACATAGTCAAAGGCTTGCTCCGAACCTGTCAACCGACTATGGATGGATTAGTGATCAGTTAGAAGACGGTCTTGATACATTCCAAAGTTATGCGATACCAACACTAGAATTTTCTTTTTTTAGCCCGGGATGCGGATCCCCTGGTAGCCGATTTCGTGGGCATTTTGAGGGAATCCTTCACACCACATGAGCTCTCGCCGAGTCGGTGCAGAGGTGGGTCCGCTTGTCCTTGCGCAAGTGTGTAGTCGAAGGATGTTGCTTTATTGGTTGTGGACACCATTGGATTCTGCAAGGAGCAGGTTTACTCCTTGTTGATCAGGAGTTCCGTCATGAAAAGCAGATCGAGCTTACCTCCCATGCCAAATATGCGTTTAGCTCCACATCTAATCCGCATCTTGGGGGAGCAAGCTCCCGGAGTCGATGGGCAATCTGCACAAGCTTTCTCATTTCCTTTCGCCAGCTGCAACCTGAGCTGAAACTGCTTCGTGACTTCCTTCGCGACAGCGATATCCACCTCCTTCTGCTTCGTGACGTCCTTCGCGCCAGCGACCACCTCCACCTCTCGCCATTTCAGAAACTGGTCCGCAGTGAAACCCGGGGGAGGCACTGCACTTGTAGACGCAATTGGGGGAGTAGCGGCCGACGACGATGAAGGCACTTCAACGAGGAGTTTGTCAGCAGCGTTTCCCAACGCAGCGCCAACCTTGCCGGCACCTGCCCCCGCTGTCGGATGGTGGTAACCGGCGAACGTCAGGCAGGCTTCCAGGAGTTTTTCGATGGACCTGGTCCTCCACATGTCCAGCTCTTCCTGTTGATCCCATGGTTGTGTATGGAATGCAAAAGGACTGTTAGCCGCAGGCTGCAACTGCCATGGCCTCCCAGCCTCCGCTACTGTCACTTGCTACTAGTTGCAACACGATTCAGTCATTAGTGCGGGTGGAAATAATTCGTTGACTGACTCACCTGGAGGTTCAAGATCCATCCCCGTCGTTGCAAGAACCGGCGCAAGAAACGTCGCTATATAAAGATGTTATACAGTATTTGTCAAGGAATTGTCGTGTAGCCCTGGGTTTTCTCTGCCCACTCCACAGGGCGAGGTCGCCCTGACATTCTCATCCGGATGCCCGGCCGGGAGTCGTTGGACAATGTGCACAAAAGGGATCCCGAGGGAAAGTCTCATCGCATAAGATACCGGAACGCGGTCTTTGTGCCTACGGGGTGAATGATGAGCTGAGATGAACACCGCACCTGGTCTGAAAGCGAGCGTACTCGAGTAACTTCATGACGAATCCTCCACAGCCTGGTATCAACGTATTCCATGGTGGGCGCTACAGCACGGGACACATCTGTGTGTCTGCAGTCGGTAACTCGGGATCAACCAAACGTGATGTACCCCTTCGCATCATTCTGAGCGGCTTCATCCTTATCATCCTCCATTGACTCTCATACATCCTGAATAGTCGCCGTCCATGTGATCAATAACACGTACGGCCGAGCGAGGAGGACTGACTTTCACCGGACGAAGGATCGTGCCTATTCGGCTGACTTCCGTCGTCTGATAAGCGGATTCGTGTCAAGATATCGTATGTGAGGCCTTCTTCATGAGGGTACAGCATCGTAGGCGGCCATCCAGCAGGCGAGTCGCCGCCGATTTGCTGATTGTTTCTCCCTTGGTAGTCCTCGGTAGACCTTTTTGCCGCTGCAGGGGTCGTGAAGTGCGAATGCCCGCTGCTGGGCTTTTTTCACTACATGATGAGCACCCTTTGCAAGTCGGTCGGAAGAAGCGCGGTGGCTTTAATCTGCAAACAGGCTGCGTAGCCGTCTTGTGCAATGCCTTTGACATGCGTCTTTTGGGGTGTTCGGAACTGCCATGCCCTCTGATAACAACCTCAACTACTCTCCCAAGTGATCGCAAGAGCGTGGTTGTTCATGTATTGCATGGCAATTCTCATCGAGCCATTGGAATAGACAGCAGATGAGCAGACGGCATCGTTACCGAAGAAAGCCACAGTTGCCGAAACTCCATCGCAATGTCCCATATCGAACAATGCTTTATCAAGAAAATGATCTGCTCGCCCAGAGTTTATTTGCGAAGCACTCTCGGGGCTGATGTCGATGGACGCATATCCACCGCGCCCCACGCGCAGGGCATGCTTGACAGTAGTTTCCTCAAACCGTGCAGTGCGACATCCGAAGGGGGTGTTTCGAAGCACAAATCAACTCGAGATCCCGGCCTTCCGACAAGACCGTCACGTAATGTCGGGCATGACAGGCTGTTCGGATTGCCGGGATCTCTTCGAGCCGTTATGGTTGTCGAGGTCTTCTTTCACGGCGAGCTTCATCAGCGAGCCTCCAAACCGTGTAGCAACGAATTGCGCTGCAGTGTTGGGCCCCAACTGCCGTTTGGACTTTGCGGGACTCCGCGGTCGCGTCCTCTGTCCATCTGAACCCAAGCGGGGGATTGTCAGACGCTGGTCGATGGATGTGTAAAAGTCGCCAAGGAATACCAGTGAAGAAAGCGCACGACGTCGTGCGTCTATCGTGAGTTGCTGCCTCCAGATCCAGTCACCTCGCAAGGATGCACAGCCAACTCTGCTTTCAAAGTTCTCGATCTCGAACGTCAAATCGTGCCCGCTTTCTCGCGAGAAAGGCCTGAGACGCAATCCCAGCTTCCAAGCCACACAAAGCTGCACTAAGCCACGCTGGGTACGCATGACATCATCACTCCTCACGTGTCCACTACGACTCCAACTTGTTCTGTCCGACCCTGTGCGACCCTGTCCCACCAGAATGACTCACCTCAACATGACATCATCCAGCCGCCCCCTGTTCCAGTTCCTTCCAGTCCGTCTCCAACTCCGACTGGGGGCGCCCTCCAATTGCCAAATCCGCACAGACGCAGGTCAATCGCGATCTGGCAGCTCCGTCCACAAATAATTATTTATCAATTTCAGACGGGGGCGTTGGAACGAGGCCTGGGAGCCGGGTCAGCTGAAGAACTTTTGGGATGTTCCGGTGGGAATCGATCGGTTGAAACTTGAGAGTGAGACTTTGCATCGCCCATCGCGAGGGAGAAAGCCACGACTCGCAAACGGGAGAACAGCCGCAAAACGGAACGGAGTGTGATGGAGACGCCCGAGCCAGGATTGTCCGTCGGTTATGGTTTTGGTTTCGCCGCTGTGCTTGCACATGCATGTCCCAGATCCAGTGTACAGTATGCGATCCTCGCGCCCATATGCGGAAGATGCCTGCCGATTCCGCCATTTCCAATGCGTTTCGCTCAATTTCAAGATCAACCACCAGCAAACGTGCTATTCAGCGCCAAGTCAAGGCAATGCCATCGTCTCCCAAATAATACTTTGGAAAGGGCCGCGCGCGCACAGAAGCGACGCGTTCATCTGCAAATGACCGAGAATGATCATTGCGCACTTTTCGTTTTCGCGGCATGACATCACGGAGCTGGCGAGCTGGGGGGACCGCCGGTGGTGGTTGCTCAGCTGCGAACTTGGTGGGTGCTGTTGAAATCCAAATTGCTCTTGTGATTTGTCGCCACCGGTCCACTCACTGCAAATGTCCCAGATCGGGCGTTGGAAATCGGGAACGTTGACATGAATTCGAAGGAGTGGTCGTTGATGTGAATTTAACAATACGTAGTAGTAGTGAATGACGCTGTTTGTTGTTGGCGGTTGTTTAGGGGACGTTTCTGCTTCGTTCCCGTTGGGGCAGGGTCAGACCCGGTGGGTGGCTCCCTAACATCAGTCGCGATGTCGCCTACCCGGAGAGCCTGTCAATCGGAAACAAGGGGCGTACTTATCATAATAGTAAGGGAGTCTTATTTGGAGGTCTTATTTGAAAGTGACAGCAATGACGAAAACGAAGGGCGATGCGATGGAGCAACTCCTCAGCTGTCCTCCTCCCACGTCGCGGTGTTCTTGGCGCATCGCAGTGAATTGAAGATGAGAGCGACGAGAGATCGCCAACTGGGGGCTGAGGCGGGGCGGGCAGCGGAGGGGATGAGTAATGCAGAGCGAGCGAGAGAGACAGAGAGAACGAAAAGGAAAGGGAAACAACCCGATGAGCTCACGGCACAGGACACAGGGCGCAATCATCCATCCACTTCCCAACCCAATACAGTAGGCATTACGCGTGGGGAAAAAACGACGTGGGAAAAGGACTCTCAACGGATATAAAAGGGCGGCGGGGCTTCCCAGGGTCTTCCGTCTTTCCCCAGACACACTCTCAGGCCATCGCATCGCAGTCGCAGCATCGCATCCTCGCTCTCTCTCACCCACCTTCTCACCCCACCAAAAACAATCCAAGATGAAGTACACTCCCGCCCTCCTCGCCGTGCTCGCCACAAGCGTCGCCGCCCAGCAAAACCAAACAAACACCATCCTGCAGAACCTGCAATCCCTTACGGCACAGGGCTCCGCAAAGCAGTACAACCTCTCCACCCTCATCGGATTCGCAGGAAAGATCAACGGTCTGACCGACAAGCTCGGCAAGAACGACACAAACTACACCGTCTTCGCCCCCACCGATGCCGCCTTCGCCACCCTCACCAAGAACTTCCCAGACCTCGTCGCATCCCTCGGCAACAACACTGACGCCCTCGGCGACGCCATCAACTACCACATCGTTCCTAACACCGTCTTCCTCCCCTCCGAGAACACAAATGTCACCAAGCTCTTTGTCCGCACCGCCGACGCAAAGAACAACGCCATCCAGGTCAACCTCGCAAAGGCCGTCACCCTTCAGTTTGACGCCGCCGCTGGACAGGGTAACGCCACGGTCATCGACTCCATCCGCTCCTCCAACGGTGTCATCCACGTCGTCAACGCCGTCCTCACCCAGCCCCGCCCCGCCGTCGACGTCGCAAAGGCCGCCGGTCTGTCCCAGCTCGTCGCCGCCGCATCCACCAACAACGACCTCGTCTCCGCGTTGAACAACCTGAAGGAGAACACCGTCTTTGCCCCCACCGACGCCGCCTTCAAGGCCGTCAACGAGTTTGCGACCCAGAACAACATCAACATCACCGGTAACCTCCTCACCAACATCCTCAAGTTCCACGTCGTCAAGGGTGTCTACTTCTCCACCGACATCGTCAAGTTTCAGACCGCGTCCGTGGCCACCCTCCTCGACAACCAGAACGTGACCGTCACCACCTCCCAGGAGGATGGCAAGCCCGTCGTCAACGTCATCGGTGCTGGCCAGGCCACCCTCAAGCTCTCCGCCGCCAAGGTCGTCAAGCCTGATGTCCTCGTCTCTGGTGGTGTTGTCCACGTCATTGACGCCGTTCTGATCCCCGACATCGCCGCTGCCAACTCCTCCGACCCCTCGGTCCCCAAGCCCGCTGACGTTGCCGGAAACAAGAACGCTGCCTCCGCAACCACCATCTCCCGCGCGGCTGTTGTCGCCGCTGCCGTCGCTGCGATCTTCGCTGTCGCTTTGTAAGAGTAATCCATCCATCTTACTACCCTCATTTCACATCCTTAATACCATTAGAACACTAGCGGCGCGTAGGTAGTGTGTCCGCTACCACCCCCACTCCCATCTGTCTCTTCCGCCCCCCCTTCTGTCTTTTTTTTGGGACAACCTTGTATACATTCGGACTGGTTAAACGTAAATAAAAGTTTGGTTTTTTTTATCGTAATCAGTTGCCGGTCGCAAAATGAGTGTTTGTCTAGTGTGGATGAGGCAAGGCTCCTCTTACGCTATTGCGAAGTGGTGAATAATGCGACATTGGCGGGAACTTTCAGCCATACCTCCAAAACGGCGGTGCATGTTCCATATGCAAGTTCTCGCATCGAGCCCTTGATGTGGGAGAGAGTAAGGGTGGACTCGCCAAGTCTGGGAGCTCATGGGATTCGACCAAGGAGGCTTTTGCGTAGTACTGTATGTAGGGGTACCTCCGCAACCGACCGAACAACGCGCCACCCAGCATCCCACCACCCATTCGGCATTCTCGTTGGCACAGCAGCTCATCCTCTCTTCGGTTCCTCCTGGTGGTGTGGCCTGGGCGGAGAAGTACTCGTGGGGCTCCACCCTTGTGATTCTGGGCGCCGACGCCTTTACATGGACCTGCTGTGACGATCCGAACACCAATCATGCATAGTCAGGCCGGATGAACAGAGGGTTCAAAACTTGAAACTTGACGTTGTGGAAACTTACGAGGGGTGTCCCCCATCACCACACCACACCCTCACAGATTGGTTTTTGTCTGCAGGTCGGTATGCGCCATGTACTGTGCTTCCCTCGGAAGAGCCTTTCGTCCCTTTGGAGCACGGCAAATGACCGCAGACGCAACCCGTGTGATGCCGTTCCTTCAATATCACGCATTCGGTCAGTAGCTTGCAGACAAACATGCGCGACGACCGGCTGCGGCATGGCTAGGGTCATGTGCGGTTGGGGTCTCCTTCACATCGGCAAACGCCCGTCATGTCGGGCATAAGAGCGGTCCAGAAGGTTCGGTTGAAACCACTTCCGTTTCGTCGTGAAGGTCGCAGGAGTGCGTGGGACGACCGCTCTGTATGTGGCAAGAGCGAACTTTCACTGGAGCGATGCGATTCCGACGCTCGAACCACGGCGGCGAACAGCGCCAGATCGTGATCAACAGGTCGACCCATCCACAGTACTTCGACGCTTGCCTTCCTCTGTGCGCGTGTCCAATGAGGTCGGCCGGATTTCTCCAATCCAATCAACAGTGCCGCTAGGATCGAGGTTGTCATGCATAGCCGAAAGGTCCGATCTCGGACCACTTCTCCCAGGGTTCTAATATGTTGCTGCGTCGATTATCAAGTTGATTTGCATGCATTTTCCCAGGGGCGACGTGTGGATGTGTCACGACTCTTTGGAAAGCGGCGAAAGAAGGCACTTGTGACTGCGAGAGCTTTGACCCGTGCCAGCTCCGTCTCTGCTCAGTCGCTAAGAACGATGCGTCTTTCTAAAAGTACACCGAATCTGCAGCGTGCAAGCCCCCTCTCTCTGCGAATGTCACTTGGAGGTCCTTGACAGTGGCAGTCGCGCTGTCAGATTTTGTCATTCCAACATCTCCGCCCCCGCGTCCCTGCAGGATACGAGTTATGGATCCGAGACAGACAGTGCTCAGGTCCCTTGAGCCTTTACCGTATCTCCGTCGCTTTCACCGCCCCACCTGGATACTCATAAAGAGGCAGTCCCTCCCAGCACCGCCCGGATTTTCGTTCCTTTTCCTCGCATTTCGGCGGTGTGCACCATATCCGTCTCTCCCTACGTTTTCCTTTCGCGTCCGATCCAATTCTCAAGACCTTTGGATCTTTTGTTTCTCCAGATTCCTGGCCCTTGAGCGGTGAGGATCGATCCGTGCCTCTCAGGCCCTCCTCCTTCTTTCCCTCGTTTCTCACCTCATAATTTCATGCGAACTTTCCCCCCCGATTGCAAGGCACTTTTCCCACGCTTACCCCCTACATCGGTTCCTCTAAGGCAGCGACTGTCCACTGGCTTCCAGACAACGTGCCATGCCCACTGGGTACACACTGAATCTCGTAAGGATAAAGGCATGGCAGGGGCTTTGCAGCCATAGCCATCGCCCCGCCTACGGCGGCTACCTGTTGCGAATTGGGCGGTGAGGTGAACATGAAGGTGACTTGGATCTCTCTCCCTCGTTGTCGTGAGCGTTGAGAGGGCCCGCCGACCCTGTTCGGACACAACGCGTCGGCACGGGGGGGAATCGGGACATGTCGAACAGGTCTGAATTCTGAATTCAGGAAGTTCCGAGAAGCATTGCGCTGGACATGTCTGGGGGAAAGCGAGCAGCGGCCCGGTGTCCTTGAGCGAAAGCTTGACTTGGGTGCTTTCCGTCCGGATTGCCAATCATTGCTGGAGCACGTGCCGATAGGGTGCAAGGTACGATATGGCATTTCAAAGGGTGGAAGAAGTCAATACACACGAATGGTTAAGTAGTGCAGCAGCAGAAACAAATTGGTATTCCGAGATGTATAGGTGAGGGGTATGATGATGCTGCAGAAACAGTGGGGGTGTGCGAGAATTGCATGTGGTGGTGGTGGGTACAGAAGATTCCGATCAACGGACGAGAGAAAGAAACAACAAAGTAAGAACAAAGAGGAATCATCTACACAACATCTCTACTCTAAGCCGAGCGAGGCCTTTTAGTGCTTCTTGCACCCCTGGAACTTCTTGGCGGCCTCCTTCCACGCAAACGCGGGGTTGATGGTCTTCTCGGTGATCTCGATCCTGCAGTCGGCCGTCTTGCGCGCATACTCGGCGGGCAGATCCTTGCGGTCAGAGTATCCCACGCCGGCATTCACACGCATGAGGGACACCGCGTTCTTGAAGGGTTGCGGTGTGAGGGGGTTGGCGGCCAGGCCGAGGACCGCGGGGTCGTGGAAGATCTGGTCAATGTCGACGACGTTGCCGCCGGGGAAGGAGGAGAAGGAGAAGGGTTTGGAGCCGGCGACGCCGCCCTTGACGACGGAGCGGATGCCGACGTGGTCGACGGCGAGACGGGCGCCGTGGGCGCAGGTGGAGCCGCAGAAACCGTTCGTGAGGAGTATCACGTTCTTGGGGTCCCAGAGGGGTTTGGTGGGTTTGGGGATGCCGGTGACGTTGAAGACGTTGTGGCGTTGGGTTTCGTCAAAGATGGCGCCGCCGTCGACGATGCTGATCAGGTCGGAGTATTTGGAGGTGTACTTGCCGTAAGTCTCGGTGCGGCCGTTCTTGGGGTTCAAGAAGATGCGGTCAACGTCGGAGGGCTTAGGCGGGTAGTGGGTCTTGGGGTCGATGAAGTTTCCGGGGCCGAACATGGTGAGTGGGGTGGTGAGGTTGAGGTCGAGCTTGAAGGCGGCCTTGATGACGGTGTTGAAGAAGGGGGTGGAGCGGAAACGGGCCGTGTCGCGGGGTACGTTGGGGAACATGACGACGACGTGGGCGGTGCCGAGATCACCCCAGCCGCCGCCGTTGTTGGTCCAGTCGAGGATCACCTTCTTGGCGCCGGCTTTCTTGAGGAGGGTGAGACCGGCGTGGATTTCCTTGATGAAGCAGTAGAAGTTGGGGCCGGCAGGACCTCCTGTACCGATGTTGGCCGTAGCCTCGGGGTCGTTCAACGAAGCAAGACACTTCTGCGCAGTAGGTCCAAAGGGCCCATCGGCAGGGTCAGACGAGAACGTGGGCAGGGTCTGCACACCGGTCTCGGCATCCAACAGGTGGTAAGAGCCGAACTCGCCAGCCTTCAGGAGCTTGGGGTACCCATTGCCGAAGGCGTTCTCGGTGGTGTTGGGGAAAGGCTTCAACGCGGAGTTGATGGGGGCAGCGTTCTCGAGAACGTTGTCACCGGACCTGAAGTCCAAGTCGTTGAGGATCACACCAGTGTCGGAATCGGTGTCGCGACGGGTGAGGCTGGTCTCCGGGGCGACGAGACAGTTGTTCGTGTAGAAGGACTTTGCGTCGGTGTAGGGCTTGGCGAGGGCGCCGTGGCGGGCGAACCACGGTGCGTCGATGGTGACCGTCTTACCCTCAGGGGAGACGAGCGTGTACTTCCGCGAGCCCTTGGCGGGGGCTTCCATGGAGGACGAGACGGTAACGGCGCCGAAAGTCTTGCGGATGGCACCGGTTTGGAGGACGGTGACACGCTGGACGGCGACGTTGAAGCGAGTGCCTCGGTCCTTGACGGTGCCGACTTGAGTGTCGGAGAACTTCTTGATGTAAGAAATGGCATCGTCACCATCAATCTTCTTCACGGTCCAGCCGGAGTACTTCGCAGGGTCATACCCAGCAGCCTTCTTGACATTCTCCCAGAGGGCACCAGCGGCAGCCGCGGGGGCGGGGTTCTCGGCCAACCTCACGTACTGCTTCCCAGACTTGCTGTCAACAATGACATCGAAACCCCAAGGCTGGTAGTAAGAGTAGGCAGAGTGGAAGCACAGACTGCGATAACCGGTGTGGGCGTCGCCGAGCTGGCGGAGCAGGAAGGTAAGGTCGTCGTGGAAGTCCTTCTCGTGCTTGTAGTTTTTGGTGCTGATGGCTTTGAGAGATTTGCGGAGGTCGACGTCCTTCAGATCCCAGACGCCGCCGTCGATCTTGGAGGCGACGGAAGCCATGTCGGTAAAGGCATACCACCCATCAATAGCCCGCCTCACAGTCTCCGTGGTGCTCTTTTGGATGTCCTTGTTGATGGGGAACGTGTTCAGGCAGCCCACGGCGCTCTTGTACGGGAACCATCCTCCGGTGGTGCCGTTGAATCCGACGGCAGCGTTGACAGCGCATGCGTCTTGGGGCTTGGAAGGGGCGGCGGTGGCGCTCGCCGCGAGGGCAAGGAACGCCGTGAGGGTGGTCGAGGCGAGGTGCATTTTGGGAGCGTATTGGAAGGTTGAAGGGTATTCAATGACTAGAAATGCGTGGAAGGTGATATAAGAGTTAGTCCGGGTTCACGATGGGGCACACTTCCAAAAGATGGGCGCCCGCGAAATGCATTTTGGTTTCTGGCGGCCAAGGCAATGCATTCCGACGAAGATCACCTCGTCGCCACACAGACTTGACATACCTTTCCAACGCCGAGTCAAACGCAGGAGGGTATCGAACAACAGGAAGGACGGGGAGGACGGGGAACACCCTTGGCTCCTTTTATAAGAGTGAGATTTTTCCGGAAATGAAATGGAATCAGCGTTGCGCAATGCGAGCGAGGCTCCGAGCGACGCCCTGCTCTCCAATCAGGACGGAGATGGTGATTGCGATGATGATGAGGGTGAGGGTGGGAGTGTGTGTGCGTGCCTGTGTCCCAGTTGTTGTTGTCGGTACGTACAGTAGTCGTACAGCCGATCAGCAGCGCACGTCTGGAGTCTGTGGGAGGGATCCGGGGGGGGCGAAAAGACGCGCAGGACAAAAGACCCGGTGGGCCAGCAAAGAGGGCGATCCAACGGCCCCACGCCTCTTCCCATTGTCCCAAATCCCACGCCGGCGGCCCGCCCGTCACGATAACATTTGGGGCTTGTGCCATGCCGGAGACTCTCTCGATTGGGACCGTGGGCATGCATGGGGTCCGATTTATTACTTTAAAAGCCTCTTGTCGTTGAGCAATGAGAGCAGACGATGGGCGTATTGATCACAGTGCTTACTTTGGCATCTCGGGCTTTCTGAGAGGCCGCGCGGTTTGAACGGGTAGACCGTCAACCTACTGACACGCATGTATCTGCAATATATCTGCTCTCTAAGCGAGGGGCAGGCACGTAAACGGTCGGTGGCGCCGACGATGTCGAGGCATCGCCCGATGGGGAGACTCTCAACCGCGGAGATGCACCGGAGGTTGGCGGAACGGTGAAAGACCATAGCAAAAGACCGCGTGGTTTTATCCTAGCAAGAAATGTGCGCATTGCGCGAGAAACGGCTTCGCATACGGTGGAAGCAATATCAAGATATCCGGGCGCCATGATGATAAATGGGCGCTATGTACCTCCGTTTCGTGCATCGATTGCTAACAACGGGGTAGTCCATGGACCGAGCGATCTTCGGCAGTCTCTCACACCGATTCAACATTGCAGACTCAACCCTGGACCTGGAGGGCACTCCCGACCATGCTCAAATACCTGCCACGCCTGCAAGTTCTGGCCCCGTTTGAACCGAGGATTGACCGATGGATACTTGGATATCCCCGGGTTGTCGACCAGGTGCACCCGGCACCACCTTGACAATGCTTACAAGGGAGCGCCGCCATCCGGCACATCACTCTTGGGTGCGGTATCATCATCAGGGCCGACAGGGAAACACGGAGCGATACACCAACGTCCGAGACGGGACGAGCTCCCGTTGAGTGTGTGGTTCCCAGCATACTATCAAGTGTACTGTCCCACTTGTTGCCCACATACTGTGAAGCTTTCTGGAGCGAAATGAAATCGGAAGAGGTGTCTCACTCATGCACGGTGCACGGAACAAAGGGAATGCAAAAAACCGGGACTGAAACCGTCCCGAGCGACGACCGCAACATAATCCGATATCCAACATGCATATGGTTCCTGGCTTGCGAGTTCTCCGGTCTCGGCGGAGGTGTTCCACTTTCCGACTATATGGAGCACGAGCCCTGCCTGCCTTTGACCTCCCGGAGCACCAGGACAATGACGTTTTGATTCATCAAGAGTCGTGGGATGAAGGTAATGGGATCCCAACCGTCCGAACTCCGATGCATGGAAGACTGCGTCGTACAACTCTGGCCGCAGTCCGTTTGTACGTTGAAGCGATGGAAGAGTACGAGGGACAGCGTCGACGGAATGTGTACATTATATATTCATAAATTATAAGAATTGATCGGCCCTGATCAAGAAAGAGCCTTCCAAAAAACTACATCCCGCCGGTATAACCAACACGGGATCTCTACACGGTCTAATGCGGTCCCTCCATGTAATCGGATTATTATCGAGCTCAGCCTGGCAGATGTACTGATTCTGAGGTGGTTATTTGAAAGCGATCAGAGACCTGTTCCGTGCAGCCGGCCGACGTGCCTTCCAGCTTTTGAAGTATCCCACAGCTTGCCATATCCAAAGCATGCGGGCAGGATAGGCTGTCTACGATGTTTCGCGAATGTTCACGGAGCGCCCATGGGCTTCGATGCTTCGGAATTCTCTCAGACGAAAGGTTCAGCCGCTCGGGGCGGTGGAGATGCGGTGTGTTCGCCATCCGAATCCACGTCTCGCTCTATCTTGCCGTTCCACCGTACGTCGTCCTGGCCGCCGTTCCCGCGCCTTTCCAACTCTCGTACTGAATAAACACGTACAGCGCTCCAGTAACAATCAGCGCAATCTTGATCCCCCTCCACGCAGCCATAAGCGTTCCCCTCAGGATGTTGAAGACGGCGACTGTAGCGAGGTAGCCAAGTAACACCGTCACGAACAGAACGACGAAGGAGACGCGTTTGTCCTGATTTGCGAGGGACAGGCCGTAGGCCTTTAACGTGTGCACCGAGAAGAAGGCCGGGATGGGGATGTTACCGGGGGAGTGTGGTGGTGGCGGGTCGTATGCTGTACGGTGGGTCATTGCTGCTTGCGTTCGTTGGCGTTGAGGTGCGTTGGAGATCGGTCGAGGGTTTGGGGGAGAAGTGAGTTGGTGTGATATGTGGCTGAAAAACGGCGTCGGTTCGTCGAGTGCAACCAAGAAAGCTAGATACTGTAGGCGCCCAACTCAATCAATGGAGCCTATGTGTTGAGGGGTGCTTTGCGTTGTGCATGTAGCAAGGGAAGAATTGGGCTCTCCAACTTTGTCGGGGCAATGGAGAGAATAATGGAGACGCCCAGGTGGGGAAGCCTCCAGTCTTTGACAGCTCCCTTTCCCAACCTCAGCGAGATTGGCGCATGTTCTCACGGCAACCGAGACAGGGCTGCGGCAGGGTCACCAAACTCCAAGCTCGTCACACCCACCACACCCACCACACCCAGTCGTAGTAATGCCAGCCCACCGCGGCTTGGAAGTGCACGTTCAGATCGACAACCAGAACCTCGAGGAATTTCAGACAACCGTATCGGACGATGGCAAAACCGTCACTTGCTACATTGCCTCCCAAGAAGATAAAGACTATGTGCTGTTCTACGACCTGTTTCCAGAAAGGGGTCACATTGACCGGAGAGAGCAGGGAGTGAAGGCACCCCACTATAGGTGAGCTACCATCGCAAGTGTTCTCGCAAGAGAGTCCCGCGCCGCAGGCGCACCTCTAGCGAGGAAAGCGAGTAAATGTGAGCCACATCGAACGGTCGTTTATCGTTTATTGTGGCCGACCGCTCCGTGCTGTCTTTGATGATCGTTCGATGGTTGATAATGATACCATGATGGCCGTTGGCTGATCGTCTTTTGTTGATGGTAGGTGCAAGGCGATTCTGGACGGTGTTCCGCAGACCAGGACAATTGTCTCGCAATCGAAGTTCCAGCAGAAGGGTGTCCACCGCGGGAATTTCCTCTACCCTTTTCGTTTCGGGAAACTGGACCTGGACGCACAGGACGAAGATGTACCTTTTGTACGCCCGTCACAGGCCTCGGCTCTGCAGGAGTTGAGCACCATCAAGGTCGAAGTTACTCGCGTCGCCAAGTCAGAAAGCTTCAGCCGGGACCAGCCCTGGGTCGATGCTCCCCCTGAGTTAGCGGCTGGGAACGTTCCGAAGAAGAAAGGGGCCTTCCTTAGTCATCGCAGTGTGTATGTCATCGCAGTCATGGTTGCATATAACGCAATTCCTAGGGTGTTAAAGCTCTTTCGTTGTCCGCCACAGCCTAGGCGATGGGGTAGCAGCACCTCCTCGGGCGTCGTGCCACTGCGTATTCATGGACAACGAGCAACCTATCGTGACGTTTGTTTTCCGATACCGATCGCGTGGTACGTGAGGATAACGATCGTTTCTTTGAAGCTATTCTGACACTCTTAACAAAACACAGCGCTCCTCGAAGCCGACGATATTATACCATTCGTTCCAACCGAGGCCGACGCCGCAGCCGACAACGACGCCGACGCCGGCCCCGAACCCCCTCGCAACCCGCGTCGCAACCGCATCAACTTACAGAAGAACCGATCCACCACCCCAATCCAGATCGACGAAGGCGACGACATTACAATTGACCTCACAGCCGAAACAGAATCGTTCACTGTCACCCGCCGCAAACGCGAATCGGGAGCATCGTCTTCATCGGTCGTCAAAAGGGTAAGGACGAGGGGCGATGGCGGCGTGGTCGACCTCGTGAAACGGGAGACTTCTCCTGAGGAGGTCAATCAGTTGCGAGAACGGGTCCGGTTTTTGGAGTCGCAGCTGAGCAAGCGGGGCGGCGAAGGGAGTGGGAGCGGTGGGAGTGGGAGTGGGAGTGGGGGTGCGGACGGCGCGGCTGGACCGGCTGTTCCATCGTCCTTGACGGCGTAAAGGAGTTCTTGTACGGCGGCCCGTTTGAGGCGTAGCGTAGGGCGACGACGGATCTCTTTCCGCATGCATTGCCCACGGCGCTTGCAATTTGCATACATCAGCCAACGCTCTTCATGAGCAGCATTCTCACCTTTTTGGTTTTCACATGGCGGTTAACATACACCCGTACATGTCTTGCACCCCTTTATATTCAATTATACCACCGGAACATCTTATATACCTATTTGCTCCTTGTACAACTTTTCAAGCAAAAGAGATGGATACGAGTGAGAGTGCTCGTTGGTGTTGGATGATATCGGTGCAAGATAGGCCGCTCCAGGAGCGAAGAAAAGCGCGGACATCTCTCACCACCAAAATTGACATGACCAAGGAGATCGATCATCTCGACTCCAACCCATCATACACACCATCCCCCCAAAATGAGTCGCCGTCCACCCCGCTCACCCCTCACCACCGTCTCTGTGTCCCTCGGGCCCGCCCACACACCGTCCTCCCACTCACAAGCAGAAGCAGATATGGAGCAAAACGAAGACGACATTGCGCCGTCCTCGCCCATTGCCAATGTTGACACGGTGCCGTCGATGAACATCCCACGGTCAGCGTTTGAGAGGAGGTTTCATGCTAAGGAGGAGGCTTTTCCAGGTGGGTTTGGGTTAGGGGAGGGTGAGGGGTTGGAATGGCGGTGTGCGAAGGTGGCTGGGTGGGCTTGAGTGAGTGCTGGAGACCAGGTCCCTGCTGGAAACGAATGTGCCATGCGGAAGGTTGGGAACATGAACCTACAAACGTCATCGAGAAGGAGGAACAGGAGCCGGGGGGTCATCTCGGCGAGCACAACGGAGCAGATAACCCCACATGAGGAGCGAACGAAAATCTCAATATTGTCCTTGAGGCTTTCACAGATCTGTCCAGGTTTGAGGAACAGCTGCGATCCCGCCTGAAGGATGCGCGGACGGAGCAGAGGCGGTGGCAAGGTAAGGCGGCCGAGAGCAGATATGCAGGAATGGGGAATGGGAGAGAGACTCGGTGTCCCACCAAACCTCTGTCGCAACTCTTTGCTTTCCGCGCTCATCACTCGATCTGCGACCATGCTTGGCCTAACATACGCGGAGTGGAGGTATTGAGCCTGCGTAGAGGGATGTGAGTTCGTTTGGGAGGATGGATGAGATGCCGGGGAAGGATGTGTGGTGGAGGGGCGGTGTTGGTGCTTCTCGAGTCATTACGAGGGAGTGTGCTGGTTGTTGTCGTCGGAAAGAACGGACTGGGGTCACCACGTCACGCGCCTCTCGAGTCTCACTGCATCCACCACTCCCGACTGAGCTTCCGTACTCAACACGACAGTCTTCGTCTTGTCATCTCATCACTTAACGACCACAATGTCCCATTCTAAACACTCCGAACGCTCCCACTTCGACGGAACCCCCGACGCCGCACCACCACCAGCAACAACGACCACCTATGTCATCATCACAGGCGGAAACGCAGGCCTCGGCTTCTCCACCGCCGACTCCTTGCTCTCAACTGCAACTCCCGCTCAACACCGCTTCCATATCACGTTAGCCTGCCGTAACGAAGAGAAAGCAAAGGACGCTGTCCGAAAACTCAGGGACACACACCCGCTTCTGGCTGACTTTGTCGAGTCTATGAAGTTGGATTTGGCGGATTTGGGGAGTGTGAAGAAGTTTGCTGAGGAGTATGAGGGGAAGGGATACCCCTTGCACCTGTTATTGAACAATGGTGGAATCTACCCAAGTTCCAAAACCCCCGTCATCATCGACGTCCAGGCCCCCAACGTCTCCAATGTCGCAGTCGCAGAAGGCAGCACTCCCACGAAAACAACACGTCTAGAACAGACCTTTGCAACGAACTATCTCGGCCACTTCTACCTCACCACCCTCCTCCTCCCCCTCCTCAAACGGACCGCCCGCGAACGCGGCAAGACAACTCGCATCGTAAACGTCTCCTCCGAGCTGCACCGCTTCGCCCCTTCCGTCGACTTCACCAACCTCGACTACTCAAAAGATCCAACGGCATATAGTATCCGCGGCAGCTACGCGACGTCCAAACTGGCGATGATGTATGAAACGATCTTTCTCGCGGGGTGGATCCCGCCGTTGTCGCCAAAGATGTCTGATCACCCGCCTATCAACGACGCGGGCGTGCCGGCAGCGTCTCCCAAGGGCCCTCCACTCGTCTCCATCAACTCATGCACCCCCGGCTTCGTTCCCACGACCCAAATGGGCAACGACAACTCCCGCTTCAACGCATTCATGTCCAATCATATCCTCACCTGGCTGCCGTTTGCAAGGACGATCGAGCAGGGGACGAGGTGTATTGTGCTGTGTGCTACGAGCCCACTGACCGGCGAGGGATCGGGCCACTATATGAAGGATTGCAAGGCGTGTGAGCCGGCGAAAACGTATTGGGATGATTCCAAGTGGGGGGAGTGTTGGAGGTGGAGTTGTGAGGCTTGCGGCTTGGATCCGGATGAGACGTTGGAGATGGTTGAAAGTTGAGTCGACTTGGAAGGGAAGGCCAAAACCTACTTGTACATAGAGGTCACTCATTTTAGCAATTGAAATAGCATGAGAGATACGCGGCATTGCGCATGGAAGTCGAAGTGGTACGTACATGCCGACCGGGGATATCGCCCCTCGCCCGGTCTTTGAATGCGTAACGTGTGGGGACGAGTTCTCCCGACGACGTCCTGCGGAATGAATTAACAATACGCCATGATTGTATGAAAAGGTATTTCTTTCAAATAGCAGCTTTCACCAAAAATCCTCCATCGTGCAACGGCTAGGAAAGGAGTATACAATAGCAACATTCATCAAATGCTCCATGGTCCAACGGCACAGGAGCGGATGTGTGAAACATGATCTCGAGCTTCCGTCCAGCATCCACAAGTTTTCAACCTGAGCAGTATATGAGCCAAGATAAAAACCTTCCTTAACTTTCACAAGTCCTCCATGGTCCAACGGCTAGGATCCGTCGCTTTCACCGACGTGGCCCGGGTTCGACTCCCGGTGGGGGAGCTGCTCTTTTGCCCAGCTTTTTTGCTCGTCCCTCCCTCAGGGTTGAAAGACCTTTTCTCAGAGGAAATTATTCGGCTGTTGAAGGAATTGATCAGATTTTGGATGTTTTTTGGGACAATCACGTAATTCAGACTTTCAAGGCTCGGCTGGTATCTCCGTCCTGCATGTTTTCGGCACACACCGAGCTTCCGGGCCGGTGTGTCGCGACAACAAGAGCGGGCAAGAGCAAGGCACGTTCTTAGACTATGTATAGATCAGACTGCGAAGTTGGCTTCGGCAACACCTATATTATTTCAAAATTGATGTTTCCGAACCAAAAATCCAACACCTGCACCGTTGATGGAATCGCCTCTTTCTTTCTGCGACAGGGGAGGCAGCCGTCTTGTGCTAGCTTGCGCACGTTGGAAGAAGGGCGCGATGTCCATCGAGCTGTCGAGCGGTTTGAGGACATCAACTGCGTCCGTCGTCATATCTCTCTTGTGGAGTTGGAAGATTTCCTCGGCGTTGTTGTGGGCAGGCTCCTGTCACGGTGGTGGTCTACTCCACTCGACGGAAATCCAGGTCGTTGCACCTTTCATGATTTCCGCTCCCTCTCGCACATGATTCCTACTCCGCTTCTGCCTGCCTGACATTTGAGGTTAAAAAAAAGCAGGCTTTCTGGTCAGCAAGGTTCCGGGAGCGAATGCGAACTTCCCAAATGTCATCGAAGTCAGCTATTGTACGGCGTCTAGCCTTCCTTTCACCGCGTCGAGTAATCGAGTAATCGAGTCGCTTTCCAAGACATCAACGTCCTTTTGCATGATTGCAGTCTCCTCCCATTGCTTATGTTCCCGGTGTCAAATCCTTGTGCTCACGTAGAGAGTTGGAGAAGGTCGAAGGAGATGAACGAAGAAACGAAACCTGTTCAGCCACTCGACGATCTTGGGACCCAGCCCAATCTTCTAAATGCCTCATCCAATAGCCCATTTTGGTCAGATGGGCTCAACGCAACATTCTTATTCGCAGGGAGGAGCTTGTTGTCCCACCCAAAGCGATGGCGTCCCAGCCGGAGCTCGACAAGGCTTCCCCTGCACTGTAACTCCCCACACCGCGACACGAGCTTCTCTGAACGAGGAGGACGTACGTAAGACGCTTTCTCGTAATTGCTTCTTATCGTCGGTTGCAATGACAGTCGGAGACCGTTTCATATTTTCGTCTTGTTTCCCAGGCAAATTGGTTCGGCGTACATGGCACCCCTTGGCACCCAACCTATTTCCGCCATTTCGGAGGTTACCTACCGCTGAATGGCGCCGCCACCGACAAGGTGCCATGCACGAACGACAATGCGCCTAGTCCGATGTTCTCCCATTCCTCGTTCATCGATTTTCGATATTCCGTCGTGCATACCCACAAAGATGCCGCCGGATGCGTTGAATAACGTATCAAATCGAGCTTTGTCCGTAAAGTGTTTCTTTACGGGCATGTTTCATATGACCGTTTTGTCGAATCGCACGACGAATCCCACAGAAAGTCATCTCGGTAGCAGGTTCTGCCAGATCCCATTTGAATACCAGCAGAAGACCACGAAACATTCAAGCGTTTTGGAGGAGTTGGGTGCTTTTGGCAGGCTGGTCAAACTCAAACCTACTAAGGACCGAGCTGACCACCTCGTTGTCGTCCGGGAGCGCCCTCCAGAAGGCCCCCTGGGATGCAAAGCCAAGGACCTCGGAGGTCTGCAACCGGATGACCTTCCTGGCCGCAAGCCCCAAGGCATAAGTAGCGCAGGCCGGGGAGGTCATCCGGTTGCGGCATGGAGGTCCGGGGCTTGGGCGGAGGAAAGGCCGCCACAGCTGGGTCCATAGCGAGGAGGGAGCCCGCCAAGGCGTTGAGAGCGGCGCTGCTCTTGAAGAGTGTTGAGGCCGAAGCCAAGGTTGCTCACATCCCGAAGAAAAAAGGGTGGTTGGCGGTTGACCATTGCTTTTGCTTGTGGTGCATGTGCGACTTCGGGTGGCAATATGGGGAGAAAAGAGGGATCGGGAGGGGCTCCCCTCCCCCTCCCAAACTGCTGGCGTCCAGCCAGAGCTCGACAACGGCTTCCGTCGGCGCACCTTCCAATGGCACTGACGTCAATGTCACCAGTTCGGGTTTACTGGCCTACTGAGTCCCTAGATGTGCAACATGAAAGGTCGTGCGTCTTCGCAACTCACGCTTTAGCCCCACAAACACTTCGATGATTTCCAAAACGAGAGCAAGTTGCCGTACACTCTTCAGCTTCGAATGCTTCACGGCTGCACTCGCGGCTACTGCCCAGGGCAGGATGTTCATGAGCGGACCCACTTCTTCGATATGACCTTTACTGGGCCACGGTAACAACACTGGTACGAAGCGATTGCGTCCGTGTCTCCCATTACCGATTGTTGCGGAGGGCCCAGATGGGTGCGCTCGACTCCTAGACTAAGGCATTCGGCTGATTGTTGAGCTGGCGCACCTGACATTGATGTCAGCTTCTTGATATGGATCGCGATTACTTACGGACAACCCCAGCGAGTGCGTCGTGTTAAGCTCTGCGTATAACGACTCGAGTAGTTTCAGTGTCTCTCCAAACATCGCAGACCACTCCTCCCAATGCATTTCCAATGAACAAAAAACAAGGGAGAGCGTGGGGTGGCGGTCAAGAGAAGCAACTTTGTGAACGCCTCCAGGCTTTCCGCTTCCGAGATGGGGGCAATTTGCTGCAGCAAAGCAGCGACTTGCGTCCCCGGCCAGGCGCACGGCCATCTCCAAGAATCTCCCTGCTTCCTCATGGTCAACGATCATCGATTGCTTCGTTTATGTCCCGTCAAAGAGTCGTCGACGGACGAGTCATCGGTGGAGTGATCAACCACGACTTTCAATGAGAAACAGCAGTATCCGTTCATATCTTCCTGCGACTGCGCCCTGTGGGATCGAGCACAGAAAGTCTTACCCAGATTGGTCTGGGTCATCAACCGAAGTCCGCCTCACAACCTCCGGACAGGTCGTTCACGATATCACCGACGCTCTCTTCTCCCTGCGTACCGAACGCTAAGGAATTCGCCATTCCCAACGATTGTATCCTCTCAATTCTCCGCTTGTTTTGGCTCCCCCGTTTCTTTTCCTCCATCAGAGACTAAGTCTGCAGAGACTTCCTTTCCACAGGTCTTTACCCCCGGCTGTTTCACGCTATTCCCTGTCTGTCGGACTGTCTCAGCGGACTTGGGCGGCTGCTGCGAGGAAACCCAGTCAAGCACATTTGCAGTCTGAGCCCAGATTCAACAACAATATCGAAGTGTATGTAGCTGCTGTTTTGGTGCGAAAAGCAGAGACCTTCATTTTCTGACTTGCACAGCCCAAAATGGTAAGGGCTCTCTTGAATGATGCTTGGAGAACTGAACGACTCGATTGCACTGACGACTCTGACGACCGAAACTTCAAGGCGAAACCAAATTCCAACAAAGCCGGCATCGGCCGCTTCAGCCCCGATGCCGATGATAACCAGCAGCTCCCAGCGCCAAAGAAACGCAGATACCACCCATCTGATCCGGCGCTCGACAACGAAAATAAAAACCATGATCTGCGCTCGCCTGCGACCAAGAAACCACCCTCATTCGTCGTACCTCCCTTGCCCAGCCTCAAAAATGAACCACCCTCAAAGACCACAAATGAACAAGTAGCAATCCAACCCAACTCCGCAGAAGCTGCAGAACCTGCAGAATCTGCCAAGTCCGCCGACCCCACGGAAACCCCTACCAAAGCAAACGACACAAACGACATCTGGACCAGGCCGCGATTCAGGACCGTTGTTGATACTCAAGAGCGCCGCCGCCGACCGGACCCAGACGGTACAGACCTGGAATACCCACCCAGCCCTGACTTGCGCGGGTTTGATGAGTACAAGAAGCGGTGGGATGAGTGTGCTGGGCAACATGGTGATGATGAGGTAGGGTGATCAAGCAGACCGTCCCCAATTTCACCCATCCGAGCACCATTCCTCCCTCCCCATATCCCACTACAGGATTCTTCAACCTGGCCCACAACCACCCTTTCTACCCCTCTCGACACCGACGACCTCGACACCTGGACCGCAACGCTCTCCACCCTCTCCCTCTCTGCACCTGTCGACACAACCTCGCGCGACGACCCGCGGTTCTTTCCCGACAGATTCCTTGTCGCGCCGGTCGGGACGCATGGGAGGGTGGATAAAGCGAGGGAGAGGAGTTTGAGTCCGGAGGAGAGGAGGAGGGGTGCGAGGGATTGGTGGGCGGCGTGGAGGTGAGTTGGGAGGCTGGGGGTTGGATCTGGATCGAGGCGGGCGTGGTTCCGTTGCGATGAATGTCAAATTATCTCTCGATTATGCTCTTCGCTCTCCAACCTCTCTCTTTCGAATGCAGGTATGAGGAATGATAGGTCCATCGGGAAGAAAAGCAGGAGTTGACAGTTCAGCTCAAGGAGCCCTGCACATTGTTGCTTATCGTGTGGGGTTTCGATTGGGGGTTGAATTCAGCCTCGGAGCGAATTGAGGGAGCAGAGCTTTGAAAGCCGCACACTTCGCAATTGCTCATAATGTACGTTCCAGGTATGTATTACATGTACAGCACCGCGCGACAAGCACCGCGCGACACGCATGCATCGGGGATGTCCTAATGGACGTAAATGCTCGTGCCATTCAGAAAAAGGAGTTCTGAAGGCAAAATGAATGTTCATTCGCAATATACCCGTAAACAATGTAACACATCTTAACAGCACGTAACGTAGTGTGCTTTCTTGATATTTTGAAAGATGTATATGGATCAGTTTGTAATGGAGCTATGGTACATGGGAACAGGAAAATACGATGTGTTGTTTCCATCTGAGGACTTCCAGCCCAAAAAAGTGCCGCGCCAAGGTGAGCCGATTATGTCCGCCCCTGTCGCGGGCATGACTATCGCGCCTAGCGCGAGGGCACCGGGGGCGATGGACGAGCGCTTGAAGCACCGAGAGCGAAGATGGGGGTTAAACTTCGCAGCATCTCTTTCCAAGCTCAGCAAAATGTGTTCCTTTCCTTTCGGCCTCCACGGCGGCCGTGTACATGTACGGGAGGGCCGAGCGGGAGGGCATGGGTGGAGGTCCCCGCTGCACTCGGCTTCCTAGGCCTTCATTGGATTGATGTTGTCATTGGCTTTCATTTCCTCGTATCCCCCTCACGATCTTTATGGTGAATCCTTCAAAAGAAGGTCCTAGCCAGGGGCATAAAGCTGAAGCACAAGCCTCATGCCCGGGACATCTGGTAGATATGCTGGTATGCTTGGATGGCAGTTGGCAAGTTGCCGACAGAACTCTGGCATGCGAGGAAAACTTGAGCGACGCCCCCTCCACGCGGGCATACACGTATGGGAGACGCTCGAGGCTCTTCCATGTGGTGCAGAGCCAATCGAAGGCGATGCACGGAGCTTCCAGGTGTTCACGATACAAGTGTGCGGTCGCGGAATCCAAACCGCGCCGCTGTCGCAAAGGCCTTTCGCTCAGCAAGTTGAACGCCGCTTCCAGACGAGATTTCCTTGGCAGCAGACCCGCAAACTCTCTAATCAGATGCTCTATTGTTATTCGAATAGGAAAGGCTTTTGGAGCCTTTGTTTGCATTCCGATACAATTTCAAATGAGCGAGCTCCTCCTGCAGGCCGACTTCGGAACGGGGTGAAGATCTTCCACAACGATCATCTGGGCATTCGCTGCGGATACACCTTCGAGCCGCTGGCCGGAACGAACCAGGGGGGGGGGGTGATGGTGACGGTGGAGGGGCCGTTGGAGACGTAGGCGGGAATCTGTTCGGCAGCCGAATAGGGGGATTCCGAGAAGAACTGGTTTATGTTGATGAGCGCCATATTCAAAGACGAGGAAAACTGGAACGAAAGGAGCAGCCTCGAGATTCGAGTGGTCCCTGAACTTGGCGGTTTGAGTGACGGTGGTGGGATAGAAGATGCTCGGGAGCGCTTTAACGGCCTTTTCACTCTCCAATGCAGCTCCCGTTGTTTGTTCGGATGCCCCTGTGCAATGAGGGGAATGAAGATGCCCTCAGGGAAGGTTATTTGGGAGCGGAGTTGCTGCGCTTTGGCTGCGCTCCGCGACTTGAAGCACACTCCGCCCATCTCCTCCGTGGCCTGACGAACGGCACACCTTCATGCACACAAGCGACATATACAACGGTGCTATCTATCTCATTATAATCAGTCTCTCTGCCTATGCGTCGTCCTCTAATGTCACATTCGTGCGGATTGTTCAAGATACCGGGTGTCGCAAACCCTTCTCGCATGAAGTCTCACAACTTATATCCCTTGATCGGGCCCCTCCCTGCCGGCACCGCCCCTCTTCCCCCAACGCTTCTCCCCGCCCCCACCTTCACCAGCGGCCTCTCCTTCAACCACCCTCTGATCACCTCCCCAACACCCTCCCACCCGTCATCCAAATGACAATGATGCCCGCCCTCCACCTCCACAACCCTACAATCCCGCACCAGCCCCTTTCGTAGCTCAATGAGCCGGCGCGAGGCTGGGAGGCCGTGGGTGCCGAGGATTATAAGCACGGGCGCGGTGATGGAGGAGAGGAATGTGTGGAGGACGGGAGGCGGGAGGGCGAGTTCTGGCGGGTAGGAGCGGATGCGGGGATCGAATGTGAATGTGTAGTGGGTGGTTGTGGTGGCCGATGGGATGCGTGTTGAAATTGGCGTTGGTGTGGGAGCAGGAATGGATGATAAGCCCACAGGGTCGAAGGTGTCAACAGCCACATCCGACCCACTCTCCTGATCTCCAACAGCCACCGCCCCACGTTCCACAAGCACCCTCGCCGCCTCCACACTCAATGGCATCGCCCGGCTCCCGCTTGCTCTTACAACCGCGCACTCCTCTAAGCTCCCATACACGCGTTTGCCCCTCCCTCTACCAGGCGCGCTATCCGGTAATGTGAGTTGCGTGGCCCACAACTTCGCGTAGAGCTGTTCATCGGCGGGTGGTGGAGGTGGCCCGAGGTTTTCAATGAGGATGAGGTGGGTTATGCGCGTGGTGAGGATCGAGGCGATTATCGTGCTGATGGCGCCGCCCATGCTGTGGCCGAGGAGGGCGAACCGGGTCCAGCCTGGGGATGATGTGAGATAGCTGTCTCCTTCGCGATTGTTGAAGCCCTCGATTACTCACCCAACTGCTCCACAATCATGATCGAATCCTCCGCCCATTTATTCGGCAAATAATCGCTCTGCGGGTGTCGGTGCGCACTACGCCCATGGCCCGCAAAATCGGGAGCGATGATATCCAGCCCTACTCCAGACTCATCGTTGTGGTGTGCGAGAAGGTAGGGGATGAGGCGGTCGAAGGTGTTCGCGTTGTCCAGCCACTGTGAGATTGGAAAGTGAATCAGTCTTGAAACGATGATGCACGATGAACGGATGAAATGAGTTGGGTCGACCAAATTCGTGTATGTCGAACGCAATTGCCTTCCTTAAGCAAACCTGCGCTTAACGGGCAGAGCCCTCGCTCTCGCGGTCCTTCGCCAGCCCCGCTCATACTTGGGCCTCAACAACCCTGTGCCTCCCTTTCGCTCGCTACAGACCCTCGCTGTCGCTCGAGCAACACAGGCTATCTGAAGTTTCAATCGGTCATACTTCCACCTCCGATACTCACCCCATGGAGCGCCAAGATGGGAACACCTCCTTTCTTTCCCCACCGCTTCACTTGAATTCGCAGGGTCCCAGCGCGAACCAGGAAGCTCTCCTCACGCGGGGCGGAAGGGATGCTGGCGGCCATATTTGTCGGAGAGTGCTGATACTTTGTCGCCTGTTTTCCTTGGGACCTTACACTACGATGAAGAACGTAATTGTCACACTTGAGGGTCAACACTCCTGAAGAGAGATGGACAGACAGGAAGTGAGCGAGAATAAATAGCGGAATACGGCGGATATGGACGGCGGACAACCAGGTGATGAATGCTGTATACGGACGAAGGGAAGACGGGAAGGGGTCCGCGGGGCCACATGCAAAACGACGGTGGCAGGATAAACAGCAAGCATCCCTCTCCGCCCGTCCCACTCTGGCGCTCGCAGACGCGTTTGTCATCTTCCGCCACGGTCCACGGAGGAATGTCGGCCAACTTCATCGCAACTCAGAGTACGATGGTATCAAGTCTAGACGATCTGACGATTCCTGCTGTACCCAAGATCGCCACAAAATAGCTTGTCGGCATTGAATGTATGGCCATCGTCACCCCAGGCAACATCAATTGGCATTTTAGGGTTGTAGGTTTGAAAACCATGTTTCGACACCCAACCCTGACGTACCATAAGTGTTGTACATCCTGTATCGATCAAAATGCGACAAAACTTGCCATGAACCACAAATGCCCACCGTGCGATCAACGCATCGGGTTGCAACTGCAGTGCTTCAGGCCTCGGAAAAATGGTTTCAGTCTCGTCTGGCCGGCACTTGCGCGCCCCCGCAGCAGACGTATTGCCACAATCAACCAGTATACCATCAGCGGACTCAGGGCGTATAGCCTCAAGTTCCTCTTCAATGGACACCATTGCACAATGAGACAAATAAACGGTGTCTTTATTAAACGTCTCTACTGAAAACCCTTTTTCTGACCAGCGTCCCAACGCGGCTTATCCTTAACCTCGTTGGACTTCTTATCCTTCTTCTTAGGACAATCTTGCGCACGATGACCCATCACGCCACAATCGAAACACTTCATGTTTGAGAGGTCAGGACGTGCGTAAGGTTTAGCAGCTTCCGCCTCCTTAGCTTTCCCCCCCTTCTTACCCGCAGTACCCGTGGCAGAAGAGACATTAGCACGTTTAGGTGCACTACTACCAGAAGCAACCGCTTTATTGTTTGCGTCGGTTCCCTTATTGGGCGAGACGACGTACAGCAAAGGAAGTAAGCGCACGATCCATCAAACAAATTAACGGTTATGTGAGCATAGGGTGTTGCTCCCTGCAATCAACCATTGTATGCAACAACGACTGGGCGATCTCATAGCCGACGGTATTGGTCTTATCGCGAGTAAGACAACAAAGAAACAGGTTATTCAAATCGTCAGGAGTGATAACCTCCAGGTTGCGCTGTGCCTCGACAACGATACGTTTGAACTCCGTCACATATGAAGCCATCGATTTGATAGCCATTTCCAAATCCTCTTTCTGCATGTCAACCCTGGATGCGGTATCTAACCAGGTACGTGCGTCGCTTTCAAGCGAGCCAGATACCTTCTGCCTGTACTTAAAGTCATCAATCGGAAGATCAAAAGTAAACATGAAGTCCATATGCTTCTGCAAAAATGTGTCAAAAACAGTGGCCTTGCACCTTTTGCCGTTGAACGGATGCTGCGAGATCCATGTACCATGGTGCCTACGATGCTCGATATAGAATGGATCCACCAACCCATCCTGCAGCACATCACAGCGCATTGCGGAGTCATGCTCCAACGTAGCTCACAAACGATCCTGTCAAGCCTGATGTTCCTCGGCATGTTGATCGCGAACTTCTGCTTGAGCGGCAGCCGCAGCAGCCTTCATTTGGGCATTGAGCTCCTCGACAGAGATCGTCAACATAGCCGTAGCGGGCGGGTGACCAGGAGGACGAGGAGGAGGGAGGCAAACTTCAACACGATGTTCGTCAACCGAACTCCCTGGCTCCTCAATGATCTCAGTAATAACAGCCGTACCCCCAGGAGCAGTTTCATCACTCCTGGTAACTGTACTACCCGTTGATGTACTCATGACGACCTTCTGGCCAGTGTTATCTCGTTTTCAGGTCGAATAACCTCAAACAACAACGAATACAACCAGAATGCGGACAGAAGTACTCTGTTGATGTTGTATACCTCAGTACCTCGAGCAAATACACACAAACGACCAGGTTCTCCAATCAGGTATATGCCGTACGCAACAACCAAAATTTGGGCATAGATTTTCCCTCTTTTTGAGCGAAAAATCCCCAAAATCCACCGTGTCCGATGTCGGCGGGTTTTGGCTGCGTTGATCCTGAACAGGATCTAAAGCTATCAGTTTGAAGAGGCCTTTGAGAGGATCAAGAAGAACCTAACGGCTTAGCTCTGTCCCAGAACTGAAAGACTCTTCCTATCTGCCCGTTTTCGCTTAAGTATCGAATTATCCACGAAGGCGATGACAGATTACTCGTTTTACAGTGATTCAACAATTCCAAAACGTTCAGGTAAATTCAAGGTAATTCTCAGGGTCGGGAAGAACCTTATCGGGGGTCGTGTCAGTCAAAACTGTGATAGTTTTGCTATACAGAGGTTATAGTGGCGACGATTTAGCGCGTTTTTCAATATCTCCGTATCCGTAGATCAAATCTCTTCGAAACTTTCACAAGTCTTCAAGATCAGTGGGCTCTACCAGGTTTCCGAGTTTCAAGGGGATCGAATAACTGGGGTAGATTTCCGATCCGCGAACGGGTTACTAATTGGCTACTAGTAAACACGCGCTTATGTCGACTACGTGTCGACCGTTGAACGTATACTCTCAAGATGTTAGTATACCGAAAGAGTAAGGAATGGATGGCAAACTGTGAGTTACGGAGGTTTGTTTAACCATCCAGGTGCGAAAAGCGAGGTGGTTGCAACGTATCGGTTGTTCCACTAGGTAAATAACCTAGAGGTCGGCGCTTTTCAACTACAGGGCACTAGGGGCTTCAGGAGTTGCAGTGGACGTTGTCCTGGACGTCCTGGAGGCTATATGAATCGTCTAGAATGATTGTATTGACGTTCTGTGACGATGGCTACATCTGCAATTTCGAGATGCTGAAGTTGCCAACGTGTTTATCTACTAGGAAGCTCGTTTTGCTCAAAATGAGTGGTGCTACCATGTGATGTGGACTACCTTCCACACGGGTTGTATAACTGATGTTCGTATACAATAACTACTTTCCTGTAAGGTATTGTAGACGGACTGGGTGTTCGTCGGCTCTGCTATGCGATATGTAGTAGAAGAACTACTTGTTGTGCATAGGAACGCGCGACGAGCACTGTTAAGGTACCCATGAGGTCGGAGTCCACTGGAGAACACTGTCTGGAAGGCCTTTCACTGACCTCGGGAACATGTTTCACTTAGACAGCGAGGAATGTTCCGCTGACGTGTCGTTCTCCAATAAGACCGGACACTCCACATTACAGTACGGATCTCGGTCCCATCAAGAACTGCCTGGGTCTAGCCTTCGGTTACCAGCTCTCGCCGTCAGGGAACCAACTCAGAATCAGCAATGTTACCTATATCCACGGTTTACTCGAACAGTTTGGACAACAAAACGCTACCCCGGTCTCTACGCCGTGCGCTGTCTCGGCGCATACAAGACCTGCCTCCGCAAGTCCCCCTTTTCCTAACAAGCTTCTCTACCAGGAAGCAGTGGGGGCCCTCACGTGGGCATCCATTACCTGGCGCTGGGATATTTCAACTGCCATCGGCTTCGTTGCACGTCAGGTCTCAGCTCCTACCCAAGCCGACTGGAATGATGTACTTTGCATCATGCGCTACCTTAAAGGTACCCGCACCTTCGAGCTTACATACAAGTCCGGTCATCCAGATCAAGCTGGACTTCGCGTCTATACAGACGCATCCTACGCAGACGCTGTCAACGACCGCAAATCCACCGCGGGCATCGCCACCTTCTTCAACGGCCAGCTTATCTACTGGAAAAGCACCAAGCAGAAGTGCGTAGCTCTCAGCTCCACGGAAGCTGAGTATATTGCCGCAGCCCTCGGTTACAACGAGCTCTACTGGCTCCGCACGATCATCGCGGAGGTCTTTGGCGACGAATACGGCAACATCAAGGACCCCACGCCAATCCACATCGACAATCAGAGCGCCCGCGAGATTGCCAACTCCACGGCTATTACTCAATGCTCCAAACACATTGAGTACGCTACCACAAGCTACGCGACGGCGTGGCGAAGAAGGACGTCATACTCCTCGACACCGCGACACAGGAACAACTGGCTGACTACTTCACGAAGCCATTTCCTCCTGAGACACATATGAAATTTATTCAAGCAATTCAGGAAGGATGTGTCGCTTGCAATAGACAGCCGGCGACAACTCGGTCTGAATAAGACATATGGAACACCCATACCGGGACGGCTTCTGGGCACTATATATGACTTTGGCACCTTAACCCGCCACCGTAATAGCCGCCGTTGCCCCGGCATTGGGGGATCCACCGGCTCCAGCTCCGCCTCCACCAGGCGGACCCCCTGGACCACCTTTCCATCACCGTCGTCATCATCACTCGAAGACGAATCATCCATGTGCTTTCGCAAGTACTGGAGTCGCTTCATCAACTTGTCTTGCTCCCGTCTCTCGGCCGCATCACTGCGGCGCTTCGCCTCTTTCATCTTTTCCTTTGATATGCCCCCTTTTCCTTTGTACCGCGACTCCGAGACTGCCTTACACCCAAGGTAGTCTGCTTCCTCCATCAATGCCTCTAACGACCCCTTTTTTCGCTTTGATCGCTGCAGCCTCGCATGAGTAGACGCCAGGTGTTCCGCAAGGTTCTCATGGTTATCCTTCCGATACCAAAACGTCGCCACCTCCATCGCCAGTCGAAGAGCTTCTCTTACTCGGGATTTTGACATCAAAGAGTTGCTTGCAGTTGCGGCGGACGATGCGCGCGTAGAGCGCGTAGTCGGTCGTGAGGGTCCCGGCGGAGGTACAGCTGGAGGGGCTGCTGGCGTCCCCGACTTACGGGCCGTTTGCTTCTTCTTGCCGTCGCCGCTCTTCTTTCCATTCCCGCCGTTCTTGCCTCCCTTTGCCATCATTTCGCGTATCAAGTGGTAGTCTGGGATACGGTGGTTGAGTATGGGTCTTACCTCTCTGGAGCGACTGACAGCTGTCTCTTGTTTTATACTCGCGGCGTTTCCCTCTTCTTTCATTTCTTTCTTTCATTTCCTTTCATTTTGGTCATAGCTATTCACCCGACGTCCGCCCGCTTTTCGCGTACGGCCGCACCATTGTACTCATTGCTTAGATTTATCTTTCACTTAGATAGACTCGTGAGTTTGAGTGGGGGTGTTGGAGGTATCATCCTCCCGAGTCCCTGGTTAGGGTTCCCGTAGGTTATTTCCCCACGTGACTTCCCTCCTGCTTACGCCACGCTTCCGCGTATGGGACTTCACTCTTTTCTTCCCCTTCGGACTTCGCGTCCTCTTTCTACTCGAGACTTCAATACATACTTCACAGTATTACATCTCACACAACATAGAGTTCGCTCAGTCATCTGCTTCCTCTGCCGACTACTGCTTAGTGCGTCCACCTCCCTCGTCGCGATATCCGACCTGCTCTCAAACGGCTGCCGGTGTCCCGCCACCTATCCATCCACCACCGATACGCCAGGGTTGTGCTCCTCCCCGAGCTCCTCCGACACCCTGGGTCCGCTTTCAAGACCAAGATTCACCAACCCCGATCGACATTGACAACCCGGTTGCCGCGCGTCTGCCTGTTCCCACGGTGCAGCATACTCAACAACCCTTGCTCCCGGTGCGTCCCCCTACACCTCTGGTGAAGCGTGCCGCCAATTCAATATCCCCGCTCCCAAAAACTGCATCTCCGGACCCGCCTCCGTTGTCCCCTTGGTCTCCAAGTCCGGATCCCAAGACTGGAGATGATGAAAGCCGAGTGCCCAGCCAGATCCGAGCGCTGTACATCGTTCGACATTGTCACTTTCCTCAACACAACCGAAGTCAAGGGCTTGAGTCTCGCGGATTTACGCCAATGGAGTCCTGCCTCACGAGAACGCCTGCGCGACTCTATGAAGCTGGTCAATAAGACTTGCACGCTGCTCTGTGCATTTGAGAACCCCTCCTTTCTGCTCGGCATCCCGATGCTGAGGTCCCGGATGACAACAATTCATTGAACTCTCGGATCCAGTACCACATGAAAGCTCTTTCGAAAATTGATCTCTCTTGTATGAGTATGCACTTGCTCAACACACAATTTCAAGGCATCCCCACCAAATGTCTCTTCGACGGTGGCTATTGCCTCATCGCCATCAGTTCCGTTATGTGCAAGAACTACTGTTGGGCCCTCTCCAAGCCAGTGCCCACCTTTCGTTTGCGGAAGGTTGATGGCACCTCCCCGTCCATCGAGGGTGAAGTCCACAACTTGGTCGTCCCTATTGCCGGTCATCAGGTTCCCATGAACGTACTCTCCATCGACCACATGGATGCCGACTGTCTCCTTGGACGCCCCTTTCTTGTGATGGTCAACGCTTTGACCAATTGGAAGAACTCCCTATACTCCATGCGCATCCATTCCACCTGGTTGATCGTCCAAGGCAGTACTGGGGATGCCCGCAAAGCCCGCCATCTTACCACTGACGAAGATAGCGAATGGGAAACCCACGGACGCGCCCCTATCGTCAATGATCCACCGCCTGCTCCCCGCACCCACTTGCAAACCCGAGACACTAACATCGCATCTTCAGTAGCGGATGGCATGCATGTTGAAATCGATCACAATGACGACCAAACCCTCGCCGACATCCGTAGTGGTGCCATGTTTGGCTTCCTCAAATGTAAATTCACTCCGCCGCTGGATGCGCCGCGTCTGGATGCCTATCTCGACGCTCGCATGTGGCTTCTGCAGGATTGTGCCCATGCTGGTCTGCCTTCTGGTCGCTTTGCAAAACAAAACAGGGTGTAAAAGGGTGTTGGAAAAAACGTTCATCAAACGCTTCTTGCGGGTAGAGAGGTCACCACCACAAGTGAATCGGACCTCTCTTGGCTGACAGGTCTACCGGACATTGGCGGATGGGCCTTGATCGTTCAGTTTGGACGTCACTGCATTATCCTACCACAACGGTGGTATGGGCTCTGCGCTCGAGATGAAGCCCTTGCATCAAGGCCGCTCTTCACCAGGAACTCACCCGTTGTACATTTGCTGCTCAACGTGCCAAGCAACACATCATATTTGCCGGTGACTTCAACATCATGCACACCGACGCGGATGTACATCCCTCTTGCCTCTCCTCACCACCGCAGTGACCGACGATGAACGGGCGCATCTAATGACTTCGGTCAAACACGGTTTCGTTGACACATGGTGAGCTGCCATTCTCTTGCCAACCCTGGCGCTGGATACACCACTTGGTGGCTTTCCAAGTATGCTTGAGAACGCAACCTCAGTGTACACCTTGTTTACATCTTCCTGGGTTTACCTCATGGTACCACATATCCCCCTCTGCTCAGATGTGACACCATGCCGGGACTGCAAGGATCTGACCATGCTCCCCTGTTACTCACCGTAGGCATCCTTGAAGAGGTGACCATCCCCAACTATCATGCTATGATGACTCGCATGCTCGACGCCGACACCGACCCCTTGTATGTGTCATCGATCCCGGAGAAGCGTACCCATCTCGAACGGGTCATTGCTGGGGTGACTATCACCGCTCGCCCTGCACGTTCAGTACATCCAACCCCCATGCAGAAGTTACCAGTTAGAGAGTGTACCTTCCAAGTTGCCACTGATCTCCCTGATGAGTTTGTGGTGGCCCTTACTCATTGTTGTCCGAGTTTGACCCCAAATTCTGGAACAAGGAAGAGGTACCTCGCACTTTCTTGCGCGTCCCACCGATGTGCCCTGTCCTCAAGCCAGATCCCACTGGCAACCGAGTACTTTGTCGCTGTCATATGAACCCATTTCAAGATCAATAGTGAAATTCAAGCCATGCAGTACCCGATCTTACCTGCACATTTGGTTCTACAACGCATTGCACCATATCGTCACCTCTCAGCTTTCGACTTTTTGCTTGGGATATCACCAGTCGCCTCTTGCCAAATCCACCCGGTGGCTAACCACCATCCTTCTTCCTTGGGGTATCTACCGGTACAAGGTCGGGTCTATGGGCTTTTGTGACACTGGTGAATGGTTTTCCTTTCAAATTGATGTCATGATTTGCGATGTCAACCATCTCAAGGACCATACCTACATGTTCCGTGATGATGCGTATTTGGGCGTGAACAACCTCTTGGATTTGTCCCTCAGTACCATGCACCTTGACCATATTTGCACCTTCTTCGGAACAATTTGACATCACTGCTTCAATATCCGAACACAAGTGCTTGTTTGGTGCCGAACGTATTTCCACGTTGGGCAAGGTCACAGGCAACGGCCAAGTCGCTACGGCGACCAACAGACTAGATTCCTTCCACGGTTTCTTGGGCTTCATTGCTGACGGTCTACCGGATTACAGTCTCCACATGCAGCCCCTCAATAACCTCCTCAAGAAATATTACGCTGATATTCATCGCTTTCGCAAAGTAATGGACTGCCCATCAAACATACGCCCGCGCATTCCAAGACGTGAAGCAACTTGCCACTGATAGTTTTGTTCTGCACGCTTATGTTCCCAATTGCCCTCTGATCATCATTGGTGACGGATCCGGTATTGGGGCGGGTGTGGTGCTTGCTCACTGTGCTGATCCTGCTGACAACTACAACGTTACGGCCGCAACAAAATACACACCATGCAAATTCTTCTCTTGCAGCTGGACCAACGGCGAGTTACGGTATGGTCAACCAGAGCGCAAATTGGCCGCTACAGTGTTCGGACTCGTCAAGGTGGAAATCAACTTGGGATTTGAATTCTACATCGTCACCGATCACCCTCCATGGGTCAAGTGCCAAAACGCCAAATACCCAATCGTTGTATCCTGAAATGGTGGACTTATATCAGCTCACTCCTCGCTGCTGATTGATGGCCTTGGTAGGTTTTCCGCTGAATCCCCCTCTGCAGCGTGCAAGCGTGCTTTGGTGTCATCTGTGGGCTTGAGTGCACGTGCAGCAGTGTTGTCAGGTTCTGGGTCAAATTCAAAGCTCGCTAAGCTGTAATAGGAGCAAGCTGATGTCTCTTGATCCATATGATCATCATCCAGGCTGTTGTAGAACTTCTTTTCATTGACCTGCAGGTCTCTGGATTTGGTAATGGCGCCCTGATCATTGGGTTCGGGTGACTGGAGCCTCCAGGCTTTGCTGGAAGAGCTATAACCGAGAAAGAGGCACTTCTTGGCTTTGTTGTCCAGCTTTCCTTGGTTTTTCTTGAGAATCATAGCATAGGCTATGCAACCAAACACTCTGAGATGTAGGAGGACCAGCTTGCGAGCGAAGAATGCGTCGTACGGCATCTTGAAGATGTCTAGGGCAACCATAGGGCATCGGTTTGAAATGTGCACGGCTGCGACCAGGGTTTGTCCCCAGTATTCATGTCCAAGACCAGCCTGGTTGAGTTGGCATTGCGCCATTTTGACTAGAGTTCAATTTATATGCTCCGCTACTCCGTTCCGCTGTGGGGTGTCGGTATCAGCCGCGCTGGTGCTGGATTCCAGCCTTTCTGAGTGCGAGGGCAAATTGGGTGGATTTGTATTCAAATCCCTGTGTATTGAAGAGGATGTAGTGAAGGGAGGCCGCCCAGACACTTGACGATCAACCACAGGACGCCTCTTGACCTACAGCGGTCCAGTTAGCTGGAAATCACGCAAACAACACACTATGGCACCCTCCAGCACTGAAAGTGAATACATGGCACTCACAGACCCCTGTAAAGAACCTGACCGTAAGGATGATGGTGATATGGGAGTGTGGAGTCCTCTATGCCAAACTCCCTCTGCAAAAATCCTGCTCGGGATCATTATAGTAGGAAGCGACATCTTGAAGAACGTGGATGGAATACTTCTCATCCTGAAGTTCATATTTGGGTACTTCTTGAGGATAAAAAGAAGCTGCAAGGTGATATGGGCGCCAAGTGTCGAGTTTAGTGGGAGACTTGCAATCACAGAACGAGTGTCCAGATTGACCACATCGATAGCAGCCGCGGCGCTCGGGATGACCAGATGGTAGCGAAGGCGGACACTGATTGGCATTGGTAGCAGCCTTCACTTGGAGATTTTGCATACGATTGGTCAGATCGCTGACCACGCTGGCAGACACAGGTGCCGGTGGTGTTGGTGCGGGCACGGCAGCGGGGGTGGGCCGGAAGCATCGCAGTCAGGTATCGAGGCGAAGGGGCAGAGTTCGTTGTTTGTTGGGGAATATACGCCGGCGCTGCAGGTCGTGACAGCGGCGGACGACGGTCCTTCGGAGCAGAGTAAGTTCCATCGCCCTTGGAATAGTCGGCACACAAGCGGACAAGTTCTTCAATGTTGAATTGATTGAAGTCGGGGAGACCAAGAACCAATGCTCAGGTAGAAGCAGTGCCCAAACCGCAGATGAACACATGACTGATTTGTGAGCAAGTCAGTTCTGTGGCAACAGTGGCGATATGCATGTTGAGGTATTCAAGTTTCTATACCAAGGATTTGTGAGCAAGTCAGTTCTGTGGCAACAGTGGCGATATGCATGCTGAGGTATTCAAGTTTCTATACCAAGGATAGGAATGAGCTGCCTTACTGTTGGACAGTTTTGCCTTCGGTGCGGTGGAATGCTTGTAGCCCCTCGGCAACACGGGACGGGTCACGATCTTGAGCTTTGGTGCATTTGAGGACCATGTCCATGCGGACGTGAGTCCAATATTCGTCTTCTTTATACAAGGTGTACCAGGTCCAGGTAAGGTGATCATTTTTGTCGATGGCCTTGGACCACCACTGGTAACGATCCTTTTCTTGCACACCACAGAATGCTGCAACCTTGTTAAATGTGCGCAACCATTGGAGAATGCGGCAATTGTCTTGATTGTCCTTGGTGCTGTCGTATTTTGGAAGGCCTTTAACAACAACCATAGAAACACTGGCGGGAGCAGATATGTTGCTCTAGCGCTGCATTTGTTCGAGGGTGGGGTAGGTGAGGGCCACCATATCTTGCGGGGATGGATTATCATCATTGAAGGGATGACCGTGCAGATGGGCTCGAGCAGGGGTGGCACCGGCAGACGGTCGAGGGTAACTACTACCGATGAGACGCTGAACACCAGACAATCCTGGTGCTGATTGAGCATGGCAATGGTGACCAGGACCGGCATGATAACAGTCACGGCTATCGCGCCAAGCGGTGGCAATGTGGATAGTGTCTGCTAACTCTCGGAGCGCAAACTGGGAATGGTTAGCATCAATGGCATACTGGAGCGCGGTAAGGTAAACATGCTCCAAAGTCCCCGGGGCCAAAGCCTCACAAACAGTTTTGTGGTTGATCCCCATGTGGATGCAAAACCTCAGCAATCCGTACAGGACTTCAGCATCAATGTGCAATGTACAGCCATACAACCCCATCTGAACACTGTTGTAGTCAAGACGAGAAGCCGGAATACAGCTATTGATGAGTGCGAGAGCGTGGTCCGAGGCGCAGGTGCAAGCAGAATGGCTATCGCTACCCACATTACTACTGAAGGTCTCATCGAATTCGCTAACGCTGTGGGTTTGATCACGCCAAGCGTTGTTGGTTTCAAGAAAAGTGCTATTCAAGGCCAAAGTGGATATGATAGGTCGCTTGTTTGTGGGAAAATCAATGGTACGCAATCAGGTAGGTACAGGGAAGAAGATGGATTCAAGGCCGGGTGATGATGGTAGACATGGGTGTATCTTGGCTGTCGCGAGTGCCCAAATGCAGGCTGCGCCATCAAGCGATCGGCTTTGGGAATGTTGTAGGTTGGAAGAATGTGGATTTGAAGGCGGTAGGTGCAATCAAGGATGTAGAATTCGATGGTGTTGGCAGATTTCTTGTTGGATGGTTGTTTGTTGTTCAGATGGATGGATGGATGGATTGAACAAGCCGCGAGTGCAGCGAGCAACGGTTTGAGTACAAGAAGAAAAACTACAACAAAGTCAAATGACTGAGAGAACACTACAACTCATAAGAAAGTACCCAGCTACTGACCATACCACATAGTGATGGTCTAGAACGCTCTCTGGGCACTCCGCGGACTTGGCAGA